CATACCTGTATCTTTATACGGGGATACAACAAGGTTTTGACACAGTGCTGTTTGGAGTTCACTAATAGCAGCAAAAAAAGTCAAACGACAAACATTAAATTGACATCGCCCAGGGAGCTAATTCCCACAACAACATGAAGACTGTTCCGGTTAGTTAAGGGGAGTGGACATCAGTATTGCAGCCCCACCAGCCGGATCACTTCTGTACTTTTCTTGGCTCCAGTATGTCAGCGCTCACTTCAGCTACTCATCTCACAATAGGAGGAGGTAGAGACACACTATCCATGCTGACTCATGGACAATGGTCTAAAATATTGACAGATTCGGAAGCTGCAATTACTCCACCCAGTTGCCAAAATAGCTGTTGACGGTGTTTTTGCAGCCCACAGTGACTGTTACATGAGTCCTTTCATCAGATTTCTTAAACTAGAGCTGCTCAAACAGCCTTTGTCTTCAGTGTGAGTGACATTTTTGATGGTTAAAAGTAAACAGGATCAGATGTGAGAGAGAACAGCAACTACACATGTACAGGAGAAGATCAGCCAAAAAGTAAAATCTTTAGAGTCTTTCTGTCAATCTTCAAGGTTATGGGTCACCTTTTTACTATTTTGTTGGAAGGTATTATTATAATTCAGCAATTTAAACAAAAAGACCACACAGGGTTTATTTTTAACAGATCAAAGAACACGATGAGTTTCAAACGAACCTACGCAAAAGAGTTAAGTGAACAAAAAAACAAATGCAACCAAACCCAATGAGTCAAAGCCTGAGTACAGAGGAAGAAAAGCCCCTTTCAAAACCAGAGATGGAATCTAAAACATTGCCAGCCTCAACCAAAGATGAGATAAAACCTGATGGCCTGACTCTGCTGTTAGCTGTCAATACCAAGTTCAAACTTCCAAGCTTGGAGCTGCTAGAGCAAGACAATAAAAAATATTGTCCGATTTGCTGTATCCAGTTTCTGCATACTTGTTTTTATTGAAAAAATCAGCAGGGTCAGTCAGGGGGTCACAATCAGTTCAGAAGCAGAAAACCCACACTGGTTTACAGAATGGGTGCGGCTAATCGGTTTGCTAACAGTTTCTAAAAAACTAGCCCCCTCCCCCTAGTAGTTTCACCAGGAAAGGTGATTTTTCTTACACATATCTGACTTCCAAAGACTTAAAAGCGTGTCTGTTATGGTTGTTGTAAAATGTTGACAATGTTTAAGTCTAAAACACTGGCAAAAATGTACTCACTTAAGGCCATTTTTAGGGAAACAACAAGTAAAAGAGCATGGTCGTGTCAAGCAGGAAGTCATTTTTTCTCTTTTTTTTTCCATGCATACTCCAATCTTAACCATACTCACAATGCATAATAGGAGTCAAAACCTGAACCCATTTCATGTGGAGGTGATATTTCATGAGCCAAAGTTTTTCACGTGACACATCCTTGAGCTTTTCATCTTAATGTGTGCAAAAAAACTTTCGAGTTTTTAAAAGTGAGTGCCTGCTCAATGATGCTTGCAGCTTTAACTTTTCTAGTTATCTTTTAACAGAGCACAACAAAGTAAAATGGTTCCTCAGTCCCCTTGCCTATTAAATAGTACAATAGATGTTAAGGTTAAATTCTCTTCATATCAAAGTTGAGCAAAGCTTTCATTGGCAAAACTGAAACCACTCTTCCCTGTGGTCAGCACATGGTGTCAGCATGAACTGCTAATTCCCCTGACATCTGCTACTCATCCTCTCCCTCTTACACAACGTGGATAATCTTCAGACACCATAGACAATTTAATTAGAAGGACATTTCCTCCATTGTGCTCACACACATTTGATAGGTCACATGGCTTACACACACAGAAGCTTGAGTGGGACTCTTTACCTAGAATTCAGCACGGTTGACATTAGTCAGGAAATTACCTATGTCCTCATCTGTATGACTTTGAGACTTAAAAAACAGTGACTCATTTAATCCGCACTGTATCCAACTGTGTTCACTCTCCTCTGATTTGCAGTGCTGCCAGTGAGCTCAGTGTTGCCAGGCGGAGAACCTGAAGAAAAACATCCCTTATTTCACCTTCTCTTTGCAATGTATGAGTTTACTATTGACCTGCTGAAGTCATAAAAGGCCTAAAAAGACCATTAGGCAGTAAGAGAAATGCTGCTTTTGAAGTATGACCCAGAGCGGGGTCTTCTGAGTTGGTTCTCCTTTGTGTTTTCCCATTAGACACAAATCCTCAAGCAATATGAAGACAGACAGTTAGAGGGAATGTAGAGGTTCTTAGCAAATCTGTGGAGGACTGAAAGCCTCTCTGGTCAAAATACAATAAAGTAAATTGAGATGACATTGAATTATTTTAAATACCAAGAATACAAAAGAAGGTTTAAATGGTTCATCCGCAGCATAAGCACAATTTCCTTTGAAAGCAAGATGGGGCTCAATTTTATCCAATCTTGATGTTGGGTGTTTGTAAATATAATTGAAGAGTTTGGTATGGATCAACTCTTTTGTAAAGTGTTGTAAATCGGTGCTGTATGAATAAAGATTAATTGAGTATAGAGAGGTGAAAGGTAACACAAAATATAGAACTAACATAAAAGCAAGAGTTTCTTATTTACATCAGTCCTTCACAGCATTAGATGACATAAAATATCAATGAATCTTGACAATTAATCTTGAGACTTTTGTACATGCTGTAGTTGGCCATAGGGCTGCTGTTACCGTTACAGCCTAAATTCAAATCTTAGAGGTGAAGTAACACTGCCATCTGTTGAGTTAAAGAAGCCATTACAGCTGCGGACCAAAGCCCAGAGTAAAAGACCTCAACTGTAGTTTAATGATTTTAGGATTTTTACCCCATTTCCATTTTATTTTTGTGGGCATGCTTTTGAGTGAACTTTAAACTTATAGCTTCACTTCTTCTTATTATTTTTGCACTTTTGGTTCCAATTTGATACAAGCACCGGTCAGGTTTGCTATCATCAACCACTCTGGACGGTTTCTCCAATTAATCCTCCAGTTAATCCTCCTCTAGCATTAACACAGCACAGCAAGGTGCTGGTGTACAATGATCAGCCAAGCTGGGGCTCTATCAATCATAGCTGGCACCTTCAAAGTGCTGGACTGTGAACAGAGTGGGCAGAGCAGCGCTGAGCTGCTAATGAAGACTCTGGCTTCCAGCAACTGCTGCCTAGAGATAAGGAAGGGGATATCTTAAAAGTCTAAAGTGTCCAGTAAGCTACTCCTGAACCTATTTGTAGGAAAGGAGGACTCGCAGGCAGGCCTGGAGTCAGTGTGGTCCGAAAGAATCACTATAATAATGGAAGAATAGGGACGCACAGGGACAGGAGAGAAGCATGTTTAATAGTGGAAACTGTCTTGTAGGCAATTCCTGATTCTGGTGTTATGGTTGCAAATGAAAATACTGATATAGTGATGAATTAGTGAGTTAGGTGAGCATACTCAACCATGCAACGTAACACCTGGTGTCTCAGGAAAAGGGGGTTAATAATACAAGGAAAATGTTTCCATCCGAGTCAGATTTTTAATGTCAATGTTATAGCACACTTTGAGTTAATTTTCTATACATCTTATTCTAACTGGATCATTTAATTGCACAAGAGGCCTACCACGAGTGCCATTACAGAGTATAATAACACTGGAGCTTTGGACTGTTTGAAACATTATGCTGCAGGTGTGTTTAAATATCGTTTATTGACATTACAGTAAGAAGATGGGAAGCTTGTCCTCAGCCACCAAAGTCACTGTTTGCAGACTCTTAATACTGAATGATCAATGGCAACATACAGATAAATGACTGCAATCAAACATAACTGAAGACACCCACAAAGATGCAAGAGTACAGGGAAATATGTCTCTAATTGTTGAACAATTAACATGCGAGAGGAAAACAATATCACACTCTAGGTTTAGCTGTTTAGCTGATATCCACACAGCAGTGATTATTTTCTGCTGTCAGACTCATGAATGAATCTGAACTGTACTGACTTTCTGTACGACATCCCCTTTAGTGTGATATTACTGTCCTAGCAAACAGCTACTGATAAACAGCACTAAGTCAGTTTCTCCTTATGACTTCTCAGCACATGTTCCACTGTTTCAGTTCTTAATGCTGTTTAGTAGTTAAACATTCAACTTTACCCCTCGTTTTTAAAAAGTGTTTCCCTACAAAGATAAATCAGAAGAGGAAATAAGCCCCCTATATGAACGACAAACTTACTGTGCCCCTCCAAAAAGCCTCCCCATCTCCCTGTGAGCTCAACCAATAGCAAAAATGGAGTCCCACAGTATTTCATAATGTTGTGGGACTCTGTCAGACAGTTTCCATTAATTGAATTTCCTGCTGTGGTCAAAGAACAAATAACAGGAGCTGGAGGGAGCAAAGGGAGCAATGGATGATTTATTGCTGGAGGAGCAAAAGGGGGAAAAAAGACCTCTTACTGACAAACATGATGCAGCTGCAGTTTTCCTTGGTATGTATGTATGTGATACATACCTGTCTGTACAGTTACGGTGATACAGAAGTGGTTCACCTGTTTTCTTCACTTTAGGTTTTGAATGTGAAAATGGCAGCAAACAAGCATTTATGACAAGATTTATTGGAGTAATGGACCTCTGAGCCGGAACACTTTCCCTGTGTGATGTAAGCTGGTAGCTCATCTTGTGTCTGTACAAGTGAGTACATGCTGTAAAACCACTGACCCTTCCCATGTTTAGACAGACACAAAGGGAGTGAGAGCAGTAACGCACTTAAAAACCTCCAAACAAAGAAATAACCTGACACTGACTGTCGAAGTGACGCTTGATTATGGACGTTGAGAAAGAATAAAACTTAATTTTTTACCAGGTGATGATGTTCTTATGTTCTTCAGCTGTACTGTTTCAATATTTTTTAATTAAATTGAAAAATCTTAAAAGAATAAATACTGTCCATGTGGTTTCACAAAGTCCTTTGTTAGATTTCTGTTGGTTTTTGAACAGCCCTTGAATCTGGACTCTTATAACTTGGTCTCCATTAAGTTCTCCCCAGAGAAGGATTTCCCGCAGATAGTGATGGCTTTAAATTCATTGGAGATCTCCAGCAGGGTCTTCTCTTTAGTCTCAGGCAGCAAGAAGAAAGTAAAAACACAACCCGCCAGGCAAATAAAGGCAAACAGCACGAAGCAGTACGAGTCCAGGCCATTCTAGGAGAGAGGAGACAGTGTGAAGCATCAGCATTTGTAAAGATTCATAACACAAGTTTTATGGGCCTGCTAAATTTCTTCTGGTCAAGAGTGACTATTTCATACTTTCTTCACAAATAGTTCACAACCCACTTTAACCCACTTGACAAAGAAGGGAACTCATACACAGGTAATCATTAAGAAATGACTCAGTTTTGTGTGAATACTCAGGATGATGCGTCACTCTTCTTAACCAGTAGGTGAGTCATGAAAAAGTCTTTATTAGTCATTGATTAAATGCTGATTATTTCATTTTAAGAAATAATCAGCACCAATCTGTAGCCACTCTAAGCTGAATGAGGAATTACTCACAGTCTACCTGGTATCACATAGTTTATCAGTTCATTGTGTGATTGTGAATTGTTATGACCACTATGTTACACTCACAATAATGAATGGAAAAGCAAGACCCAGAATAGCAAACAGCAACCAGCGCTGGATCCCTGCCAAGACGAAAGCTGCCAACCGATCAGACTGGATGAAGATCTCGTTGATCAGAGCAGGTGTAGATCCCGCTGGGTGAACCAGAGCGGCAACATATATTATGTAGAGAAAGTATGTTTGCATGCAAATGTAGATGATATTTCACTTTTCGTCACTCAGCTGTTTGTTGCACATACATGGTCCTCCACAAAAGAAGACGATGAAGAGGATGATCACAGCGAAGGTAACGTACGGAACCCAAAAACTTGAGTCCTGAATGAAAACAGATACTTATTAGTTTAAGTTACTTATCTTTTTTTAACAAAGGAAGTTTTTGAAAAATCATTTTAGTGCAGCAATAATAGTTAATAGAAATTTCCTCTTTACCACTTTCTCAGTCCAGTTCTGTGTTTGGAGACATAAATAGATGGCTACACTGTATCTGCTCAGGTTTTGCTTCTGTTACTCTGCACTGGAAACCCAAACAAGTTCAGAAAACTCAAATTTTTTGTCATAACCAAGTTATGCTGATAAATTTTTTGAGTTGCACTATTCTTAAAAAATATGTGTTCAGTTGACTTAATCTTTATTCTCAGTTCACTACTGTGTGGACATTTTTTTTAAAGTAGATTGAACAAACCCTAACCCTTAACCTAATATTTATGTTGTCGTACGACTTGAAAAATTAACTGTACTCAATGTATTACATCAATACTCAAATCATTACACCTTAATGAGCTCAAAGTATTTACTACTTGCCAACTTAAAATGTACAATACACCCTGTTATCATTTTGTAATGCTTAAAAGTTTGTATCTGGTTCAGTTTTCTTATGCAGTCCCACACTTCATTTTTAAATGGTTAAAAATGTCGAGTGCACCAGCAGAACACAGTTTGTGTTTTGGCAGAGATAAGTGAACTAAGCGCCTGCTTAAGGCCCCACAGCCAGGAGGGGGCCCCCAAGAGCATTGAAAAAAAAATAATAATAATAATAAATACATTTTATTTTTTTGCATGTATGAGTGACGCTTTCTGTATAATCAAATACATATTATTGTAAAAATAAAATAAAGTAAAAATATTTTAGTGCAGCTGCTGATGTAGGCCTATGATTCTTACTGCCAATATGTCAAAGCTCTGCTACCGTTATGTGCCTCCTGCTGTGCAATGTGCACTGAGCATCCTGAATGTGTTACATTTTGAGATTAAAAACCATATGTGGCACCCTGAACATCATTCATCAGTCATTCATTGGTATTATTTGTGTGGTTGCATTAATATTATTTATGTTCTTACCTAGGCCCCCCTCTTAAATGTGTAAAGACATGTCAGGCACATTAAATTTATCCTGTAGCAGGTGTGTGAATGATCAACAATCAGTATTATTGGCAGAAATAGAGGGCCCGAAAATCAAATTTAGCTTAGGGCCCCATTGAGGCTTGGGCCGGCTTTGGTGTTTGGCATCTAGGTGTCAAATCTTTGTGGAGTCTATAGATGGATCCTGGGAGGTGATAGATTAAGTTTAAGCCTCAGTTCTAGTTTAGGGCAGTGGTGGCACCGGCAGCTCTTTGGGCCCGTGTATTGATACTAGTTTATCCCTGCGGTTGTTTCATTGTTTGGTTGCACCATAAGTACACATGGTTCATGAGTGTCAGTATTTACAAGTGAGAGAGGTCTACCTTCAGATTGAGTGTGACTGTGGCTATCACCCAGCAGGCAGACATGAGACCATAACCCACCCAGAACAACACCCTCCTCCCTGTGCGCTCAATCAGCAAGCTCTGAGGAGAAAGTGAGGGAAAATGAGCTATTGATTAATGATAGAAACTGCAATCTGAAAAAAAAAATACTCTAATATTTTTTTTTTCAATGCCTCAGCGAGTTATCTGTGGTGCACAAATAGCTGCAGTTCAAATCACTTGAAAAGCAAATTAAAAGTCTCCCACAGACTCTTTTTATAGCCCAGGGTTTTAATAAAGGCAACTTTTAAGCTCAACCAAGAGATTGACTCACACAGGAGATATAGGTGACAATTTCAGTTAATCCAAGACCCAGGGTCACGTAGCGGATCATGTCTTTCTCTATACCTGCCCTCAGGAAGATGTCGAAAGAGAAGACAGTGATCTGGAAGGGAGGGACAGACATACATCAGGGTACTTTAATGTTCTCAAAAAGGTAAAATCTGTTTCAAAGGAATGATTGCTTTTCCTTACGGCAGACATGCCCGACATCTGGTTGCAGAAGTAGATGATGAGTATGATGATGAGCTGCAGTCGGACTGTCCTGTCCTTAATGAGCTGCAGAGGGGTTTTTGGTGGTGCTGCGTTGATGACTGCCTGCTCGGCCAACATCTCCTCCATCTCCTGCTTATAGTCGCCTTTACCCCACAGACTCTGCAGAGCTGAGATAAGAAAGATAAGAGACTGTAGACAACCAGTGTGATATCTACACGACGAAAAGTTAGTTCAACCCAAGCAAATCAATCAGACATCTACACTATGTTACTCTGACTTTTAACTTAGATCATCACTCCACCAGAGCCAGGTGCTCTGAACACTATTAATGCACTTAACAACACATAACATTTACATCAATAGATTAAGCAAAGACTTAAAGGGATATTCCAGCATAAAATTAATTTAGGGTCAAACACACCGTAACACCGAGTTAGACACCCCCTTGAGAGGTGAATGTTGCCGACTGCTTGCTTCTCTAGTTATACCAACTTTAGTCACGACAGCAGGATAGCAATACACAGCGGTCTGAGGAGCCATAAACAAACCTCAACCAAAACACCACTCTATAGCCACAAATAATGCTCAGAGCAGCACCTAACTTCATCAACAGTACATATAGGGTCCCAGCCACAGTACTAGCCACCAAACATCCTTTTAAATTTGCTTAATTTCTCTAGCAAAGAGACAAAACACAACTCACCTACTCTCTTCCAGCAGCCACTTGTTTGTAGCAAGACCTCAGACCAGTCCATTACGGACTGCCGCTGGGTGACGCAGCTCAACGAAGAACATTTCTGATCATTACTTTATCATTTCCTTGAAGTAATAATTACCATATTAATCATTTTGCACTGCAGATGCTGTAGTTCTTCTGCCTTAGCGTCTTGTTCTGATTGCATTTCCATGAAAAAATGATCATAAATGTTCTTCCTTGAGCTGTGTCACCCCGCTGCAGTCCATAATGGACTTGCCTGAGGTCTCCCTACAAACAAGCGGCTGCTGGAAGAGAGTAGGTGAGTTGTATTTGTTCTCTTTGCTAAAGAAATTAGGCAAACTTAAAAGGGTTTTTGGTGGCTAGTGCTATGGCTGGGACCCTATATGTACTGTTGATGTTAGGTGCTGTTCTGAGCATTATTTGTGGTTGCAGAAGTAGATAGACTGGCGTTTTGGTTGAGGTTTGTTAATGGCTCCTCACACTGCTGTGTATTGCTATCCTGCAGTAGTTACTAAAGTTGGTATAACTAGAGAAGCAAGCGGTCGGCAACATTCATCTCTTTACAGGGTGTCTAACTCAGTGTTACAGTGTGTTTGACCCCAAATTAATTTCATGCTGCAATATCCCTTTAAGAACCACAAGCATCAAAAGCAGTGAGTGTCAGTGTAGCCAAAAGAATCATCAGGTTAACCCAAAAATAACAACTTCGATAATACACTTATGCAACTGTGTAGTGCTTATGGAGCTGTGGTATAAAAGCAATATCCTACAGGAGGGGGAGGTGTTATACTCGATATCAACACAGCTGTGGTTAGCATGAAAAAAAACAAGATTTCATCCCAGTTGTGCCGATGTACTGTGTAGCACAACTTGCTCTTGTGTGATATATTATCAATCAATTGATCAAATTTTATTGATATAGCGCCAAATCACAAGAGTCGTTATCCCAAGACACTTTCCAATTACAGTGCATTAAATTGATTTTTAAATCCAGGTACTGATATGAATTGCTTTACACAGTTATTATAGACATAAAACTTCATATAACCCTCTTTGTAATATGACTAAATGGTCTTCCTTGAGTTCTATTCTCTGACTGTAATAGGCTCTTTCGTCAGGTCCTGCAGAAAAAAAAAAAAAGAAAATATACCAACCTTTTTTGCATGCCTCATCTTCACCTTTCTCTATGAATAAGTATCTGGGGGCTTCAGGAAGGAAAGGCAAGACTATAATCTGAATCAATGAGAAAAATGAGGGGACACAGAGAAGGACGTTCCACAGCTCCTCACGACCGAGGATCTCACTGAAAATGAACACCATACAGATGAGGTAAGACGTTTCTAAATGTGCAACATTTTACCTTCTATCTTAATTTCTTGTTCTTTTTTGCAAAACTAACAAGACTTAAAACAAAATCTTGTCCACGGGGCTGCGATCCTTGAGCTTATCAAATTCTTCTCCTTTGCAGAAATATTGACATTAGAGGGTCCTACCTGAGACCAAAAAACTGCCCTGCCAATTTTCCAAGTGACAGGAAGGTGGGGTATGTCACAGCCACTATGCCTCTGAGCCTCCTGGGTGAAATCTCTCCCAGATACATTGAGTGGGTGCTGCCTACCAAACCTGCAGGCCAAGAGGACATGTTACTCCAACACCGAGAGGGTTAATGTTCATGGTTTGCTTGTCAAATAAAAAGGTGTCTTACCTGCAGCGAAGCCATATAAGATCCTCGCCACGATAATCATTTCATATGATTTGGCATATTTACTCATCAGTACGATCACAGCCGCAACAATCCCGATCCAGCTGCTGCAGATCATTGCCTTTTTTCTGATGAAGGGTCACATGACATTCAAATCTTCTCAGGCTTTCAGACAAAAATGCGCTCAGTCTGTCTTATCTCACCTTCCTATTGTTCCTGTGATAAATTTGACACTTATAGCACCACAGAGTCCTCCAACTGCATACAGAGAAACAATGAGGGACCAGATCATGGTGACCGTCTGTGGTGATGGAGGCTCTCCATATCTGTCATACCAGGTGCTGTTGATGAAGCCCTGAATGAACTGCAGGAGAAGAGTTTTAGCTTTGAGGAATTAAGAAGAAATTTCAAAATGGGGCTTCATTTGACTTTTCCTGCTCGAACAGACAACATCCAAACATCTGCAAGAAACTGGTGGAGCAGGAATTTGAAGAGAAGCAAACAATGACAAAAGAAATGGTGTGATCAACGCGACTCACCGGTGAGGGAGAACTCAGTCCAGTGTTTTGGTAGCCAATTTGAAAGCTACCGCTAAACCCCAGAATAATGATGAGGAGCAGAGCGTTACCCTGGGTCTACAAGGCAGAGAGAGAACTCAGTAGACTCACAGTGAAAGTGAAGATGAAAAAAAAAGATCTGCTAAAACCGAAGTGCTGCAAACCAGGGAGCATCAATGATAAAAAAAGAGACAGTCACCACACAGTCTTTGATAAACGGTGATGTTTTGATCACAGGTCCTCTTGTACATGAGGAGTTTTCCTCTAATCACGAGTTTATGACCTCGCTGTAATAACAAAGCAATGAAAGGCTGAGTTCAGGGTGAACGAATGAATAATATTCACCATTTTCGCCTGGCTAAAACCTATCCATGTCTAGTCAATGTGTCTTTTTTTCACACTGACTGAAGAGAAAAGTGCAGTTTTTGAGGGAAAGGAATAATACTTCATCATATCTAGGGTCTTAAAATAACACTAAAAGTTTATATATTCAATCAGATACTGTTTTTTGTATTGAATAACTAAGTTTAAGAAAAACATCACACCCTGACTAACCCCAATGAGTCAACTTGTGATTTCGCTGAGTCACTGAGCTCTGACAAACCAAAAAGCAACCAGTTTACCTCAAACATTAGTGTGTCTTTTTTTTTCTTTTTTCATTATTAAACCTATTTCTCTTGCTATGATTTGTTGTTGATAAAGCTTTGGTGAAGACAGAAAAATAACATGTTTCTGAAGATTATTGCCCAAACATACTTTGCTTTAACTGTCTTCAACTTTCCTGAAGTATGTGATTAAAAATTGTTCAGTGTTACGTTAATGAATTACTATAAAAATGTAGTAAAACTAAAAGTAACCAAAGTATAACCTACCAGCTGTTGCAGGAGTGTTTCCATTCTGTCTTCACTGTCATGGATGTTACAGTACTTGTGTTCAAACTGCACAAGACTCTGTTAAGTACTTCAGGCAGGTTATCATTAACTTTCTGGACTTTATGGCTACAGAATAATGTGACAATGATCTCCCTGGTGTCAGTAACTCATCTGCACAGTGTCCTGGAGTGAGTGGTACTCTCGCGGACAGTCCATCTGACTAAGCGAGCTTAGGTTATGGAGGATTTCAGAGGGTCATTGAAAAGTCATGTAACTGTTGCTTCATTTTAGCAGAGCAAAAAAGTCTAAATCAGTTGCCAAATTTAACAGGCCTGAAAATGACAGAGACTCCCTGTTTGAGCATTTTCATTATTTAGATATCCGTGAAGCCTTGACACCGTGGACCACAGCATCTTTGACATTCGTTAACAGTTATTAGGAGCCAGTAGATAACACAGATGTATCAGCATCCCATCTCCTCTATGAAAACTTATTTTTCAAAACATATAATGCAAAAAACAACAACCCGATGACATACACATTGGCTCTATCACTGTTTTGTCAACAGCCAACTGAGCATGCTCCTCCTCTAGTGTTTGCAATCTTTCATCATATCACATGGAGAAGTGATGAAAATTGAGCTTATGAAGTTTGCACTGTAATATCTACAATAAAAGACTGGACATGGTTTTCATTCTTCCTTTATAACTCTTATGTCACTCCGCTGTTTTTTTTTCCTCTTTGTAAATCTTCTACATCTGCTGTGTCTTTATTATCCTATAAAGGAAATATAATTACCCCACTGTACGAAATGTACAAGAGGTATAAAGTGCTCCTGTCTTCTCTTATAGTGTAATATAGTCATTTTATAATCAGATTACTTAACAGAGGGATTACATGGATTTGACCATAAGCATATATAGGTTTGTGAAAGGCAAAATATCATGGGTTCATATGGGACAGTTTATATTGAATTCATGAAACTTATTTTCAATTAGCTATCACAGCAGATCTATACAGACTTTAAATATGGTTTCCTTCAGGAAGTAATTTCAACTGTATTTCTCCTTTTCTTCTGCAGGTTTGACGCATCTCTCAGAAAAAAAGTTTGTTCAGAAGAAATTCAAAATACAGTAGTACCAATTGAAAATGCAGGACTGTGTTTTTCACAAACATTCAGTACAAAACAGCCAGAATCTCTGCAATGCACAGAGGAAATGTGAGCTGGCCTTTGAGACAAAATCAAGAAATGTAAACACATCAAACTAAAACAGCCATTTCAGTTTTATTGGGACCAGGGCCCACCTACAAACCCCAGAAAGCATTTTGTATGTTATCTTTATCATTGTCTTTATTTTTGTAGTCATTGAAACCCAACAATCATGCAGCGTAAGGCAATGTGATGGATACTGATGCATAATAAAGTTAAGTTTGTGACCAGGCAAAGATATAAAGTTAACACAAACCTAGAGGTCATTAAATGCACATGACAAGAGTCGATAAAACATTTACATGGGTTCGAGAGCAGGAGATGTGCATTTCAATCACAAATGAAAAGCTTTTCTCTTTTTGCAAAACATAATATACTGCTGGAGTACTTGAGAAAAATAGAGAGCAAAAGTAAGTTTGAGGAGGAGGTTCATTTCATGACTAACATATTGCTGCAAGGTTGCATGTATTGAGACAAAGATTTAACGGGATATTCCAGCGTACAATTAATTGAGGGTCAAACACACCACAACACCGAGTTAGACATCCCCTTGAGAGATAAATGTTGCCGACTGCTTGCTTCTCTAGTCATACCAACTTACGTAACAACTGCAGGATAGTAATACACAGCGTTCTGAGGAGCCATAAACAAACCTTAACCAAAAAGCCACTCTATAGCCACAAATAACGCTCAGAACAGCACCTAACTTCATCAACAGTACATATAAGGTCCCAGCCATGTTTCAAGCCACCAAACATCTTTTTAACTTTGCCTAATTTCTTTAGCAAAGAGACTAAACACAACTCACCTACTCTCTTCCAGCAGCCGCTTGTTTGTAGCGAGACCTCAGGCCAGTTCATTACGGACTGCAGTGGAGTTTTGCAGCTCAAGGAAGAACATTTATGATCATTTCTTCATGGAAATGCAATCAGACCGAGATCATAAGGCGGAAGAACCACCGCATCTGCAGTGCAAAATGATAAATAATGATAAAAATCAATAATATTGATTATTACTTCAAGGAAATGATAAAAAATGATCATACATGTTCTTCCTTCAGCTGCATCACCCTGCAGCGGTCTGTAATGGACTGGCCCGAGGTCTCGCTACAGACAAGCAGCTGCTGAAAGAGAATAGGTGAGTTGTGGTTAGTCTCTTTGCTAAAGAAATTAGGCAAAGTTAAAAAGATGTTTGGTGGCTAGTGCTATGGCTGGGACCCTATATATACTGTTGATGAAGTTAGGTGCTGTTCTGAGCATTATTTGTGGCTTTAGAGTGGCGTTTTGGTTGAGGTTTGCGTGTGGATCCATAGACCGCTGTGTATTGCTATTGTGCGGTCGTTACTAAAGTTGGTATTACTAAGCAAGTGGTCGACAACATTCATCTCTCGGGGATGTCGGAATATACCTTTAACGGCCTCACTATCCATTCTTACATACTTTTCGTATGACTGGTCCCCCCGTCAGAACCAGCAAAACACAATCCTGACTTTATGGGTCATATATTTACCGAGAAAGAAACCAATGTATCCCTTTAATACCGATATGTCCAAACATATTCTAAATCAGCTAAACCAAAACTAAGTCTTAGTGTCCCTCCTCTCATGCCTTTCTTTCTGCAAAAGAAAACCAGCACCAAAGCGATGTTGTAGTTCTTCTCTGTGTCCAGCAGAGGGCGGTAAATATTTTATATGTAGTTAAATTTCAGTCCTCTCCGCTCTTGTCTCTGCTCACAGTCAGACGCTCCGGCGGAAACGTCGCTCCTCAGTGTTTTCCGTAGTCATCGTAGACTAGCAGGTAACGGCTGACAGTGGACTTAGTGCACACAAAGAAAAGATTTAGTTAGTATCTTTGTCTCATTTTCTCAAAATGCCACTGGAGAATCTGGAGGAAGAGGGTCTGCCTAAGAACCCTGACCTGAGAATAGCCCAGCTGAAGTTCCTGCTGACCATGGATGGTCACCGACAGGATGCTAAAGTGAAGACGGAGCTGATGGACTCGATCAAAGCTAACAGTGAGTTAGCACAAAACCGCAATAAGTCATGGTAGCCGAAATAGCCAGAACACTCTACAAATGTTTTAATGTATACACTTAAATGTTTAAGTTGTGGCTTTTTTGTCTCGGGAACATCGAAAAACACACGAAAACATTTTACTAGCTCATGGGGAAACTAGCATGTCAGCTAGTTTTTAGCAAACGCCTGCTAACTAACACGAAATGTGTTCGCTATTAGATACTGTACACCGATAAACTATATCATTGTGAACTTAAGGGTACAACTAATGTTTGTGTCACGAAGGGTGTAATGATAGTTTTTGTTGAAACGAACAGTGTGTGATATTGAAGAGTCTGCTGTCATTTTAATAGACTTCATTAGCAAACACAAAGGGAGGAGAATATTCACTAAAATGCACCACAGTATACCTGAAACACTATTTATTGTTTTTAATAACAGGTTTTCACCTTTCTGACCATGCCAAGAAAAACTGAATATGCACAAGTTTCTTAAAAAGTAGATTTTGCTGAAACATGAACCGGGGTTACAAACTACAGGTGTTTTTCTTACAGGCTTTTGGCTCAATCCCCAAATAACAAAACCTTTTTACAAAACAGATCAGGCTCACTTCTTAGAACAATAAGTTTGTTCACAACAGGTCAGAGTTTCTCATTCATTTAGGTAAACCTCACTTCTTTTTTAAAATTGTTTGTTTGTTTGTTCATGTGGACACAAGAGCGGGACACAAAATTCTTTTGTGCATTATGATTTTCAGTGAACTTGTCAAACCCCTCTCAGCTCAGAAACACTCACAGTTTCATGCAGAATTATTATTTTTTACTAGGGCTGGGTGATGTGTGAAAAAGTTTATCATGATATATATTTTTTCATATCAGTCTATATCGATATATATATCACATGTATAAAAAATGAAATTTAACAGTGCTTATTGGTAGCATGTCTTTTGCAATACAATAAGCTACTGCATCTGTGAGGTCTTTGTGTCTCTTTGACATTTTATTGTAAGGCATTGCACTAAAGAAAGTGGACTGTTTCTGCTGCACAAGCACCATGGGCCCCTTGCTTCGCTCAGGGTTTGAAATCTTGTGCATTGCGCATGCTCTGCTGTGTGGCACTGCTTCAAGTGGTGAAAAAGATGTGAGGTATTCCCCAACTTTGCAAGAACATGTACTCAACATAATTTGGAGTGCACATTACTCTTCTTCATGTCCAACCTCAAAATACCTCCACACCACCGACAATTTCGTGCCAGTGTTGTTGATGATGTCATCATCTGTTGAGTCTTAAGGTCCTCACACACTGGGAACGATGCAAATATAAGACGCGAAATTAAAAAATAATTTCGCAAATGATTTTGATGCGCCTGACTATACACATCAAGTACAATGTGATTTTGCAACTTTCGTGACTTTTGTGTTTAAAAAGACGCGTCCCGGGTGGAAGCGATAAGACTGACACAACAGCAGACTGACTGTTTTCAGTTCCGATTAGACACTCATGTTGAGATGGCTGTCTGTCATGATAGCATGTATTGAGTCGGGGCCAGTACCAGATAAGCACATGAAACTGACAAAACAACTTTTCATTCTGGTGGCACTGGTTATACACATGAGAGAAAATCTAGTTTTTGCATCATAAACAAAATGTTTGGGTGTCTTAACTACCCTTTTCAAACATGCAGTTTTAGATTAATACACCATGAAACAGTTGAGATGATTTGACTGACAGTTTAGAGAAACTTAAGACTGTCCCCAAAAATGAGCTAAAAGAATTTGAGGAAAAAGTGTAGAAGCTTTTAAACCTGAACCATCAGAGTTTATCAAACAATTTTTTCCCCCTCTCTACAGACATGGCACCGTACTATGAGGGCTTGTGTAAGGATCTGAAGTGGCAGCTGGACAGTGACCTGCTGAGTAAAATGAAGAAAGCCAATGAAGAGGAGCTGAAGCGCCTGGATGACGTGCTTGAGGATGCAGAGAAGAGCCTGGGAGAGAGCGAGATTCGAGACGCCATGATGGCCAAAGCTGAATATCTGATCAGAATTGGAGATAAGGTAACGCTTCACTCAGCTGACACAACATTCATAGCTGAGCCAGAGTCTGTCCAGACCACTCTGACACCCTGAATATAATTCCTTGAACCTGGCCTTTGGGGCACGCCAACTATTTGCCACTGTCACAAGGTGACACCTCACACCCAACAGTGTTTAGTAGCGTGGATGCCTTTATAAAATAAGAAATATATGCACTGTGATGTAAAACTGGCCAATATTATGATAATAACTCACCATTTTTATGTTTCCAACAATGTCTGCATTTGCAATATGAATCCAAAGTAAATCCAAGAAACATTTTCCACCTTAAGATAAGAACCAATAATCTGACTGCATCAAAATAGTGTAAAAGAGTGACCTTTATATTCAGGCTTTCACCCACTAGATAAAGTTGAAGGGTTGACTAAGTGAGATAATATTGTTGACTTGAATCAAAAAACTTTTCTTATCTATTGTGTAGATTTCAAGTCTTCAGGATGTGGTTATTGTAAATGATCATTTTGTGACAACACTGAAACCATTTTTAACTGTGCAGGCCCGGACTGTAGAAACTAAAGGTGCAGCCGCGTGTGTCTTTACCATCAGAGCTCTTCATTCACTCCTCATAACAGCTGCCTATTACTGCACAGCATCACACTAATAGTTTTTAGATATCTACAGTATACTATATACTGTAGATATACTGTAGGTTACTGCTCTTCATGCTGACAGGAAGACCGACTGATCAAACTTGGACCAGGAAAGTGTTTTCCATCCCTGCGCCAATCGGTGCCTCCGCGTCTTAACTCATGTTACTCATTTCAGTCCGGTCTCCTCTGCAGACATGCAGCTGCCTCAGTAAGAGAAGTAGCTCGATCACGTAATGTGTACTGTTGTTTATTCTACCGTTACTGGCACGGCTAACAGTGTAGCAAGGCTAACAGCAGATGGCTAACTTTAGCTTGTATATTACACGGTGCTTCACCGTTAACTCGGCGTGACCGAGATCAGCACAGCGGAGAACATCGTGAAGTGTGTAAATTCAAACTTGCCGGCGAAAACTGGCGAGTTTTGGCCAATTACCAATTAGTCTCATACGGGCTAAAACTGGCCAATTTAATTGGCTCGCTGATAAATCGTTCAGGCCCTAATTTCTACATAACTTAAGATCAGAATCAACTTTTTTGATATGACTTAATTATTTTTAGCTTATTTGCAGGTTGTCTGTCATTAAACGAGTCAAACTCTAATCGAAAAAAAAAAAAACTCACATTTTTGTCATTATTCTGATTTTGGATGTTTCATAAGGGTTATTCCTTGTTGCACTTTTCGGTGTTAGTTTTGTGGATTGATAAAAGAAAGTTGTATGGTTTGTATTTCTTTTTTTTTATTTGACTTCAGCATGATGAAGACATTTAAAAGTTGGCCATCTACGTTGTTTGTTTGGTAGTCTCATACTGAATTGTATTTTCTGTTTGCAGGAGGGCGCTCTGACAGCCTTTAGGAAGACCTACGACAAGACGGTGGCTCTGGGTCACAGACTAGATATCGTCTTCTACCTGCTGAGGATCGGTCTCTTCTACATGGACAGTGACCTCATCACACGCAACTCTGAGAAAGCAAAAAGGTGAGGTCTCTTCTATCCTCAGCTGGAAACATTTTTGCTAATAGTGTCTCAGTGGTGTTGTAGGTTCTCATCCACTTCACTGTGTTTACAGCCTCATTGAGGAGGGGGGAGACTGGGACCGGAGGAATCGTCTAAAGGTGTACCAGGGCCTGTACTGTGTGGCCATCAGGGACTTCAAACAGGCTGCTGAGCTCTTCCTCGACACAGTGTCTACCTTCACCTCGTATGAGCTCATGGACTACAAGACCTTTGTCACCTACACCGTCTATGTCTGTATGATCGCCCTCAAGAGGCCTGACCTCCGAGAAAAGGTAGATCTCAGAGAGGAAGTTTGTTTGAATTTCTCACTAATGTCAGCAGTGAAAAAGATGATAAACACAGTGGAAATTTGTGCAAATTTTCACCATTGTTGTACTGTTGTGTGTTGTCTCTAGGTAATAAAGGGAGCAGAGATCTTAGAGGTGCTGCACAGTCTGCCTTCTGTCCGCCAGTATCTGTTCTCCCTGTACGAGTGCCGTTACTCTGTCTTCTTCCAGTCTCTGGGTGAGGAATCTTGACCGTGATTGTCATAAAAACATTGAAATTTTTTTTTTTTAATTTAAATGTGATTCACAAATGATTGAAAGACTTGATTTCCCTTCACAGCCATGGTGGAGCAGGAGATGAAGAAGGATTGGCTTTTTGCGCCACACTACCGTTACTACGTGAGGGAGATGAGGATTCAGGCCTACAGCCAGTTGCTAGAGTCCTACCGCTCACTCACCCTGGGCTACATGGCTGAGGCGTTCGGTGTCAGCACAGAGTTCATCGACCAGTGAGTGCCAGTACACCGTGTTCATATATCAGATCTGTGGTCACATTAACGGTAACAGTCAATTACACTGGTTGACCTTTTGTTCTCTTCAGGGTTTAGGAGCAGGGAGGTGTTGGAGGGCATATAAATGCTCTCAGATAGAGCTGGGTAGTTTTTTAGGAACGGGCATGATTAATCAATGAATCAGGATCAGAATGCCCTTTATTGTCATCATATTGGAGAACAACGAGGTTGGAGAGCTTTTCTACCTATTTCAAGTGCAATAGATAAGTAAAAAAAGAGAAAAACAGAAACAAAATTAAGAGGTACAATAAAAATAGGTACAAAATATATACAATGTGCAATGAAAACTATATACAAGAATAAGGAAGATAAATAAATATTAAGAATAATATATGTGTGTGTGTATTCATATATCTTATATGTATTTATATGTACAATGATCGATTAATTGATCGTTAAGAATTGCGTCGATCGCGCAAAATTTCGATTGATCGAGGAGGGCAGGTTTTTTTGCTTATTTTCTGCCGTTCCCATGAAAAGATGATCAAATTGATGATTGATCGTTAATTAATATGATTAATTGATTAAGGGACTTTTTTAAAATGCCCATCTCTAGTTTTTATAGCCTCATGTTACCATGAAAAAATCTGATGGACATACATTTTGGATAATGATTTTGTCCTGGGCGTGATTTACTCTAAGAGTTCTTCATTTGTTATTGTTCTGTTGCAATATTTAAGCAGCTGCCTCACACCGATGCTTTAAATGAATAATTCTTTCCAAATCAAGTGGATTTCTGATCTTGATTTGAGGGAAATTGGGTTGATAGCTCTAGTTAGTGTTTGTCAGGACAGCACCCATATTGCATATCGACCCTGATACTCTGACCGCACGGCCAAGCTTTGTCGTGTCGCTGCAGTAACGTAACATGACTCTTGTACAACTTCAGACTTTCTGTTGTTAAAGAAAAAAAAAACTCTCCCATGTCTTTGCTCTTTGATTTGAGATGTACACTCTCACTGCTCTGTACTGTATGTGTCTTTAAAAGACATACACATTACTGAGCATTACAGCATTGATTCTGTACCATGCATTGATGCAGAGTGCATGATGGCATATTGCAGTATCCATAATTGGAGCACAGCCCTTCAGATAACGTTATGTCATAGATTTTTAGATTCAGGCTGGACCAGCGCTGATCAAGAATTCTTAGAAAACTATGCGGGAAATTTATTTCTGTACTTGTCATATTCTGAAGCTGAAAACATTAAAGCAATGACCTGAATCCACGTTTCCTTTTTAGAAGTAGGTGTTAGTGTCAACGAAAGGTCAACAAAAGAATATTTGAACATTTACTGAAACACTTGTTTGAAAAATGAATCTTCTGTTGAATATGGAGAGAAACTGACCAAAATCCTTTTCTCCTTCCTTAGGGAACTGTCCCGGTTCATCGCTGCTGGCCGTCTCCACTGTAAAATTGACAAAGTGAATGAGATTGTGGAAACAAACAGGTAAGAGCACTGATCTAATATACGTCCAGAGTAGCCTACTTAATATGGACAGACCTCTAAACCCTTTTCATGATTCCTTCCAGACCTGACAGCAAAAACTGGCAGTACCAGGAAACCATCAAGAAGGGCGACCTGCTGCTCAACAGAGTCCAGAAGCTGTCCAGAGTCATCAACATGTAACAACCGTGGCCATGTGTTTTTTTTCATCACAGCAGGGAGACTTGCATCTTTCTTCTTGGTATACCTGATCCTGTAGTTTGTCAGACAAAGCGACTCATGTGTATATAATAAAGTTTGTTTAACTGTTGGATTGCTTTTCTCTCGACTCTTTTGATTTCAGGAATGAGACAGAGACATGGTTTCATATAAATAGCAGTATAAATTATTTTATTTACAGGAACTTGTTACAAAACAAATATACTATACAATCTTTTTTTCTTTAAATATTAATTCTAACCTATGTTTTTGTTCATGAATTACATAGCAGCCAACACATAAGTCCAGCTGAAAATGATTCTGATAATGTATACAAAAGAAATCTATACACACTTTTACATAGTATGAATGGTGGATTTAATTTCTCCTCCCAAACACGAGCTGTATTCTCTCTCACGTTCACATTCCAAGTCTATGGTGCTAATAAAAAAAAAACATCCTCGCAATGTTTCTGTTCAGCAGAAACATTTCTGGGATGTCAGTTGAGTTTGAGGGTAAACAAAACACTTGATTAAAGATTTGTGTGTGTGTGTGTGTGTGTGTGTGTGTGTACAAACATCCCAGTAAACCAAAGGAAGGGTTAAGCCACACACCAAGGCTGACAAATGTTGACGTCTTGTCTGGAAACTTTTGATAACTCCCTCTCTAAAGAAAAACACACAATACTTAAAGTGTTTCAGAATGGGCAGCTGACAAGCTCGGGTTTTTACCACATTTAGGGTTCATAGGCAGATTTAAAAGCAAACTCCTAAACACTTTGAACATTCAAGTAAGGTAAAACAACCCAAAGAATACTGTCCTCAAACAGTCAGGGTGAAACAAATTCAGGCACTTTCTCAATTTGATATTTCTTCTAAAAGCTGAAAACTATTTCTCTAAAAGCGGTGATTCAAATTACATGTTTGGCAACGGTAAAGCAAGCAGTTGGACTGTTTCGAAGTGTTCCTCTTCTTTGCAGTGATTGCGTTAAGTCCCTTCCACCTTTTATAAAAGAGCATAAGTGTTTCAATCATGAAATGTGATTAAGGTCTACATAGTGTTTGAGGAGTCCATGGAGACCAGTTATTAAACAAAGGGCACAGCTTCAAGCCTGCAGGACATTTGAAAATCACAGGCTAATTGGGTCATAATGTAACTCTTTTTTTTTTGTTGTGTTGATTCAGAGGCAACGTAAAATCTCTTGTAAAAGCACGTGTGATTGAGACCTTAAAACGTGAATAAAGGTTTCCTCTGTCAGACAGACATGCTACAGCGGCAACACTTTGTTCCTTAAAGGTTTTCAGTACATGATTCATGAGATGCTTCACTTCCTACATATAGGTGTATTGCATTATATAGACTTGGCAGTGAACCACTCTGACGTTTCATCTTTTTTTTTTCTTTAACTAAATAAATAATGACTTTTCTTTTTTATTGTACCAAATATTCAGCTTGTACGAAAAACGCCTGTGCAAAAATACATATTTCTCTATGTACAATTTGTTAACAAAATATGTATTCTCAAATAGGGAGACTTCAATACTCGTTTGATACATAGGCTACAAGAGAAAAGCTAAATGATTCTTTAAAAAAAGTCGACTCCACTTCTTACAATCTGACATCAGTGAAGGTTCCCTAAATGAAAAGTTGTTGCCAAAAGTTTCGATAAGTCCCGTGAAGCCATCTCGATGAATCTTGCACCATAAAACCCACACAAGAAGACCACTCAAAGAAAAAAAAACAAAAACAAAGCAAACGTCCCAGCAAGATGGGCAAGTATTGCCTGATTTAAGACTCCATTTTGACAAAGGAATAGAGTTAAATGCCTGGCCATCTACTGCGACACATCTCTTTTCAACACACACACACTTAGTGTTCTGGCAGGGCATTGAGAGTTTGAACATCCAGAGCTGGGGTAGTGGTTACACACAGGAGGGACAATCAAGCCCACAGAAGACGGGTGACGTGCATATAGTTTGCTCCAGTTGAGACGCACCATACCTGATTCCCTAAGTGGGAAAAATATTACAATTCACATCTGCCCACAGCTGCTGTGGACGTTCATACAGCCTTACGGGTAAAAAGTAGGTCGGTTGTGGCAAATAAGGACAGGGTCTGCACTGATTTACCTTCATGTCCACACAGGCAATGCACAATCACCGTTTCACAAACGATACTGCCCACCTTTTTAGTTTCAAATAAAAAAAGTAGTTGGCAAAGCTGGTAGCAGCTGTTGGCTAGCTCTGAAGACAACTAAGCAGTGCCTGTGGAGAAAGTAGTTTTTAGTGCTGTTCACAGTTGGGGGTAGGTCTACTGTTGCTGTCATTTGCACAATGGAAAGATTCAGAAATGAACAGGTTTCCTAAAGACCGAGCTATCTCTCTGACAAAAGATTCAATCGAACGGGCACATCAGGCGTCCTATTCACATTTGAAAGCACAACTGTCTCCACCACGTCTACAAAGACTCTTTGTAGTTCAGTGTAAAAAGCTCATAAGAAGTCATAAAAAGGTAACACTTGCATAATTATTCTGGATAATAAAAAGTGACCAGGTCGTCCCAAGGGGCCTCTCCCGGGCGACTGCATGCGACCCGAGGTGACTCAACGCGCCAGCCGAGAGACAGACCAACAGAAAGCGAAACAACAAGGTGATTGTGTGTTGTTTAAGGTGTTGAAAGTAACAGTTTTCTGCTCCTCATGCTCTCCATCCAAGGCTTCTGAGATCAGGCGCTGGGGGTGTAAATAAGTCGGAAATTCCAGTAGTCCAGTAGAATCTGACATGACTAAAATATTCGTACTCACGCGCACAATCACACAGTCATTCTGACAAATGCAGAGGAGATCCGCTTGTCGTCTCCTCGGCGTCGGTTGCTCAGCGTCATAACGGCTTGTTGCTGCAGCCCTTAACCTGAACCCAATGAGCCAGCGGCCCACTGAGGTTTCTATTGTTCCTCCTTCCTCCAAGCAGACAGGAAGACCTCACAGAATACAGGGACGACACTCGTGTGAGGGGTCCTCGGCCATCTCATTGGAACCCCTGTCGCTCCACGCGTTCTCCACACAGTACCACTTTGCCTTTCACACACACACACACACATACACACACATTCACACACATTCACACACACCCTCACCAACACACACACATGGCTTTGGGAGAAATTGTAAGGACCACATTGACTTCACTGGGCAGTCCAGATCATCTCCACCCTGAGGATTGTGGGAAGCTGAGAGTAATGTGGGTTTGACTTTAGAAGGCCTCGTGCAGTCCAGAGCAGTAAGCGGGCTGCCCCAGACTATTCCCCATCCACCTGCTGCTTCCATACCCAGAAGCCGGATACCGTTGTCAGGGACGAGCCTTTGGCTGGGGAAATAATACGAGAAGAAAAGGGGTCATCATCTGTCTGTAAAGTAAACTGCTGCTAAAATATGATTAAACGCAATGAACAGAAGCACACAAATCAAAAAGCTCTGCAGGTTTTATCACTAAGCCTGAAGAATAAAAACTCAGCATAGATCTTCAACACGAGTTCGCAGTGTTGGAATGATTTAACTTTACCAAACTACTCATAAAACAAGTGCAGCAACACCAATATCACCACCATCAAACTAAACGTTTTCAGCGGAGCTCTGACCCCCAACTTCCACGGCATCTGGAACGGCTACGAAAAGGTTGTATCCGCCGATCGCAGCTGATCGTAACCATTCAAGTTCATGTGTCAATTTCCACAGGCTTCTTTACGTTCCGCTGTGGATCGCCGGACTCCGCAGCTGATCGCAAGACTTCTATTATTTCTGGACACCGGAGCATGCCGGCTAGATTCAGAACGGATTTACCCGTGCTGGAAAGGAAGTCGGGCACAGACACAAAATAAAACATCCGGCTTCTTTTCAAAATAAAGCACTCCTAACAAGTGAAAGTGACACCAATGACACCATGGATGAGGAGATGCTGATTGTAAAAGTCTAGAAGTGGATTTCCTCCTATGGAAGGACAAAATCTACTGCTTATATGGTTATGTAGCTATAGAGACAACTCGTTATCGCGCGATGCACGTGAATCTGCGGGTTCTTGTAAATACTCGAGATCCTTGCTGTCTGTAATCTGCCACGAAATTCGCCTCACAAACAACGAAAATTGCAGCCGTTCCGGATTGGAGCCATTCAGGATGCGGTGGAAATTTAGTCTCTGAGACTCTGAGTTTAGACATAGAACGAGATGATGGCCAATCAGGCAACTAGCTGACTGTAGGAGGAAGCGCCACAATCGCAGCCATGGCAACAATAGTAGATGCTATTGCAGATGCTAGCATTTCAATAACGGAGGACTTACAAAAATAACATCCTTTAAGACAACACAATCAAATGGATAAGAAGATAAATCAATAGAAGTGACCACAGCTAAGCAGCAAGTCTCATTTAGATGACAACCACCTCATAGTTGGCCATGTTTGTCTACTGTAAAGTCACGTTAGATTGGGAGAGATTGGGAGAGATTGGGAGAAAAGAGTTGAAACTGTTTGAGACTCTATATCTTAAGTACATCGTATTGTGATTCAAACGAGTCACCCTCAAGTCAGACAACCATGAATTCTGGGTAAATTTGGAAGAATCCCATCACTGACATTTCAAACTCTTGCTGGTTGGCTCACCTGATGTAAATGGGAGTTGTTGGGTAGCCCTGGTGTCCCTGGAATGCTTCGCCCATGCTTCCCATGGATGTTGTTAATGGCAGGTGACTTAGCCACTTTGGGTCTACCTGGTCCTTGTCCTGGGCCCATCCCCGGCCCCCCTCCTCCACCACCTCCACCAAGCCCTCCCCCTCCACCGCCGCTACTGATGCCACTGGAGGCAGGGGAACTTTTGCGCTTCTTGCCTTCTAGGCGTCCGTCTGAGGGGTGGTGGCTGAAGCTGGTGTGGTGGTCCGATGAGGACTGGTGATGCACAAAGGGCCCCAGGGAAAGGGTGGAGTCACTGCTGTTCATCACCACACTCATGCGCTTGATGGACTCCGCGGGGCTGCCTGAGGGAGGACCCCGTACTGGGGGCCCAGAGGAGCCGCCTGCTGATCCTCCAGAAGGCTCAGCTTTGAGGCTGAGTGAGTTGGTCCGAACAACAGGGCCACAGTTTAGTCCCACGCTGTGGACTCCGCTATGAGAGGAAGATAGTGATGATGAGGATGCAGGACCTAATGAGCCATGATGGTAGGTGCTCCCTGAGCTTCCAACATTTGCACAGTTCTTCTTAAATGAGGAGGAGGAGGAGGAAGAGTAGTTGGCATTAGAAGAGGAGGATTCAGGAGGGCCATGGGATGAGGACAGAATTGAGCTGTTCTTTCTTTTCTTCCCAGAGCTGAAGCTTGAGCTGCTACTGTTACTGTTGGCTCCACTGTTGCCCCCACCTGTGGAGTTGGGGATGACAGGAGTAGAGGAGCCAGAGGAGATTTCTTTGGGCCTGAAGGATGATGACGACTTGGTAGTGCTGCTGCTGCTGGAGGAGCGGGATTTGAGCGCCCGGCCTGAGGCTAGGGAGGGAGCCGAGGACGAGGAGGACGAGTGGGCTGAAGGCATCTGCGGCGACGAAGACACTTGTCGGGCCTGCGTAATGCCGTAGGCCGGGTGCTCAGCCCCGCCCTGAGGGGAGCTGCGGGCATTTAAGGTGGTCCCATAGGAGAGCACAGATTTGCCCTCGTACGATTGGCTATAAGGAGTTTGGGGCAGGGTGGCAGAGGGGGCCAGGAAGCCTGAAGAGGGAGTGCTACCATGGGAATTTGTGCTTGTCCTATGTGTAGGTGCAACAGAAGAGGAGTTCTCCGAGGCCAAGGGGATTTTCCTGCGACAAGAATTGATAAGGTCCATAAATGACTGTTCAGAGCACCGACATGAAGACATACGATTATAATTACTCATGACTGTTGTGGAATGTCAACTGAAAAGACTTACTTCCACATCTGAGAGTTGACATGTTTGTCCATCATTGTGGTTAGGGTGCATCGCACTCTGTCCCACCGCCGGTCAAAGGAGTAACAGCCTCTTCCAAACAGTCGACTTCCAAACGTACAGTACTGGAAACAGAAACAGGGAACAGATCATACACATTTATTTATTTATTTTTTTGTAAAGAAAATATAAATGATATCTTCCAACAAAGTGGCATCTGAACCAACGAAGGATAATCCTCAGATAAATCACAATCCTGCACAGTTAAGTGAAACGTTTACAAATCTGAGAACAGTAGGAATTCACTTACAGCTGCCGGCCGGGGATGATAACCTGAATAGTGACAGTCCAGTTTGTCTGCATTTTCCTCCCGTTCTTCGTTCTCTCCCTCGTCACTAGAGGGCCGGGAAATCCCATCGGGGATACTTTGGGGGTGGTGTGGTGACTCATGGACTACAGCGGGATCTCCGGGGGTACCACCTCCGTGAGTGCTGTTCACTCTGATGCACAGAAAGCATGGAAATGATTTTTATTACAGAGGGGAGAACAGGTAAGTACTTGGGCACTATTCAAAAACATCACAAAAACAGAGTAACATCTGAAGTGGGACGTACCGTGGAAGACCAGGGCTGTGAAATCTAGGTTTGCTGAGTTGCAAAGGCTTAGTGGTGTCTGGGGCAGGGCCGTTGCCATGAGCAACCTGGTGGGCGTCATGGGCCGCGGTGAGGTGGGAGGAGGGGTGTGGGTCCCTGAGAGAGGGGTTTTGCTGGGAATGGGGTTGGTGGAGTTCTCTCTCCCTCTCCCGCTCCCTTGTTCTGTTTTTGTGCTCCGCCAGCAGTGTGTCAAAGCGCTTCCTCCGCCCTGGCACTGCCCTCCGCTGGCTTAAGGAATGTGTCTGGTGGGTCACAGGAAAGAGCAGAGGTAAGAAGTACTGTTTAAGATTTTAGTGTTTAAGATCCAGGACAATGATGGTGCCTTTTAAATTTTTTTATTTGTTTATTAATATAAACACTCTGGCCTAAAATACAACCGCAGGTGCTTTGTCTGCTCTTCCGGTAACATAACAAGGCGTACATACAGCGTAATGATGTCACATCTGCACACAGAGTGCAACCTTTGACAGAACAGTAAGATAAGTACGCAAGGGCGCCATCCAGTGACAAAATTAAACAAGGGGAAACCTCCTGAATTGGTTGGAGTGAGCCACGACCGAGATTGTTGGTTTGTTGACAGCACAGGCGTCAATACAACTCATCTTCTACGGTAATTTTAGCAAATCAGACAACTCTGCGCATGTCCAAATGCTTCTAATCTGAATAAAGCTTGGCGCATGTATATGCACGTCATGATTGCATTATTTGATTTTACACCTTTATAACTCAGATTATCCGATCCCTCAAATTTTTAATCAGATCAAGAAGTTTTGCCCATGTAAACCTGGCTACTGACACCTCAACAGTGTATCCCACGGCAGACTTTTGTAACATTAATCAAATGTCTAGTCTTCCACTGTTGTTTTACAGTTCAACTTCAGCTTTCTCTTTTAGAAAATACATCTTTTCAGATTCTAAAGTGGACAGACTTGGAGTTGGAAACAGTTTCATACAGGTCACACCTGGATAACAACTCTTCAGCCCTTCAGTCTTTTACACCCACTTGGACAAAGATCACAAAGGCTGCACTGATGGTTAAGCTTTGGGAGTACAAGGCCCCATGATGTGCCCAAAGACACTTTCACATGTTAATCACAGGCCTGGGGATAAACCAGACCTGTAACTGAGAGTTAGATTACCTTGCATGTTAGAGATCTTGTGCATGGTTTCCGAGCTGTAATATCCACAACACCACAGTGGATATCTGGATTGAACTCACGCTCTGAAGGCACAGAAGAGAAATAAAAGAGAACAAACCTGTTATTCACATATAAAGTGAAAAAAAATCTCTGATAACAGAACGTTTTGTTCTCTGTATGTGAAGTTCATGATGAACATTTCATAATGGTGATACTGTGTACCTGTAACTTTCTTGTTGACGTGGCGTCTGCTACTGGCACTGCTGCTGCTGTCCTGATTCTTGTCTGAGAGGACTGCGAGGTGGCCCTTGCCGTTGGGAATCTGACCCGGGGCCAGTAATGGTGGCTTTGGTATGGAGGGACAGTTAAGGCCTGGTTTGAGGGCTGATGATGAGGAAGAGGAGGAGGAGGTGGTGGTGGTGATGGTGGTAGTGTTGGAGCTCACAGTGGTGCTAGAGGAGGATGTAGAGGAGGATGAGGTGGTGACAGGGGCAGATGGGGCCTGCACCAGCTTAGCTGACGAGTCCACCCTCAGATGCATCTTCTCCACCTTGACAGCTGGGGTGAGGCTGGAAGAGAAGGTTACAGAGATGAAGAGGGCAGCAAGGAGGAAGCTGAGAGTTAGAAACACTGAGCCAGTGAGGAATGCATGGTAAGAGACGGATGTGCACGTATGGATGGGGCTGGGAGGACAAAACAAACACCTAATATGATCCATCATTTATCAAATACTACAGAAAAAAAAGAAACGAGAGCAGGTGATGTAAAATCAATACCTCACCAAATTAAAAAACATGATCAGTGTTGAAAACTGGGGCTGTGACATTTTTTCTGAACAGCAGGAAAAATTATATTTATAATTTTACTTTGTATCACATGCAAGATTGATCACTGAGCAGCAAATATGCTCAAGTTTATAACTGCAGCAGCTAGGTCAAAACACGGCAGCAAAATCAGTATTTATAAAAGTTCTCTCATAATCCTGTGATACTTTTTGCATTAATTAAGAAAAAACTGATGATTTTTACTTTAAGTGAATGGAATATGCTTCCATACGTTCATAACTCTGACTATAAATTAGAAAGATGCATCATGTCAACACCACTCTCAATGTGACCCACTTTGGTACACAAACATAACCAAAAAAAAAAATGTAATTACACGTTAGTATGCCAGTATTTCACACCATAGATTTGTTTGTGTGTATGTGTGTATTTGTGTTAAGAGACACACACATTTGCAGGCACCTGTTGTGTGAGTCACACAGGCGAAACAACAAACTGAAGCTTTGCTTTGGGATTATGCCTTCAGTCCCGGGACCAAACACAGAGCTTTGCAAGTGTGTCTCAGTAAAAACAGCAAGTTTACATTTACAGACTACAATAGGCTGATGGATTTAAGTACTCACATTAAGATACCAACCTGAATAGCAAGCAACTTCCAGCTGGTGCTATTAAATAAACACTGGTATGTAATCAAGATCATGATGTGGGAATCACAGAGTAGCTGTTGAACAGGTAAAATATCCACACATCTCAATGATATCAACAAAAGACTAGCCTGTTTGTACACACAGAGCAAATTTACATGCACTTGTGAACAGCTATTAATGGCGGCATTTATAGCTCTATAATAAGTTAACATTTCAATTGGATATTTGACAGATGGGAGTAAAAAGTCTTCACCACTTTGTGTGGAAGGAGCTGCTCTACAGTTTTTTTCTTTTCTATAAACTCCTGATTAAAATCCATCCCAGGACAGATGCAGCAACACAATAAAAGACAACACTGGTGCACATCTTTTCTTTGCAACTTTGTTTGTTTGATTTTCCTACTTAAAATGAGAAGTTTGACTGCAGCCTGTGAAATGCACAGCCAGAGTTTTGACAAAACTGAGTTATAAAAGAAAACAGAATCAGACCATAACTTCAAGGTTTTAGCCACTCTAGACAGATCAAGTGGATGCCTTCAAACATTTCAGCTCTTTGGTGCAGAAGTCTCTCTTTTTTGTTACCACCTTTCTTCTGAGGCTCGACAGGGCTTAAAGGAATATCAATAAAAACCTTATCATGAGTTTGAAAAACGAGACTGTGCAGTGTCAAGATTTTTGTGCTCCCTCCAGAAACTGCAGAGGTACGGTCACTCAACAGAAGATATTGTTGACATAATGATTTAACGTCCTCACCTTCACTAGTCAGGCACAGAATTACTTGCAGGTTTAGTAATCAGTCAATATTTCAGATCAGATCAATCATTTGTAGTGTCTGGGCTGTAGTGCAGCCAGCCACAACTAGCTGGAGCTAAAGCCAAAATTCTATAATGTTCTACAACCCGGATGTACACAAGCACAGGTGACACAGATCCTATTTCATAGGGTGACGCAGGAGGATGGAGATAAAATTACCGTATTTTTCGGGCGATAAGGCGCACTTAAAATCCTTTTGGCTTGTCGGAGCACTGCAGCTACCGTAGTCTCGTGGAGTTATTGACAGTTTTGTTTGTCTTAATGCGCTTTATAATCCGGTGCGCCTTATAATCCGGTGCGCCTTATGTATGAAAATAGATGCGAATAGACATATTCATTGATGGTGCGCCTTATAGTGCACCTTATAGTGTGAAAAAAACGGTGTATGGAGCACTGTGAATTCTGTGCTGGATTTATCCGGCATGCTCCGGCGTCCGGAAAAAATAGAACTTGTGATCAGCTGTGGAGTCCAGCGATCTGCAGCGGAACGGAAAGAAGCCCGGGAAATTAACACGTTGACTTGAATGGTTACGATCAGCGGATATGGCCCTTTCGTAGCCGTTCCGGGTGCTGTGGAAGTTGGGGGTAAGGAGCATTGAGCATTGGCGCACTGATTGGTTTATTGTTGCTTGTGTGTACTGCTGCTACCGGGCCTGGGCTGCCTTACATGAACGCACTTCTAGTTTAGACATTACAGTCAGGCAGTCTTGTAGACTGCTCAGGGGTCCTGTTATGGGGATGATCAGGTAGTGACACAGCGGTCCGTAATGCTCCGAATATCCATTGAGCGGAGCAGCTTTGTTGCTTACCAAAGTCATACTTGCACATTTCGACAGATTTTTGCATGCACTGTACCCCATAAAAGCGGTCAGCAAGCACAACAAGTAGTCATACATAAGACACACTGGATTATAAGGCGCAATGTCATTATTTGAGAAAATTCAAGGACTTTAAATGCGCCTTATAGTCCGATAAATACAGTATACGATTAATGTGTGTGTTTGGACTGGCATCCAATCTCTGCAGAGTATAGGCATGTAGAAATCAGCCATAAGGCGAGTGATGCTAGCTCTGTAAACATTAGCCACAGTTCAAACAAAAAAACTGACATTGTTGACTGGCAGTTTTGGCACGTTTTTTTTTTTTTCCTGACTGCAGAACTCAAATTTCCATTATTGCAGCGAAAATTAACAGTGAGTGAGACTAATATTTTTGTTTCATCTCAGCATTTCATGTTGCTGTTTTGATTGTTTCGCTTTTGTCTGGGAATAAACAGAATTTTTCACAACCCAAGCAACACATACTACTGCCAACATCACTCAGCTGAACTTACATCTTGTCTGGCTGGAGCATCCTGAAGGGTGGGAAGGAAGGAGGTCTTCGCTGAATGCCTGGCAGCTTCTCTTTGGCTGGTTTTAGGAGTTTGGGATTAGAAGAGGAGGACAACGTTGAGGAGGAGCATAAACTGGATCCAGCGGTGGAAGGTCGGCTAAGGATGCTCCCACTCTGCACTCCAGCTACAGACCCTGAGTCCAACCCAGGCCCAAGTCCGCTCCCACTGCTCCTGTTCCTGCCCAACACAGGAAAGGGCGAGGAGGAGGCTGGTTTGCTGGCAGAACTGTGTCTTCTCTCTGGAGCGACATTACAAACCAAGCTGGCATTAAAACATAACAAGTTACTCTGTTAGATAGTCTGAATTCAGCATAACACAGCTTTTATCAAACATGCAAAACAGACTAATTTATGTGAGAAAATGTGGCAATGATTGGGTCGTGAGCCGGAAGATAAGGCAAGGGATCTGGGACGCAAAAAAATCTCTCTCTGACTGAAGCTAGCAGGTTTCCTCGACAACAAATAAGCATCTTTTGTGATTCATGCCAGCTCAGCCTGAAATAGATCCTGCCAACGGGTCAAGAGCTTCATTTCCTGCTCGAGCTTCTTAGAAAAAGCTACTGTGCAACCTGATAAAAGGCAGTATGACAGCAGTAAAGGTTAGGCAGATACCAGGTTGTGGATGAAAAGACAAAAATAGATGTATGAAAAAAAATTGTCCATCACTCAGTGTCTGCATCTAAAACTAAATCTCTTTCCCTCTGGAAAAAGCAGCACCCCATCCTTTCAAACATTGATTTTTTTCAGCGTGAACCCACAGTAATCAAAGAAGTTTCCAGGTTATCAAAGAAAACTCTCAATACTGGCTTTAAGTTAGGCAGAACAACGATGAAATAGCAAACTCATCGTACACTTATTGACGATTCACAGCTTTACTTCAGTGCAGACTGATTTCATCATGATAATGACTCATCTTATTGAGCGGAAGGTTAATTCTTGTGCCACAGCAGGAACTACTAGAGAGAGAGAAAGTAGGCCAGCAATCTCATTAAAGCATTTTTTTTACATCGTTCAACCTGCACCACAGCCTTGAAACTTGGGTTACTGAGGGGTCACGCAGACTGTAACCACAGGTGGAAGGAGTGACAGGCACAGAAAGATAGAGGTGTGGGAGGAGGGGTGTGTCTGCTGATGGGAACGTTAACTTGACCCTCATGTTGTCAACTCTTTGGCGCCTGAGCATAACTAACTACCCTGACAGAGGAGGAAAACACTTAAAGCCAAGATTTATAAATCTGGTAGTGTTAAGCGCCAGGAGAGCTAACGAGGGGTGGGAATCACTCGTGGCCCCACGATACGATATTATCACGATACTTGAGCCATGATACGCTATTACTGCAATTTTGAAATGCAGTGAGTATTGCGATACAAAATATTGTGATTTATACAATTTCTTCAACTGTTTAGCTAATTTAGCATTTGTCTTTCCTTTATGTTTGTCTTTATGTTTTACGCTGTATTTTATTTTCATGCAACACATCTTGCAAACCTCATATATATCTGTTGTACTAACTTTCTTCTGCTCTATGATGTCACCTGCCAACCTCACTGGACAGAGTTGATTTTATTTTTTCATTTTCAAAGATTTGACTTAATATTAGCAATAAATTTGAAAAAAAAACAAAAAAAAACGATACTTGGCAAATGAGACAATACAATATATCACCAAACAAAATATCACAACACGATGCTGTATTGATTGTTTTCTCCCACCCCTAGAGCTAACAGGTTCTGGGTTACGATAGAAAGCTTGTGAGTCTGCAGCTGACTAATGCGATGAGGTGTGAGCCTAGTGCGCTAACCTTTAACGGGCTAACTATGTGATGTAGTAGGGAAAGAGGCTGTATGTCGAAACTGAGTCTAAACAGGTGATTTGCAAACAAGCTTGTTGCTGCAGAAACAGTGCAGGGGATATTAACACACGTACACACACAAAGATGTCACACCCAGTCTGTTTTAGCCTCAAACTGCATTCTGCTCATTTCCCTTTTGTAGGAAATCCTTTCAGAAAGAACACTCGTCTTACCCAAGGACCTCTCTACACACCCATTCACGGCACACTCCAGATATATGCCCTCCCTCATTTCCACTACTTCTCCCTCCCCTTCCTCCCTCCCCTTTTCTCCCTGCAGTCTCGCCCTGTCCCAGTCACAGTCTACAGCACACTCTGCACACAAACTCACACCAGGAAACCCCAGCATGACACCTACAGAGCCGACACTGGGAGGAGAGAGCCAACACCAGCGGCAGTAGAAGGGTAATAAAAGAGAAATGAAGGCAAATGTCGGGGAAACAAAACCAAACAAAAACAGACACAAAGAAAAGGAGCGCCTTAATATCCTGTTTCACGCTGTCAAACAGTTGGCTCGGTGTGAAGGGGAATCCCTGGATGTCGGAATGAGGGGAAATTCTAACAAGTGTGACAGCCTTACTTCCCTTTCTTCAAGCAACATGTTCAATCCTCAGCATGTCTCTGTATAACACCAATAACTAGAACTACAAACAGTGTAAACATACCGTTACTAACCAGAATAAACTGGTTCTTCAAAAAAAGAAATGGCACTTTTTTTTTTTTGCTCAAAGTCAATAAGCTCTATTCAAATATACCTGTTTGCTAAGCTAAGCCAATGCTTTGTGAGACTAGTTATGTTTGAATGTACCAAAAGGAAGCTCAGCCTTCAGCTTTCTAGTCCACAGTGATCTGTCATCACTGCTGGGTTCAGCCACAGCCAAGAAGCACAGGAGCACAAACACCTACCTGAGCTCAAAGAAGTGGATTAAAACCAGACTGAGAGCATCTCCTTGGTGCTCAGGTCTATACCCTGTCTTGTGTTCATGCAACTACAATTCATTTTTCAGTTATGTCTGAGGGAGGAAGATAGGGTGAATATCCTTGACACTATTTCTCCTGGCTTCAGCAGATAATTTCACCGGGACTTAGGTGTACTGTTACTGTCTCCACACACCAAGTGCAAGTAAAATCATTCACGCGAATGAACTACATGTTGAGTCAATGCAAAGACGAGATTAGACGCTCCTACAACTCTGGCAGCGTGAATGGCATGAATTGGGTGAATCTCAATTTGAGCGGATATTCGCGTCGCAATAACTACTTAGCACAAAGGTTGCCAGTTGACATGAAAACAGACCGACAAACTGATCCAGTCAGTGTGTGGGTGCCCCGAATTATATGATACCCTTTCTTTCAATTACCAAAACCGGAATAAAAAGAAGCCTGCTTGGAGGCAAGTGAGTGAGGAGGTCGGATTAGCCTACCAAGCGAGTTGTAAAAATCTGTCTATTACTTGATCCTGGTGGTTAAATTGGCAGGGATTACCGTTAAAATTACTGTTGACACGCGAATGAAGCGAGTATACTACTCATTCATGCGTTTAGATTTGCGCAAATTGAGTGAGTGGATGATTTTACTTGCGTCTGGTGTGAGTTAAAATGACTAGTGAATTATCAGAAAGTGAGTTTGCAAATTTCTAATGAGCCTTTTTTACTTGTGCAGACTGACAAGTATATTTCTAGTCACCATGTACAATACCAACAGGATCACAGTCCTCAATAATCAGGGATTTTGATCATCTCAAATAATGATTTATTTGGGTGTCTTAACAAGTGCTGCTGGTAAATATTGTGAAAAGTCGAGGTGAAACAGGCATAATGAGCAGTCACAATTTTAAATCTGAGTTCATCAGGTCTCAAATCTTCAGGAAGGTCCAAGTGAAGTCCAAGTCACAAGAAAAGAATCTGGGTTCACATCATTGGTGTTATTATTAACCACAAGAAAGGCAGCTGTTTGTCTCTTAACTATTGACTGTGAGGTTTTAATGACTCCTGTCTGTGTGTCTCCTGTCAAATAGACTCTGAAGTTACAGCCGAGTGTTGTGCGTGAATGCTGACAGCGTTTCTCTTAGTCTGGGGAACACACTCATTGATTCTTTTGCAACAAGATCACTGCAGATGTTGACTGATTTTCAAAATACTCAGAAATACCTGCAGCCAAACCTATGAATGAATATTTTAACTGATCAAAAATCTTGGACTTGGTGGTTGAGACGCTTCCCTTGCTAACATTATAGTTAGCTTGCTAACAGTAACAGTAATTTACAGTTCAAGTAACTTCAGCATCTTGTTAGCTTTTCTGAATTCAGCATGGACAGCTGGCTGTCAAAAGTTTGAGTTTGTCGCTCAGTGTTGTCTTATTCAACATGCTGCACTGCTCTTGCTGCTTCTACTGTAAAATCTTTGTGAGTAAAACACACAGCTTCTCTTTATCATGTCAGGAAGCAGGAGGCTGAACGGGACCACACTCAAGCACGCATGCAGCTGAGTACAAGAGTCAGCCCTTACTCTAAACTGAATAGATGATCAAAGTCTCACATTAATATTAAGACTCTTTATAGTCTGAGTCTTCTCCTCTATCTTCTGAGTTCTAATGCAGTCATTGCTTGAGTCTGAGTATGAGTATGAGTCTGAGTCACCAGTACTTAAGTCCAAGTCTGAATCATGAGTCCTAAAAATCCGGACTGCAGTCAGACTCGGCCCTGTTGTGTGTGCACACAGGGGGAACAGAACTTTGAAATGAACAATGACAGAATTAGATAGATGGATCATCTTAATAGAGAAAAGGGAATTAATCAGAACATTTTCGAGTTGCCAAAGGTACAGCATCATATGTGGGAGACGACTGAAGTGACTCAATTTACTTATCGAGTTAAAAACCTGTGAACTTGCTCCGTCTCCAGCCTCTCAAAAATTTGGGCCTGCATTTTTTCTGGATTTGGGTTGTTGTGTCAGACTAAAGAAAACTTCTGAAGACCTCACAATGGGCTCACAGTTCTGCATTTTTTTTAATTTTCCCACATTTTCCTCAATAAATAAGCTAGGGATCTCTTGACATGTAATTGTCAGATTTAACTATTATGATAAAAGCCGAATTCAGGAATTTGCATTTCTTTTAAAGAACTTTCAACTCAGAAAATTCAGCAACTGATATTACTGAATATTTACTTTACACCACTGGCAGACCGGATCATACAGGTTTCAAGCAGCAGCGACTGCAAGGCATCAGTATTCCTAAAACTGTCTCAGAGCAGAAAGCATTTGCTTACATTTGCTTGATTTATCAATCAAAGTCAATTGTACTCGACTGATTACAGACAATAACACTATGCACAACATGCATTAAAATAACTACCTGTACAAGATATGCCATTGCCACCTGCTGGGATGCTGTCAGTGCTGTTTTACTTCACAGGAACCAAAATGCCCGTCACCGATAGACCTGGCTCTCTTTCAAAATCCCAGGCAGGTTAGAAAACTGCTGTTCAAAAATACAGTCAGTCTGAGCCAAGACAGACTTATATTAGTCTTATTGTTTAATAGTGTGGGAGGAGTCCTTTGAGTGTTGTTGGCACAATAGACAGGACAATTCCTCTAGGAGCCATGTGCTGTTATATCTCCCTCTTGTGGCTGACCTTGGCAATTGTAACTGCTGGTTATGATGTTGGAGAAAGCGCCCCTTTGCAAAGGATAGGACTAAAAGTCAAAATGCATCTTATATACAGTGTGTAATCACAGACAGGATGGACCTCAGCCTGTAAAGGTTTTCTGACTTTCTGTTTGGAGTGCCAAAAGGGCCCAAACTGCTGCTTCTTTGACTCGATTTGCAAAAGCTAAAATAAACGGGCCTACATGGCAGCAGCCTGCCTCATCATTTCCAGGAAATGAACTTGGGAATAAGTAGATATTTATTTCTTTCAGCAACTGTGGGCGTTTGTGAACATGCCGTGAACACTGTCAAGTTTAACAAGAATCACAGTGAAAACATCACTGAATTTACATCCATAATTCATCCATGTTCTGAAGCTCTCCAGTCAAAGACCCAGTGTAGTTTACCAAGAAGTAAAAATGTTTCCACTTGATGTGTTCACACACTTCCCTAAGCACTAACAACCTGATTCAAAATGATCAGTGAGTGTTAAAAATTAAAATACAGTACGGAGAGACTGAGGGAGTTGCATTAAATATTGATTGGGAAGTGAAATTGTAAACCTCCAAAAGTGTGGCTGTGGGTTCAATAAATGAGTGAATAAACCTAAATCTGTGCGGTCCAATCTCAAGTGTCTGTTTAAAGACAAAAAGTGTGTTTGTGTGTTAGAGTCAGGTGGATGGGGGAGGGAGCAAAGGGCAGAGGGAGAAGAAATACCCAGGTGTGTTAAAATGTGAAATAGAACCACCAGCACATCACAGTGGCAGATGACGATTAACACGCTACCCCAACCTTCACTGATCTGTTTCATCATAACCTCGTTTTGAAGGGCGTGCTCGACAAAAATTAAGCATCTCTTTTAATTATGTCAGAGCGGTGTGTTGACAGAATGGAGGACAACTCTGGATATACACATGTATGTATCTTCATGTGTGTAACACTTGTGTAACACTTACCATAGTGTGCTTGGAAGGCTTGGGGCTTGACCACCTGGCTGCAGTGGCTGCACATCACCAGGTAGAAGTCGTCCTGTGCGGGACACTGGCCAAATATGGGCATGTCTGTATGCGGGGGGAAGAAACAGCAACAAAGGGCACAAGTCAAGGAAAGGCAAATAAAACCGGCCTGCTGGTCCCACCTGGTCAATCATTGCATTGGAGGACAGAGATGAAACACACAACCTTATCAGAAAAACAAAAACAAAAAAAGAATCTGACACAAGACGACCTGACTGACCAAATCTGCAACACATCTTACAATGACATTGTAACATTCTTTGTTGAGTTCCCACTGACAGAGAAATAAAATCTGGTGATAAGATGCAGGGAAAGATCAGAGTAAGCAATCCAAAGGTTATCTGCTGACCAGAGAAATAATGTCTACCAAATACTCCTCGTACAAGACGTTAATTCAGAGATTGGGCACTTGATGAGCCGAAATAAATTAGAAACCTTTATCAGGAAGCTTGGCTTTTATCCTGTAAACTGTTCTTTTATTGTCTTTTCATGTCATGTCTTTTTAAACCTTTTACATTTTTGGTCTATTACTCCAAATTTTCTGTATTCTAATTATGTTTCTTGTAACTGTCTTTAAACACTTTTAAAAGCGTGTTATAAATAACATTTATTATTAGTAGTAGTATTTATTAAGCATAATCCTATGTATGGTTTTCCCTTTGTTCTTCCTGTATGTCTTTTTAGTCACTTAAAGTTGTCACTTAAAGATGCTTAAAAAGTCCTTGCACTCTCAAAACTTCAAAACAACTTCAGCCTCTGCAGCATATATGTTTCTTCAACGATCAACAGCACAGAAAACTAGAATCCGAGGAGGGAAACCTGCAAAACTGAGTACCTGTCACTGTGAGAGTGGCTGCATTGCGTTTACAGACAGGAGAGTCAGTGTACACAACAAGGAGTTTGCTGTGTTCTGGTGAAGGCATAAATTCATATAATGTCAGTATTTGTCGGACATTAATCATTTATATTTAAAGCCTCAGGGATGTTTTTTTTTTTAACAAACAAAACAAAGTTGTAGCCTTTTGGTCTTCAGTGAATTTGCTTCACACTACACACCCTAAAAATAAATCTGCTTATCAGTAAATAAAAGACAAATGTTTCAATGAGATGGACAGACATTTTTTTGACTAATCCAATTTCAGCTCTCATCTGAAAGACTGAACATAAAAGGTCAATCACATAAAAGGCTCAGAAAGCATGAATGTTGAGTAGTTCAAATCAGCAGCCCAAACATGTCTAACCAGCTGCTACCACTAACCAAGTCTCCTTCACAACCAGCTCTTAGGCAAATCTGAGGGGAGCACTGCTTCTCAGCAGAATGTGATCAAAATTTACTCTGGTGCAGAAAACCAGAAACCACCTAATTAAGGAGGCTAATGAAGAGACTGCCTGGGGCGTTATGATTAGACAAGCTCAAGACAGGATACAAGAGGAAAGAAGTGGAGCCCTTCTCCAACATGTGCTCCGCCAGGGATGTCAAGGGTTCTCCAAACATCGCTAGCCAAGCCCGGGAGGGATGAGGGCCATTAAGCAATGGCTGCATAAAATAAGGGCTACCTAGCAGGTCAGTCATATTCTTGTCTAACTGAAGAGATGAGCCTGATGCTTGATGCACGTCAATTGTCTGAGGCCACTCAGCTAAATGTCTCCTTCAATAGTAGTGGAGCAGAAGGACTTATTTTTCACTGGTCTGCCACAGAGAAAAAGCAAGTGTCGTCACTAGATGCACAAAGGCGTGTAAATTATATTGAACCTGAGTAAGAAAGCACACTGCTGATGTGCATCAGCAAGAGCCTGATGACTGTAAAAAGGGCAAGCCGAGAAACAGGATGTGGAGGGCATTGCCCTCTGGTTGCAAAAGTGTAAAGCCGAAAACATAAAGCATCTGTATTGAGCACGTTCCGTATTTGCTCCGTAAAGCAGCATTGGGTATTGCGTACAGGATGCGCATTTGGAGCGTGGCAGCAGCGTAGTGTAGCCCTGGTCAGCTGGGCTCAGTATTTAGGAAACAACATGCTCACAACAGGTTGTTTTGCCTTTCTGTGGTCTATTTCCTGCTAATTTGGATATAATTCAGTGACTGTTGAGCCTCTACTATATGTAAAAAATGCAACATGATTTTACAGTTTCAGTTTTTGCAGGTTTACTCGTGTTTAATAAAGTAAACTTTGTTCCTTATGCTGTGCTGTTACCTTCAGACAGAGTTAGCAGTTAAAAGTCCTGTTGGGGTCCACATGGATCAGGGACTGACCGTTGGATTGTTCTGTGTTACTGATAAATCCATAACCAGGAAGTATTTCTCATCTGCACAAACTGATACACAGTCGGGAGTTTGCATATGGTGTTTTATTTTGAAATACCGGATGACATAGAACATAGAACGATCTCTGTGTGGATTGACGCGTAACGGAATAGTAGAGAAGCAAAAATAGACTTGTTGCGTATCTTCAGCAGAGCTACTCTCAATACACTTCTGATACGATGTTATGACGGAGCTGATACGCATCCTGTACGCAATGCTGCATTGATTACACTGGCAACCTATTTGCTGCGTGACACATGACGCTGCTGCCACGCTTCAAATACGCATCCTATATGTTTTAGCCTTACGCCATCAGAACACTCATTGAAAACTAGTTCCAAACTTCAGGGTTCTTTAGAGCCTTAATGCGTCTGTTTCTATCTAATCCTTTCTTTGAACTCGTCTCATGCATCTGGTTTACCAATAACACCCTGATTCCTCCACAAAAACCTCACCTTCTCTCAGATCTTTATTTTAGCAGACCAAGCATACATCCTTACAAGAGCAACAGCAAGGTCAAACCGACTCATTCCCAAACTGCTGCTGCTGTTCACGTGGAGGGTTCTCCCAATGAGTCGCTCGACTCTGAAAGCAGTCCGGCTTCATCGGCCCTGCCACCCTACATTCAGCCTGCTGGCACCAACAGAACTGTAGTACTAAAATGGCCTGGCTTGAAAAGATGTCCAACACCAGTGTGCCTGCCCCGCTTTTATTTTCAATCTCAATTTTCTTCTTTAGCAAGGACGAGAGGAAAAGGGTAGAAAGAAAAAGGAAGTTGTAGAGAGGAGAAGATGGACAGAGCAAAGCTAAGAAAGGAGCACGGCAGATTTAAAAAATAAAAGAGAGGGAGAGGAGGCTGAGGCCTTAGCAAGACAAAGAGGGAGAGTGAGCAGAGGACCTGCGCTGAAGGAGGAAAAAGAGAGCCTGAGAGCGCGAGACAAGAGGACGAGAACGAGAGTCCAGTTAATTTCAGCATCCTCATCCATGGCAGTGATGAATGATCTAGGTAGGACAGTAGCAGCTCAGGCTGCCTCAGTGCCGCACGCACGCTGGCTGAATCTGACCTGTGGCTGACACCATCACTACATTTCCCAGCTTCCCCATCTGTGAAGTTGTAGCTTCAAAATTTATATTTCATTAACAAAGTGAAGGCAGATGAAAAGTCTGCCATCCATCTTTACAATGTGTTATTCGTTTCTGTGTGTGTTCGAATGGCAGCTACACCACAGGAGGAATCTGCTGGTGGTGAGTCATGATGGAGAGGTGTAGTCATCCACTTGTAATACCCCTACTCAACACACACACACACACACACACACACACACACACACACAGATGAAATAAGGCTCTATGATCACACACTTCTGCCACAAGCAACATGTGTTGATCAACCTCATGGCACAAACAGCAGGCACTGGCCTAAGCTGCGACATGACAGGAATATGTTCCAAAAGTGGTCTCATGTGACCCCACAGCTTTGGGCTTTATGTGGCCAATCTGTCTTCTTCTCTTCTTCTGGAAACTAGAATAATCTCATCCACTTTCAACCAACCAGCCTGTCTTTATCTCAATCTAGACCACTGTCTGGGTTATGCATCATCTCATTTCATATGGTGTGATGGATATCTTACCATTTTGAATATCTTAGGAGAAATTCAGATACCTAATTTTTTGTCATCAAGAGCCTCTGTTGCCAATATTGAGCATGTTCTTGCGTGTACATGCACAGTTTTCACTTCTGGCTAATAAAATGCAGCATGAGTACCTCTGCTGCTGACTAGGACTGTAATTGACACGTTCTTCTACTGCGACACAGGAAGAGGAAAAAGAAACTTAAACTGGGCGCACACTGATGACACAAGTATGAGCCAGAATAACGTCAGCAAAGTGAATTGTAATGTGCACTCCTGTCCCTTTTATGACTGAATCTGTCAAGTGATTGTGTATATTTTAACACTGGTTTAAACTTATCTAAGCCCTTTTCCTTATTTTAAGAATTCAAGATCAATAACCTTGAGCACTCGGGTGGAAACCTGAAAAACATGCCATGTATTCATCTAATCCAGGTTTCCATGCATTCTCTGTTGGCACTAAAACCACTACAAAACTATTATGACCATGTACACAGGAAATAACCAGGGGTAAAAATAGGATATTCTTGGACATATTCTGCAAATGTAATTGAAACAACATAATCAAGAATCAGAAATATTAACTTAAATGCCTCCAATATCATACACACATATCAGTGTCCAAAGGTGTTGTGGTTTCGGATCATCGAAACAAAAAACTGTCAAACTGTGTGACAACTATTTTATGATGACATTGCTTTGTTACTGGCTGTCGAATTTGTGACACACTTGGGATAATCTTTGTATTTTGTCATATGAGCAACAAATTTGTCTGAGGATCTCTCACAAATAAACTTTTTAACAGACCAGAGAGAAAACACTAACTACCTGCCTTGCTTATGTGCACTTTAAGCAATAAATGCAGATGCGTTTTGTGACTTGTGGCTGAAACACTACCGACTATTTGCTCTTAAAAAAAGCAGCTACAGCGCTCTTAGCTGCATGTGCGTGACACCTTTCATTTCAGGAGGAAGCCCTCGAACAACAATTTCTGCATCACTGTCAGCCTGTAACAAAGGCGATGCATCATTCATCCATTCATTTTAAAATTCACTGGACACATTCATCGTAAATCTGTAGTCAATTTTGGGGCTTGCATTATTGAAAATAGCACATTACTGTTGAATTGTAATTTCACAAAATTGCCAGTGTATTGTTGTGTCTATTTATCTTTGGGCAGAGGCTCATTGTAAATGTAGGCCTGCTGGCATGATAAATCAGCCAACGCTACACTAGGTGTTTCCAAAAATAATTTGGGGCACAAATGCTCTGAAATATCCCTCTGTGGCTCAAAAGCCAGGTGAGCTGTGCTTCTGAAATCGTGGGTTCAATCCCATGAGAGAAGTTCTGTCTGTTTCTGCACACTATGGGATCAAATGTGTCAACCTGGACAACAATCCTTCAGTAGTAGGTTAATATTTTTCAACTTTAGGGAGAAATACAGGTCAGATCTGTGACAGGTCACTAGCAGGGATGGTATCATCCTATTCTAGCATTTAATTCTAGTTAATTTATTAGTATGTGGTGAAAGTAGCCTTTTGGAGTTCCTATGATCAGACCAAAGTAAATCAGATGTGTGAATTACGTGATGATTGGATGACAGATACTTGAAATAAATCAGTAAATGAACTTAAATGTAGCATTAGGTTCAATTTTGTATCAGCATTTGGATAAATATCAATAAAATGCCAAATAATGCTGTTTGCAATGTTATCATTTAGGTGTCGTGTGAAAACGAAGCAAAAGTGCCAACTTCACACAACTTTAAAGAACCATAACTAAGAAAAAGCATTTGTAAACGTGCCATAAGCTCCATTTTTACATTTGGGGCTCCAGCTCAGACAATTTGGCAACTAATTTGACATATTTCAAGTAATATGCTTACAGAACCTACGAGAACCTCAAAATATGTAAAGCAAGATTAAATGCCTATTTACTGAAATGGAGAACCACATGAAATATGGATGAGGGTTTTCTGTGTAGATTGGCAGACATGTGGATGCTAAACAATGAAGTAAATTTATTACACTGTCCTAAAAGAATAAACTTTGTTATCTATATTTTGTTTCACAACACAACTGAAGTAAGTGGAAGTTGTAAAGTCTTATGTTATTCAAGATACAGACGAAAGGGTCAGCTGCCTCACTAATAGCAGACACGTTTTGAACATACTTTATCCGGTTGTCCAATCAATTTCTGACTTACATGATTTGCAATAGGTGTACAAGTTGGCTGAACGACGCGTGTGAAGTGTTTGAATTAACGTGTATGTGTACAAACCTCCAGAACCAAAATACACCTTTGGCCCTACAGTAAAAAAAACACTCACCTTCTCTGCACAAACGCATGGCTTCTCGATTTTTCCCGAAGTCTTTGAAACTTTCTTCCGATTCAGCACCTGAAAACGAGGCGATCCGACACAGAGACACATAAATAGTTGCACTTGCTTGCCTGCCCGTGCTGTTGCTACCAGTAGCGTTTCTTCACATTACACCAAAAACTGCATGCAATCGGCCAAAAAAAGGACAGGACTGGCAACTGCCTCGCTCCATCTCGCTTCCTCGAACACATTCGGGACGCGGGGGGAACTCACCGTCATTGCCGTGGAGTTTAGCGGCGTCGACCCAGTTGCTCCAAGGCTGTCCCAGCATTATTTCTGGACTAGGCAATGATCTCCGCTCCGCAACAGTCGCCATTGCTGTGGAGCCTTCTCCCCGCTGGATCTGCTGCTGCTGCTTCAGCTGCTGCCTGGCCGCTCGGCGCTGCTCCCCCCTGACGTCATCCTCGGCCCTTTCCGACATTCTTTCCGCTACAATGTAACAACACAAGAGTCAGCGTTGGTCGCGCTCGGGATAGGAGGACTTTTTCACTGATTGACACGGGCACACGCGTGTTGTTTCACCATGCCCGCCCCTCAAAAAAAAAAAAAAAAAAAAAAAAACAGTGTGTGTGGCCACTTGACAAGCAACAAGTATAGCGCTAAAACAACACACGACATGAAACGACCTCACTAGTTAGCTTTTATTTTAATCATTTTACACGCCATTGTTAGCTGGCCTGCTGGTTTAACCTAGCATGCTAATTATGACACACATATAAGTCCTAGTTCATATCTGGTTTCTCAGACAGCTAGTGGAGCTATTAAAAATATATATAACACAATTTAACACAAACCATTTATTTGAAATATGATAGAGTTATTTGCCCCAGATAAGTGTCAAATTATAATTATGTCTTAATAGGATACAGAAGTATTTCTTAAAGGGTCAAATCACAGCTGCTTGTATTTTGCTACATTTTGAGTCAAGTTGTAATAACGAAATGTAGGCCTGGGACAACAACAAATTTTGCTGGATGATATATTGTCCCACAAATCATTGATGATATTATTGTCAACATTATCGAGACCAAAATAACCACTTATGTAATGTTAATATACCACATATTTTCCGGAGGGCAATTCATATTGTTGGTCAGTCTCATTTCTCAATATGCTGGCTTTTCAACCGTACTAAATGGCAGCATTTCTTTGCCAATGTATACCTCGGTGTACATCTGGATAATAAGTTGGATTGGTCTAAGAATACAGACTTCATCTACAGAAAGGGGCAGAGCCGCCTCTTTTGCCCAAGAAGACTCTGATCAATAGACATCTGTAGTAAGATGCTGCAGATGTTTTATCAGTCTGTGGTGGCAAGTGTTCTGTTCTACGCTGCAGTCTGCTGGGGAGGAAGCATTAAACACAAAGATGCAAGACGTCTTAACAAACTGGTGAAAAAGGCTGGCTCTGTGGTAGGACTCAAGCTGGACTCAGTGGAGGATGTGGTGGAGAGATCTACACTGAGGAAGGTGGAGACTATTCTAAAGAACATGGATCACCCACTTCACAACACCTTGATAGACCAAAGGGCAAATGGTGGTGGACGGCTCCTCTCTCTTCGCTGCAGGACAGACAGATTCAGAAGATCTTTTGTACCCACAGCCATCAGGCTTTATAACTCTTATGTAAATAAAAGATAACTTTTAGAGACGTATTATGTGAGACAACAGACAATTGAATTTCCCTTCAGGAAGTTCTTATCTTATCTTAGCAAACTACGCTTTCTGAAAGCGCACACCATTTTGCGCTGTTCCGACTGTACTTGCTTTGTCGATCAGACGCTTCAAGAAGTGTGACTGTCAGGCCAGCGACTCTACATCTCGAGGTGAAGTTTTTGTCCTGCACTCCGAGATGTAGAGCAGGGTGCAGACGTGCCCAGGTGCTGAGACTGATGCACAGAGTAAACCCTCTTGTCATCCAGCATGTTTGAAGGCGCGAGATGAGGAAAACAAGTACATGCATGCACATGGCGATATATCGTGGCCAGAAGAATTATTGAGTTTATTTTCATTTATCGTTTGATTAATTGATTCATTGATCATTGTTCCAGGCCTAATTAACTGTCTCTCTGTGAGCCTCATGTTCATTATTGCCTTCTGAGGGACAATGTGATGAGTGAACAAAGTAAATTACTCACTTGGCCACATGTGCTTGAATAGCAAAACAGTTTTCATATGCTTAACAAATGCAATGATATGACACTGTCAGTAGCTGCATACAGTCTGATTTTTGTTGCAGCAAAGTCTGTATACCACAGATGTTTAAATGACATTTTTATAGGGAAGAATATTTACTTTCTCACTTTCCATAGAAAAGGTAGGTTCTCAAAACTTCAGTCTTAAAGTCAAAACTTTTTTATGCATGCATCTTTTTGCAATATCAAAAATTAGGGAGAGGCAGGCATTAAACTTAACAATCTAAACAATTGCATTTCACGTATGTAAAATGCTTGCCTGTATGCAGAGTCACATTTTCCTGCTTCTGTAAATACTCACCTCAGCAAAAAAAAGTGTGCTAAATTGCACCTAAAATGGTCCTCTGTCTCCGTTTAAGTAACAGTTAAATTGTTAAATTACCAACTTAGCGGTTAATTCAATAAACGCACCATTGTGAAATTTATAAAACCATTATAATTTTGACCTGCTTTTTGGGAATTAGTTTAGGTAATCAGAAAGCAGCAGGCCAGGGTTATATGATACAGGGGTCATGTAAATACATAAACATGTACAACATAATAAATTTGTTACAAAGAATGTAAAAATTACAGTGTAAAGATTATGATGGTATATTTAATACACACAAGAGTCGACTGTTACTTTTTTCCAGGTCTTGACTTTTATGTTCGACTTTGAACTTAACGATGTTTAAGAAAATTTCAACTAAAGAATTCATTTGTTCTCAATGAATAACAAATGTAATAACATGACAGGGTTACCACTCTTTTTTTCCAGGATATTTTCAATGATGTTCAAGCTGGTATGACAGTCTAAATTTAGTTCCTAAATAGTCTAGTATGTCTCTCTCAGTAGAAGTCTATATTGAAAGATGTGCAGTCTATGGCACATAATGAGTCTATAAACTCATCTCTTACATACATAAAAATGATGGCAAATAGACTATAGAATAATGCATCCAGAGATGTACAGTACCTCCATTTATTTGTGCAACCAAGTAACAACGAACATCTCTGACTTCTCTTTCCTCAAAAATATAAAATTTACTAAGTAAAAAACAAAAGAGTTAGCAAAGGAATCTGGAAGCGGTCTTACTGAAATATATAAATTCATATATAATGACAATCAGAGGATAAATTGAATTAAAGTACATAAATTGACCTAAACAGAACTAAATGACAAAAATGGCCACGCATGTTTCTCAACTCAACACAAAATATACCTTATTTATCATAAATATTCATTCAGAAAAGTAGTATATTAATTTGCTATTTGATTTACATTTATGGGTCCTATTTATTGTGCATATAAATGCATTTTTCATGTTTTATCTTTTACGAGTTTATAAACACTGTCGTCAATTGGTGTTTATCTAAAGTATGAAGTAGTTGTATTTCACTCTCACTTTTGCTGGGCTCATAGAGGAACACAGACTTGAAAGTGCGACCGCAGCTCAGTTAGCAAGAAAGACAGACAAGAGCAACTTAGTGCAAGCTAAAATGTCATCAATAACATGACTAAAAACTCTGAAAAAAATGCACTGGTATACAAGACGCACTCTGTATTTGAAGGTTTAAAAAGTTTAAACTGTCCTCTTGCGTGGTGATGTCTGTTGTGATCAGAGATGTCTACAACGTGCAATCTGTGCAGCTGTGTTGCTCTTTTTGTTCCGTATGCTTTCACTATTGGGGGTTTGCACGGCTACTAGCTATAGAAAGGTAATTGAGCTCTCAGCCTGCAGGGAAAGTTTGGAGGCACAGACCCCCCAAGCTCTCTGCCCGACCACAGTTGCCAAACTGGGTGGTTTTCTAGTCCCATTAGAATAATTTTCCAGGACAATGTGTTTGAATACATTGGTCAACCAGACTGAAATGTCATTCACATTTCTTCCCTTCATCTGTTGCTTTCCACTGATTTTATACGACTGATAAATTGCTTCATTTTATGCAGCTATTTTCTCCATCATAAACCACCAGATACTTCAGACACAACCATCGAACAATTTGGCAAGTAGCTGTCTGTGTCATTTCACTGATATCAAATTGAAGATACCTGAAAAGAAAACCATCTTCACATGAGAGAAACCACCCAAAGCTAGACCAAAGGCATAACCTTGAAAATATGACATTTCCTTTATGGGAAATGACACTGTGGTCATTAAAAGTGACAAACTAAACCTGGATTTCTTCAGCAAAAAGTGATAATTGAAAACATTTGTGAGTTCAATTGAACTTTCAGTATTTCACACGGCAACAGAAGACAGGATTTACCGGAAGAGAGCGGAGGAGCTGTGGGATCTTACCTTTGCAAAATAAGAAAAAAAGGAATTTATTTGTAACTCAGTCAGCCGATCCTCATCAGTCTGGGTGATCACTGACTGCCACACACAACGGAGGGGAAGTCTGGAGACATACACAAGCCCACACACATAGAGGAAAGACAAGTTAGAGTCAGTGTCTTCATTTGGCTTTTTCTTGATTGGGACAGATAGATATGGTGCTTTGTCTGTGGAGTCACACTGTCCTAGCATGGTTTTGTCATGGAGTTTCCCTCTGTGCAGTAATCTAGCTATAAGAGTGCCATCTCTCAAGGTCATGTCCAGCCCCCTGGTAATACTTTGATATCATTAAGACATTATTTTGTCTAAACTGACTGTAGATATACTTCTTATCTGCATAAATTCTTGAAGGAAAAATAGAATAAAGTAAGTTGCAAAGCCATTTAATTGTAACTGATGTAAAAGATTTTGTGTTTAAGCTAACCTTAGACATTTATAATACTTTGAATGCAGCCTTATTATAAAAATCCTTTATCACACCAGAAAGTTAGAAGAATTACAGCCATTACATGTTGAAAATCTACACTACAGAGCGCTTTAAGGTTTATGATTAAAAGGTGGCCTTCATGTACTTTCACAAATGAAACAATAGCTTGGTTAGATCCTGTGTATCCTTCTACTTTTCTAAAGGTTCAATGAAGTATTGGGAAATTTCATGTTGCAATATTAATATGAAACTTTGTGATCAATCAATTTGGTGAACACTTGCAATATCACATAAGCAATTAGCTCTAAGCAGCTATTTTCTTTTCTTTGAAACAGAATGTATTGACAAACTGCCAGAAGGAAGTAATTCGGCTAACAGATATACAGTGATGTTATCCCAATACAACTGCACTGTCAGTTCACAACAGGCCATATTGAACACATAAAACTGACATCCAGCTCTTAAGCGTTTTTAAATAGTGACAATGATTTTGACATCAGAGTTATTATTTTGTATTCACTTAGAAGTCCTGTCTCATACATACTGCTGACCAGCCATCCCTTATGAGTAATCTAATGCAACCCAACACAACAGCTGTACCATAAATTCTACTTTCACAAGGCGTCTACACCATCGGTTTTTGTTGACATGACCAGACAGTAGGGCCCGACCGATATGGATTTTTTTGGGGCTGATGCCGATACGGATTGTTGGGGGGGTCCGATTACCGATTAATCAGCTGATTTTTTTTTTACATTTTTTATGAAGTTATGAAATATATATGCATATACTGTAGATATTAATAGTATACTATATACTGTGGATATGCTGTAGGCTACTGCTCCTCACGCCAACCAGAAGTCCGACTAATCAAACTCAGACCAGAAAAGCGTTTTCAACTACCCCCCGCCAATCGGGGGGTAGTTGAAAACTGGTAGGGCTCGCCGATAAATCGGTCTGGCCCTACCAGACCAGAAATAATATCTCTACAAATGCACTGTTGAAGTTGTAGTGGGTAATGGTGGTGTACTGGAGTGTGTTATTTTGAAAAGCACTTCTGATATTTTGCTCCCCTCATGTTTGTGGACACAGTTTAGGTAGCATCTTTCAATAATGGGTAGGCGATAAAACGATAACAATATATATCGAAAATTAATTTCCCTCAATATCGATATAAAACATGGTCAATATGCTTTTCGATAGTCAGCATTCTGCCATGTTTTGGTAGACTATACAAATAGCCAATGAAAAGGAGAGTTTCTCCTGGTCGTGCCGCGCTGAACCAATCATGTGCAGAATTAGAACCAAGTAGCAAACAACTGTGTAGTAGCAGGCAGCAGCTACAGCCAACCATAGCACTTTAACATGTGAAGCTGACAGCACTGTCAGTGAAAAAAGAAGAAAATGAGTGCTACCCCCGGCACAAATGCAGATGAAGGCTCAACAGATGACACTGTCAACAACACTGGCACGAAGACGTTGGTAGTGTGGCGGTATTTTGCTTTTTGAGGTCGTACATGAAGCAGGGTAATGTGTACTGCAAATTATGTCGAGTATATGTTAAATTTCATTAAAGAGTAACAGAGAATGTTTAAAATTGATAAGTGATTTTTTTACATCATGATACATATTGATATCAACTGATATGAAAGAAGTATATCGTGATAAACTTTGTCCCTTATCGCCCAGCCCTACTTGTAATGTAAGGCACTCCATTACACTACTACCACCCACCCACCCACCCCATATTCAATAATAAATATAGGGTAGGCTGCAATAACCTGTCTGAATCTGATCATGAGGTGTTGGATTGCATGATTGTGTTCATAATTTTATGGCTGGTCAGTGTATTTCAATAATTTCATCCCTTAGACTGGATTAAGGTCAGGTTTGGACTCTATGAACACCGGCATGTCAAAGACCATGGTCGCCATAATGTTACCATGAACAACTTCGTAAGAAGAAGCTTAGCATTTGCCATTGAAAAGTAGGTAAAAACTTTATAGGTAAACTCAATCAGCTTGCTAACATTAGCCTGTAGAGACCAACAGGCAGCTGTTTAACTGGCTGGCGTTGTTTCCACCTCCACCACAATGTTCGCTTTATTTTTTGCAGATAAACATGAGAGGAGTAACTGTTGATCGTGCATAAGTAATATGTGAAGGAACATGTCTGTATCAGGAGTTGTGTGGTGAAAACAAGCTCCCTACAGTGTGGGTCTGTGACTGGTACAAACGTTGGTGGCTACACTAGCCTGCTAGCTGAAGCCTGGAGCCAGCCATGACTAGCGTTAGCGAGGAAGCTGGCAGAAGCCTGACAGCACAGCACAAGTCATTGGCAGTCGTCACGGATCGACAAAAACTTCACTCTTACCCAGGCTCTGGCCGCTGTAAACGTAGACGTGACACCAGGGAGACAAAATTCAGCCGGATGCACCGGGCAAAAGACACGGAAGACGGTGGGAAAGAGCGAGTGCTGTGCTCAGCCTCTGTGGAGGTCTTCACCTGGTGCTTCCATGTCTGTTTACCAGACTGCATTCTGGGACAGAGACGTCACTGCGCCTGCCCACACGCACATTGTAACGACTTAAAGCAGCGTCTCCATAAGCAGCAGGGTATTTTTGGTCTGTCATCAATATCAAAGATATAAAGTGTAATAATAAACTGTTTAGAAATATCTTGCAGTGTTCTTCTAATTCTCGTGCCAAAAGTTTTTGGAATGGTCTTTTTGATGGAATTATTTGGAAAATGGTATCGATTTACAACAAAAAATATTTGATTAACAATAAAGTGACTGAGGTCTATTTCAAAATGATTCACTTAATTTATCCAACTAACCAATTGTACATTTAATTTTTGACTGTATGCATGCTAAATTTTTCCAGATTGAGGTTGAAAATGTATTTAAATTGTTGTCTGGGTGTAAGATAAACCTGCAAAAGAGAAATATTATTTTTTATTTTGAAAAAAAGAACATGGACTGAAGTCATATTTTTTTGTTAAACCTTTTTACTTTGTATGGAAGATTTTATATACATAAATGTAAGTGGTCTAAAAAGAAACCAAATATCCATCAGTTTAAAAATGAAATGAAGATGTATTTTAAGACACTAACTGGACTAACGAATATGAAAGCGATTCGAACTTTGACTTTCTACGAAGCCTTGAGGTCCTCTCTATGATCTGAACTAAATGTATGATCCCCATGTCATAATTTATATTATGGTCTGTCATATCTTCAGTAAAGTACAGAGATTGTCAGATATTTAAAGCTGGGAAACTTTTTGATGAACACAATGTTTATGCATGATATGTTCATTTAATAAGAGATCTACTAAATAGGTTTCAAATTGCTGTAGATTACTGATGTGTGATTGTTGCTGTCTTGCCAGAAGAAGAATTTTCTCTTTTTTTCTCATTGTATTTATCCAGAGACCCAGGGTTTTGAAAATCACTGAATGGAACAACAATTGAGATGGTGAAAGAATGAATTCTTACTTCTTTTTAACTGTAAAAGCCGCATTATATTTATGGGGAGAGTGGGGTAAGATGAGCCATTTTTCATATTTGGGATCACGACATCAAGGCAATCATAGTTTTGTCTCTAATTAGTGTATCTGCATATATTTCAAGATGTTGTGCCTCCCTGCAAACCAACAGAATGAGTGTTAACATAACTGTCTTGATAATAAAGCATGCCAAAAAAAAGTGGTCTCCTATGGTCAACTCACCCCGAGTATGGGGTAAGTTGACCATAGGAGCATGTAAGTTGAGCCGTATCCCTACTATCCCCCACTCTCCACCCCAGCCCGCTCTCACCTTCTCTCTCCCTAAATAACAGTCACTTCTTCACATTCATGTGTATTTTTATCTATGATGTGCTATTCAACTAATACAATAATTCTTTTTATTATTAATGCATATAACTGCTAAGCAGCTGTTTTGTAAAAAGTCGTTTTAACATGAGAATGTCTTTAAGTGATTCAGAACATTCACAGCTGTATTCTTGAAAAGAAAAAGTAACACATTTCAATAATCTGAACTGAAACTCTGATCCTCTCATCAGACTCCTTTACTTACTCATTTGAGCCACGGGCCAACTTACCCTAACTTCTATTGTGACTTTTTTTGTCCTCTAAGCCAAAATGGTGGACTTTTATGCTAGGTTTTTAACCTCATGTTGTAGTTCATAGATACCACAATTGATGTCTAAAACAAATTTAAAATGATCTTTTTTGGTCTGAACACAATTCTAACCCCTTCACCCATGTGCTTCTAACCTTCACAGACTCCATGAATTGATGCCCATCTCCAAAATATTTGGTCACATGATCAATTTCTTTTACCATTTCCAAGCAACAGGGGGGGGGGGGGGGGGTGGCTCAACTTACCCTTTGGCTCAACTTACCCCACTCTCCCCTAAATACTACCATCAGATATTTAAAACATTGAAATGAAAATACAAAATACCAATGGTTCAGTGAGTTGTAATGGCTTTATTTACTTATTTTACATCAAGTCAAACTCAAACTCCCAAACCAATCCATAAATCTGTAACACCCCCCTACTGTTGAACAATATCAGTCCTACACTCAATCACTGAATGTTAGTCGTAATTATAAAATATTCAACAGCTGAATGGCAGAAGCAACCAACAGGGAGAAATATAGAGTAAATAATGATATCATCTGCTGGATCAGAATGACTAGGACCCTGGTTTTTTAGTATTCTGAACCACGTATCATTAATTTTGGTGCAGGTTAAGCAAGGTTCCTCCAACAGAGCCTTGACTAAAACTCTTATCTCTATTCCCATTTTACATCATTTTACCACTCTACATGGCCTTAGTCCCTCTGCAGTACAAACAACAAACTGTCATGTGTTTATCCAAACCCAACAGATGTCAATTTCATATATGCATAGTCCTATTATCCATTTATTTACATACCGAAAAGGTAAGAATGGCTATCCTTCTGCTTCAGGGACTGATAATCATTGGTCACATTTTTCACATCACTCTGAGAGATACTGAACCAAAGATTTTCAGCAAAGTCTTGAAGGCTTTATTTATCTGAACTGGATCTCAGTGGTAGTTGAGTAATTAGGTAGTTAAAAACAGATTTTTTTTTAAGTTTCAAAGCCAGAAACTTTCCTGCCTTCTCCCCACATATCACAGGACTTTTGAACATATTACTGCTTCAGTGCAATGTTGCATGGAGGTAATTAGTCAGTGTCACTGCTTGAATGTTATGGAAGCTTAGGTTGCTTTGATAACTCCTGCTGGTCTATATATTGTAGATTCTGGTGTCTCTCATCTTGCTCTATACAAAACCTCAGAGATTCTGTATGGGGTTCAGGTCAGCACAATCAAGCACAGTTACTTTTGTAAAAAAAAAAAAAACAGTTTCTGGTAGTTTTGGCACTGTGGGCAGGTGCCAGGTCCTACTGGAAAAGGAAATCTGTGTTTCCATAAAAGTTCTCAGCAGATGGAAGCATAAAGTGTTGTTAAATCTCCAGGTAGACTTAAAGCTGCATTGATCCTGAACTTGATAAAACACAATAGTTCAACCACAGCAGATGACATGACACACTGTGAAAACCTCATGCTGGACTTCAAGCCCCTTGAATTGTTTGCCTCCCTGATCAGCAGGGTCTTTGTTTCCAGATGAGATACAAAGTTCACTTTCATTTTACAAAAAGGACTAAAATAACTGACAAGTCTCTGATTTTTTCCACAATATTCAAAAGTTTTGAGAGGGTGGATTTTTTTTCTATTTTTGTGAGCTGTTAGCATTAATCATCAAGATTTAAACAAAAAAGTCGACAACTTACAATTTGTGTGTGATAAATCTATATATATAGGAATTTCACTTTTTGAATCAAATCATTGGAAACAAATAAACTTTTTCCAAACATTAGATTTTTTGAACAGCACCAATAACCTCTTTTTATTGAAAAGACTGTTGACTCTCTGGACAAGGAACCTCACCCAACCAACTCTCATTCCAATACTGTAAACTTCCTGTTGGTCAGTAAATTTATTTTTATTACATTTATTAATTATTATTATTATTATTATTATTATTATTATTATTATTATTATTATTATTATTATTTGTAGTTAAACAAAATTTGAGGGAACACTTTGACTTTTTTTTTTTAAAAGAGGAGAGTTTCCTGAATGTACTTACTTTTTTAAATATGTAAAACATATTATTATTATTATTATTATTATTATTATTATTATTATTATTATTATTAGTAGTAGTAGTAGTAGTAGTAGTAGTAGTAGTGGTGGTAAGAATAAGAATAAGACTAAGAAGAACGAAGAATACGAAGAACTTTAACAGACAATTGAAGGGAAATTCAATTGTTTGTTGTCACATAATACATAATATGTCTCCAAAAGTTATCTACTACTTACACAAGAGTTATAAAGTCTAATGGCTGTTTGTACAAAAGATCTTCTGAATCTTCTAGTATTAGCCACCCTTTTCGTCGTTTTTGTTCATAACATTTTTTATTTTTTTCAGTAATCTATTTAAAACTGATTTTTTTGTTCAATAAAGCCTTTAAAAAAGTTTGAAACATAAACCCCGCCCTACTGCTCTCTTTTGGCTAATCACCGCTCTCTCTCCTCGGAGTTGGAGCAACGTGTTTTGTTCACTTCCTGCGTTTAAATAAAGTTATCTCCTCAGGTCCACCATGGGAGCTGTTACAGATGGTAAGTTGCTCTGAATTCATGGATATAAGCTCTCTGCTAAAAATAATGAGTATAAATATTTTCCGAAGCTGTTAACAAATAATACATAAACAGTTGTGCTGCTTTAATGCATCATGTTTGCGTGCTTACCAAAATAGCTAACCCACAGTAGCCACCATGTTAGCTCAAGGCTAACAGTTCCCTCTCGGAGGTTGTTGTTGTTTTTCTTTGTTACACCTGAAAGGTTGATCATTTCTCTATTTCACCTGTTTTAGACGAGGTTATCAGGAAACGTCTTCTCATCGACGGTGATGGAGCAGGAGATGACCGCAAAATTAATCTGCTGCTCAAGAGTTTCAGTAAATGGTGCAACTCGCCTCTGACCCCGGAGGAAGGGTAAGTCAGCTGACATCTCGAGACCCCGACTTATAACCCTGATACAGTCTGTGGTAGTCCAAAGTGAGTCACATACCGTGCGGTCCTTTTTCAGGTTCACGCAGTATCAGAGGATGTTGGGCACACTGGCCCAGTGTGAATTTTCCATGGGGAAGACCTTAATGGTTTACGACATGAATCTTCGAGAAATGGAAAATTATGAGAAAATCTACACCGACATAGGTAAGAGGAAAAGAAGTGTACATTTTGAACAGATACACACCCTCACCCCATAAGTTTACTTTCTCACATACTTAACCCTCCTATTATCCTTGGGGTCAATTTGACCCCATTCAATGTTCATCATTTAAAAAATAATAGTTGACTTTTGTTTTTTGCTTCATATTTCATGACTTTTCCTAATTTGATGGGGACAACTGATTTAGCATAACATTTTCATGATGTATTTTTACTGTGTTGTACATATATTGCACACAACTGTGTTCCTCTGTGATCAGTTTGACCCCAAGCTGTTTTGGCTGTGTAAATCTTGCCTGTCTGTGTGTGTGACCTAACATCCCCATACCTACAGGTGCAGAGTTGATACTTTTGAGTTGATACATAACAGGGGGGTGGGGAAAACAACTATTCCCTCCAGAACTTTGATACTTCTCATGGTGTGGACCAGTGTTGTTTTTGTTGACGATGACATTGACGAAAATATTTTTGTGATGAAAATATTTCGTCAACGCCACTTTTTTTCCACGATGAAGACGTGACATTGACGAACTAAACATAAGTCTTAGATGACTAGAATGTGCGTTTACGGTGACGAGACAAGACTAGACGAAAACGTTAGTGGTGGGTGACGAACAGAGTTGCAAAATTCATGAGCATTTCATCAGTCAAACGCCAAACATATAGGAGCAGCTTCAGTCTGCTCTGACAGCTGTCATCAGCCCGCTGTGCTCCTCCAACACACACACACACACAGTGTTGTTTTCGTTGATGATGACTTTGACGAAATATTTTTGTCAATGTCATCATCAACAAATAAACAAAGTGCCTGACAAAAAATCTTGGTCAACAATTGCATGTAAATCATTTTCTGGAGGCAAATACCTGGTGTCGGATTGACCCCAATGGTAAAATGTGTAATATTTGAGGATAATTGGAGGGTTAAGAACACGTTATCGATATACAAGGATTTCCTGCTGAAAGATTTGTGCCATTTGATTTCACACTACCTATCTGTTCACTCAGAGAATAGGTAGGCCAGAGTAACCATGAAAGTGCTTGGGTATTAAAATGTCCCTCTCAAACTTTACATTTCAGAACAAAATATCACGTCTGCACATGAGAAAATAGCAGAATGCAAAAAAGAAATCCTGAGGGCAAAGAGGATAAGAAAAAACCGACAAGGTAAGAATGGCTGTCCTTCTGCTTCAGGGACTGATAATCATTGGTCATGTTTTTCACATCACTCTGAGATACTGAACCAAAGATCATCTTAAGTGCTTGACATTATTTCTTCTCAGTAATATAATCTTAATAAACATTTAAAAAGTACTTACTACACTGAGTTTTTTTTTTTTTACAACCCCAACTGCAAAAAGATTGAAGCTGTGTACTGAACTGAACTGGGGAGAACATTCACAACATAACACTGGCCTCCTCTGTAGTTAAAAAGAAGTGTTAAGTGGTAAATGTGCCCCTGTCCAAACTTTCTCACAGTGATCAAATTTAAACAGGCCTGTATTTTTTTCATACAACAGCAAAAATTCAACTCCAACATGCGGAAAATTAACTTGGTGTCAAACACATTGTAACACTGAGTTAGGCACCCCCTCGAGAGATGAATATTGCCGACTGCTTGCTTCTCTACTTATACCAACTTTAGTAACAACCTCAGGATAGCTATACACAGCTGTCTGATGAGCCATACACAAACCTCAACTAAAACACCACTCTATAGCCACAAATAATGCTCAGAACAGCACCTAACTTCATCAACAGTACATATAGGGTCCCAGCCATAGCACTAGCCACCAAACATCTTTTTAACTTTGCCTGATTTCTTTAGCGAAGAGACTGAACTCAACTCACCTACTCTCTTCCATGTGATACAGTGTCTGTAATAGTAAAATTAGATGTTTCCTTATATCATAACTTGCAAATGTTCAACCTGTGCTGGGTCATACAGGTATGCTGCAGACCACTATCAGTTATCACAAACTGATAAAAAAACACAGTTTAAAAAGAATAGACCAAGAGACTTAGGATTTTAGCTTTAGGATCAGATTAAAAAATTAAATCAGCATTTTTCCCTGCTTTATCAACAAGGGTGTCAATTATTTTCAGTTTCATGATACAAAAAAACAGCACCAAATATTTTGATTTGAATTTTTTTCTTTTTTTGCATTTTCACTTTTGATTATTTTCTTCCAGAGTACGATGCTTTAGCTAAAGTCATACAGCAACACCCAGACCGGCATGAAACACTAAAGTAAGTCATTGGCTTATTCATTTGCATTCATTGCCACTTTTCTTTTCTTTTCTTTTTTTTTCGATACAATTTTTTTATCCTGTATAGGTGTGTAGACTTGTGGCTTTTATTTTGGTTTGCTTAATTTTGTGTACACCTTAACAGGCAGTTGGAGGCACTTGACAAAGAGCTCCAGCAGCTGTCTCATATCAAGGAGAATGTAGATGCAAAGGTAAAGCCCCATGTGACGATATTGTTTAATATTCAAACTGCAGTTTCTTGAATCATGAGTTGTGTTTAAATGTTGTAAATTCACTTTTGTCCCACCTAGTTGGAGTTACGGAAGAAGCAGTTCCATGTGCTCCTCAGTACCATACAGGAACTACAGCAGACCCTTGAGAGTGAGTGACATTTTCAATTCGATGTTGTGCTTTTTAATGTCCCTGGGTTGTCCTTACTGTATTCAACAACTTCTTTTTCGATACAAGACCATAGACCGTACTGCTTGTAATCACCTCTCTCTTTCCTAGATGATGAAAAATCTGAAAATGATGACAACAATCAGGGGAGCCCTGCAGGGAACAGTGAATGAACGTGCGGAATTAACCCTTTTAATGATTTTTGCTGTTGTGTAAGATGTTTTGTATGTATTTTTGAATAAAATTGACTTGTTCACATAAAGTGTAGAAGTGCTCAATCAAAATGGTACATTTTTGGATGTATTTTGGTGTAAGACTGAAATTCTTTCCCCCTTCACTTTATCAGCTGAAATTGCCGAAATGACAGGCTTGTCAATACATGAATGCAATATGTAAACAAATAAGTAAAAGTTACTCTTGGCAATAAAAGCATTAATGTATGAAAATATATACATAAATCACTGATGGAGAAATTGTGTAGAAGTTAGACCTGAATCAGCCTTATATGGTCTAAACTAATTTAGATCCCTAAGACTGGAAGACCTCATTTGTGTGCCGATGGCATCGAAAGCAAATTTATAAAATGCACATCAAAAATATTTTATGTTTGGGACTTAAGTAACTTGTTTTTTACCAAGCTAGGATTCGAAACAGTTCCCCATATGAAACCACAAGGGGGAGCCAATGTTCAACAAGACGTATCAATGCTGTTTGAGCCGTAAGGGTTTGATGAACTAAATTCACTACTGGCAGAATTATAACAAGGTAGCTCGATAAATAGATACTTTATTAATCCCAGAGGGAAATTCAAAGTTCTCTAAAGAGGGTAGATACAAGTCTGTCAGACCCAATGAAAAACCTATATCCTACTGCTGCACATCTTCTACCAAAGACACATTCAGGTTCAAAGTTATCAGTGTCAGAGAATTGTGGTCAATAAGAAAACTTACATCTGCAAAAAATGGTGGCAAACAAGACAAAATGTCACTGAAGCTAGATGAACATCTGTTTGAAAAAAGAAAAAAAACATTTATTTCAAAATAAAGGTGAACTTGGAACAAATTGTAAATATAGAAAAAATAGAATAGAAATATCGATATGTAGAAGTATAGAAAAAAACCACAACACTACAACAAATAAAGTGCTTCTGTTGTTTCCTAAAGGATCTTGACTACAATCTGATAGTGTTTGCATTTTTTGCTCTCTAATCTTTAACCATGTAGAATAATATATTATATTTAAGTCAGTGTATGTTGACTTTTAGTTTTTAGATACAACCACAATCAACAAATAGATTATACGACAATACATTTTAAAAAATGCTTCAAAGCTCTGGCACAAATCTTTCCTGGCCTCTAAACAGAAGGAAGATGTACAGACAATTCCAGCTGTTAAAGGAAGCAAAGGTTCTTTAAAACTCTACCAGGTATGCACGGGCCCTCATGAGGCGTTTGAGGCGGTTCTGCAAACTAGCCCTCTTGCTGCCAATGTCGCACTCCTCCTTCAGCAGAGACTCAAAATTTTCTTTATCCTGAATCACCTGGAGCATTTCCCTCTGCAACTGGAAGGCAGATTCTTGTAACATCTGGAAGCGGATCACCATAGGAACCTGGTCTGCCAGTCGCTGGCTCGCGATCTGATGGTGGGAAAAGAAACGTTTTTTAGGCAAAGGTGCGTAATGAAAAAAGTAATGCTTGTTTTATTCCTTTTTGTGGCTTTAAGGCTTACTTTGTAATATGATTTAAGGTGCATCATCAGCTGCTGAAGTGTTGCATGATTATCCTGACGATGCATGGTGTTTTGAAATGTAACTCGTGGAGCACAAGCCCATCCATCCTCCTCATTCTCCTCTTTCTTATTTTCACTCAGGCTGCTGCTGTAGGTCCTGTCCTGAGAGTAAACAAGCAGCTCCATCTTAAACTGAGTTCTCAGAAATGACTCAGCAATGGCTTCCTTGTCTTGTTTTATGGCTTCAATCTTTGTCTAGAAAAAAAAATGGAATGTGTTCACACAGTGAAGAAAATTGCAAATGATAATACATCAGTAAGAGCAAAGGTTACCTTGGCTGTTTTTGTGAGGTTAGGAAAGCCAGTAAAGCTGCTTGTTGCAAGCTGCATGAACATTTTCCTGACTTCATCTAAATAAAAATGGAAAAGCAGCATGATCAGTTTTATTTATTATGTTAAAACATCAAAGTAACAAAAATCTGATGTGCATTCAGTGACAGAAAAGTGACATTCTGATGTCTTGTTTTCAGTCATGTATATTTTGACATTAGTGAAATAACAGGAAAATTAAACAACTGAATGAAAAAAGAAGAGACAACAACCATAGAAAGGTGAGCAAAATGTTTTTTTTATATTTCTATTTAAATTAAAAAGTTCAAAAAAGGTAGTTTTGCTCAATTTTTGCATAAACATTTGTGCTGAAAAAGATACTAACAGTATAAATAAATATAAAAATGAAATTCAAGTCATCATAGTTATGACTATATGAGAGTACAAGCTAAAGTATAATCAAAATGTTTCTAATGATCTTTACAAACAGAGTTGAAGGTGGTGCTTTAGGGTCCTCAACTATTTCTAATCATATTTTCTGATTTTTAAACAAAACCCCACAGTCTCTTTCTACTCTTGACTCTGTATGCTGTTATGTTCAACCACCAATAGCAAACACTCCTAAATTAAAAGCCCAAATTTGTGTGCTCTGCATTTTCTTGTAGATCAGTCATGTAAGACAAGAAATTGGTGAGATTTATTTCACATAAAAAAGGGTTTCGTGTTCTGCATTTCACCTCTTGTGATGTGGTAATTGCACATGTACACACAACTGACAATGATTAAATGATGTGCCACCATAACCCACTGCTGTACCTCCGATGTCTTTGAGTTTCCTTACAGCAGGCTCTTCCAGCTGTTTGATCTGCTCCCTGACCATGACCTCAAAGGTCTTGTAGTTGATGAAGCCTGGAAGTTCTCTTCCACGGTACTTCGTTTCATAGTCCTCCACCTCTTCCTCAATCGTCTGGTTAACTGCAACACACAAAGGCATACATTTCACAGAGCTGTTGATGTACAGCTGTACACCAAATCACTGTGATACACTCACATTTCTCTCCAGAGTGAGTCAAGTGATTGTTCCACTGCCCGAAATTTTCTCTCAGCATGGAGAAGATGTTGAGCATTTCCCCACACTTGAGCTCCTCTCCTTTAGTCAGACTGATGGCATCCTGAATGAACGCTGTCACTTTCTGCAACATGTCACAAAAGGAACTTGTCTTCACAGTTGCTTTAAATTAACCAGACAAAAATTTACAGTATGAGGTGATCTGTGGTGGTGTTTGATACACTTTCTATGTAGTCACTCCTTCGGGAATTCATGCAGTAATTTGAGTTTGTCTCAAATAAAATCTGTGATTTATGACAAATTGAAGTGTTAATTTTGTCAGATGTGTTAGGATTATAATTGATGATAATTATAAAACGTATATTTTATAATAATTGTTAATATTACTTTGCACCCAAGACCAAGATGTAAAGTTGTGGCTTTATTTGGTGAAGCATAACTGTCCACATTGTCAACTTTAAAATGGCTTTAATCAAGAGTTCATCATAGCAAAAATGAGTCCCTGCAGTTATCCAATCATCCAACCAAACAGTATGAGGCTATAACATGCATTGTAGGTTTTAGGATATTTTAAGTGTGGCATTTAATATGAGAGAACTTAGTGAAGTCAAGTCAAGTCAAGTCAAGTCAAACTTTATTAAGACAGCAGTCAAACAAAGTGCTGTACATGGGATAAATAAAAGAAGTAAATAAATAGATAACAATAAAAATAAAAAAAACTTACATCAATGAGGAAGATGAGCCTCTCAGCTGGGTCAGCAGGGGGTCCATTCCCATACTTCTCAAGCTCTGCACGGGTTTGTTCAAGCTTTTCTTCAATTTGTTCTTCAAGTCGAGGCAGAGATTTCTACAAATAACATGAAGATTTTTATGATTATCTGTCACTGCTTGTTTGCCTGTTTCTCCTATGTCTGCTGTGCTGATCTTTTGCTGCTGCAAATGTCCCTGTGGAAAGTAAAGGCTTACTTAAGCTTACCTTATCCTAGCTTAGCTTGTCTTAAGTATCAAAATTTTGACTCCTGAGGGAAAGTTCATGATTTCTGTTGAAGATGCTACATAAGAATTTCACCTCAATGTGATGCACAAGCTCCAGTGTGAGTTTCTCAGCCAGTTTAGGAACTGTTGCACGATTTTCATCAAAGAGAGTTCTGTAGCACAAAAGTTAATCTCCTTAATACACATTAAACAGCCTTTAAAAATGCAAATTACTGCACTGATATTAAACAATGAATATCATTTTTAATTTTATCTAAATTGTACAAACTTACTGGAAGTGCAAATGGTCTTGGAAGAAAGCCCGTTCCTTGTCTATTGCTTCAGCAAGACTGACTTTGTCTGAGATCTCCTGCTGGCCCCTGCACCTGACGATCATGTAGCCCTTTCGGAGGTGGATCACCTCGTTATGGACAATGTCCACCACCGTCTGTTCTGTGCCTTTGTCCACCAGATCTGGTTTGGTCAAGATACCTAAAAGGAAAAGAGACAGAGTGAACTATGTAAGACTTGTGTAGATAATGAGTAAGAGTCCTGCCTCTTATTGAAATGTTTTAATCTTTATTTTACCAAGAGTCCTCTCTCCATCAGGATCAACCTCCTGAGCCATCTTTAGGGCCTCTGTGGTGGCGATGTCCACATTACATGGAACAACCACCAAGCTGATGGTTTCTTGTTCTTTAATGAACTTTCGAATCAGCCTCTTGATCTGAAACATCGGTTTATATTGTGCATGAGTGAATTGTTTTACAGCTTTCAAATCATTGCTGTGCTTAATTTGATTTTATTGATGTTACAACTCTTCAAAGGGGTGGTATTATGCTCTTCCATTTTTACAAAAAAAATTTCAAATCACAAGGTAAACAAATTTTGTAAAATTCCTAAAAAGTAGATGTAAAGTCCTTAAAATGGTATGTTATGACATCACACAAGACTCAAGTAATGAATGACAGCAGCTAAAACCAAGCGTTTTAGACAAAGGCTGAAATAATGATATTTTACACACCTGAGTGAGAAACACTCAGCTTTTTTGATCTGAGAATCATATTAAGCTACTAAAGAGGTATCAGAGAGGAAGTATAGAGTTTGAAAAAAGGCACAATACCCCCTCTTTAGAACTTCACATCTTTCTAGGGGTTGTGTCAGAAACATTTTTAATGGCAAATATTCTCATAGCTGTCTCATGATAAAACAGCTGAGAGCTTGTTTTGGAAAACTGAAAAAAGCTCACCTGTTCCCCAATGTTCTCTGGTTGTCCCTTTACAGCCACCCTGGCAATGCCAGGCAGATCAATGAGCGTCAGGTCTGGAACATGAGGAGAGGCGATTTCCAGACTGATGAGATCTTCACTGATTCCTACTCCCTTTCCTGCTAGCTTATCCTGGGCTGTAGAGACAAGACACAATGTACCAAGATCAACCAATTTCATGCAGTCTTTGCTTTAGGATATAATACGACTGTACCTTCTCTAATTTTTTCCTCCACATCTGCAGGGTCATCCAGTTCTTCCTCGTGACTTTGGTAGCTTATCTTTCCGTACCAGTCCTCTTCTTCATTCCTCCTTTTCATCTTCAATTCCAGAGGACATCTTGTAACAATGCCTAAATTAATAGAGTTTGAAAGACAAAGAGGAAATATTCTGCATTAAACCTAAATCAAACCATAAACGTGTGATGCACAGAAAATGTGTCATCACACTTTATGGTATTTGTGTATGTTATATTTTGGTCAGTGGGGTATTCATGTTATAAGTACAGTCAAACATGAGCCACTACTTCAGAGTTCACTGTGATATAATTTGTGCACCACACCAGCAGTGGGCGGTGTGGTGCTGTGCTTTTCCCCTTGGACTATCTTTGATAGCAACTCTTTCTGCTTCCTTAGACTAAAGAGCAAAGCAGCACTGAATAAAAGCACTGTCACTTGTCTCATGTTTTCTTATGTTGTAAATAGTAGCATTTAACGTCGCTTAATATTAAGTATTTGTTTGATGACATTATTACATTATTGATTGTGCCATGTGGTCTGATAAACCTTGGAATATTTAGAAGAGTTAACAAGTGTAAATAGTTCTTGCAAGTGGTACATTTGTCCAACCTTAGAATTAAATAGCTAGCAAGCTAGATAACTACATCAAATGCTTGCCCTGGAAAATCTTGTGCACACTGCATGACATGCAATGTGTTGCTCTGTCTGCAGAGTGAGTGCAACTGCTGTCTAGAGAGAGGAGCTAGTTAGAGGAGGCTGAGGACAAATGGCTGTTCAGGGAAAAGTAACTGACATTATATTGTATCTTTTCTTTTAAAATCTGTATGTGGATGTGTTCAGGCATCAAATGAAATAAGTGAATTTGTAATTTATTTGCACTTTTGTTGTTTTGTATAGCCATGCTTAGGGCTTGAAATACAGTTCTTTGCACCTTTGTGTTATCCCCTTATAATAACAGTTAAAAAATAGTTTATACTTTTTTAACCAGTTGTTTTTTAGTGTCATACAGTAAGATAGATCCACCGTCCTCATATGAGGACATTGAGTTTAATATAAGTATTTGTCGTAGAGAGGTGAAAATTTGTTTTGGAGGAATTAGGGCCTTCTGATCCCAAATAGCACAGTAAAAAAAAAAACAAAGACAAACTGACTGTCCCCAAGTGTAAACATCTTTTTTTTTTTTTATTTAATTTTTTTTTTGTGAAAACCACTTCCTGTACAAAGATTAAATGTAGTTATTGTACTTAGTTCTACTTGGTTCTATTACCACCAAATGGCTTGGAGAAATAAAGAAATGCACACCAAGCAAAAGTTGGGTTTAATGAGGGACCCCAGCCTGGGACCTTTAACAAAAGCAGTGCTGAATTCTGAAATAGCTCTTCACACCAACACACATAGGTTAATAAAATTAATACCAATATCGTCAGCCTCTCTCATAGCGACATAATACACGTAGACGCCTCATTACGTGCTGGGGCGTATAATCCAGAGTCGCCGCCATATTGGATAGGTCTCCTCAGCAACGATGCCCTTATTTAGTGCACCTGACAGTTGCAAAAACCGACGCAGTATCAAAAACCAGATCACATAAAACTACATTTCACAAGACTGAAGAACAGTTTTGTTTTTACTGTGTGCCGGGGTCTGTATCATAGCAACATTCCTGCAGTTTGTGACAAACTAAACAGTGTAAAAATAGGGTAAAAATTCGGAGACTATAATATTATATATAGTATAATTATAATAGTTGGGCGTTCCTACCTTCCTCATCAGAAACAAATTCATTGGAGGACCTAACCAAAATGGCGGCTGAGCTGATACGCAAGATCATACATTCTATGCGCGAGATCCGATAGACAGCGAGGCGTCTACGTATATTATGTCTATGGTCTCTCAACCACACTGATCAGTCCCTCATACAGAAACTGCCTTACTAATGCCCAACATCAGCCTAACACTAAACGTAAAAAAGATAAAACTATTTAATGGGGCAGAAAGAAAGAAAAAACTGGATCATTAATACTTCTTGGAAAAACAATTGAGCTTCTTTAATTTGGCAGATTGTTTGTGTCAGAGGAAGACAGCAAAGAGAAGATAAACGAAAACAAGCCAAGCAAAACAGAAAAACTGTTTAAGAGGTGATGCTGTTTCATGTGAACCTACAACGTAGCCTAACACGTTCATATCACTTTTACAAGTTTACCTCCGTCACTTAATCGTTTAACGAGCTTTATAATGTCAACATGAATATACTTAAAAAGAAACAGTCCATCCATACCACTCCCTCTGGGCAGAGCCACCCCTGACAGCGCCTCCAGCACAGAGCTCTTCCCAGAGCTTTGGTCCCCGATCACGGCGATAGCAGGAAGCGCCAAATCCTTCTCGACACCCAGAGAGCGAAGAGAGTCGATAAGGTCGATGCAGGGACGCACCTTTTCCTCAAACTGCTGGTTGAGAGAGTTCATAGTAGCCATTTCTTGTCTCGTATTTTTCAAAGAAGGGAAATCGTTGTAAAAATGTTCATCCACTGAAACGTCCGGAGTCTGTGGCTGCTCTGTGCCAACAGTGTGGATGCCGGTGCTTATAAGAGTGCCGGAGTCAGTTCGCTTAAATAGAAACTTAGTTAAGTTTCGTTTCATCCATTTCTCCTTCCTGTAAGGCAATGGTTTCATTTGTCAGACAATAGCCTGTGATTTTCTAAGCTAACACAATCGCATGATGCCTCACCCAATCTTGGCATTCCCGACGAAGCGAAAAAATCAAACAAACAGGGCAGATACACCCGGCTACCAGGATGTTTTTTGATTTTGACTTTCTAGATTCTAGATTTTTTGATTATACACCTCATTTTTACAAGTCAAAAGTAGCCCTACTTCATTTTCAGATTAAGTGTCAATTGTTTTTTTTTTTCTTCAAACAGAACTAAAAGCAGCTACACTAACGCCATACTCAGGTAAGCCAAAAGTTTCCCATAAATACATGGCCAATATTAGAGGAACTCGACTGGCTTGATACACTTTGGCCACAAGATAGTGCTATACTGCACTAATTTTAATCCATCTGAGGTGTCAAGTTCTGTTGACAGTAACCTTTGGATGAAGATTTAATTTTACATAGCAGAACCTGAATTGAGATCTTTATATTCTGCTTGGACATAAAGTATATATTACATAAATTTCAATAAATGTGTTGATGATGATGCTTTTCCTATAAACCAACATCAGCTGAAACATTAAACTGTTTATTACCTTCACCAAGGAGGTTATGTTTTCGGTAGCGTTGGTTTGTTTGTTTGTTTGTTTGTTTGTCTGTGACCAACTTTATGGAGAAAGTTACAGACGGATTGACCTGAAATTTTCACCAGAGGTTCGTCTCAGCCCCAGGAGGATCCCATTTACATTTTGGTGGTGATCCGGATCGCCTTCTGGATCCAGGAATTTTTTGAAGGATTCTTTATCATTGTGAGATAGGGCAAATTTTGGAATTTTTGTATTTAACTCTATAAAAATGGCCAGAGTCTTTAGTAAAAAATTACACAAAAGGATCTCAATGAGTTTTATGAGGTGTCAAAGGTTGATCCTGATCCAGACCAAATTCCGGATACTGTGATTCAGAACACACAAAAATAAGGGTGTCGTTGGAATTGTCAATGCTGAAAGATAACCAATGGGTGGCACAGTGGTGTAGATGGGCCGCACAGTGGTGTAGTGGTTAGCACTGTCGCCTCACAGCAAGAAGTTCTTGGATTCGAATCCGGGTCAGGGCATTTCTTGTTTTAGGAACATTATGAACAGTGAACATACCAGTTTAAACACAAATAGAAGTTAATAAAAGACACGTAACAGTAAAAGTTTTGGTGTGAATCACAATATAAGGGGGGACATGAGCTGCTTGGCGGAGGTCTGCGCTCTCCAAGAGCTTTTCTAGTTTCTGTATAATTTAGAAAAAAAGCTGCAGGATTATTGTGACTTGTGAATTATTTCTGGGAACTAGTAGGTGATTAAACAGTGGAGACATTTATTCTCTGGTGAGTGCAATACTTGTATTCTGTCAGCAGACATTTTTTTCTGTAAGGCTTCAGTGACTTCATTGGGAAGTCACACTTATATGGTCAGGTTGTGAGCCATTTTAAACTGGGCATCTCCAACAATTCATCATCAGATCAAATCTAATCTATTCTAATCGTATTGCTAATTGCTAATTGCTAATTGAATTGCTCCTTTTATGAACAGTGCTCAAAAGATAAAATTGCTTTGCCTTACGTATCATCCAAGTCTCCTAGACCAAAATTAGAAGCCTTTAAAAAAATTGCACCTAAGCTTAAGAAGGGTTGATATCCTTTCAGACACAAGGATGAATCTGGACTTCATGAGAAGTCCAGCAGCAGGATAAGAGAGATCAGGTGTTTCTTCACATATATTTGTGCAGATGTGAACCAGCTGATCAGAAAACGAAAACTAACCTCAGTCTAAACCTAACGCCTGCCTGATTTTTTGGAGGGGCCATCACCTCTCTGCCTGAAGCCTGAGTGTTGGTGGGGACTCTGTGGAACAACAGCGCTGCCATTCATGGCAACAATTTGTTGTATCCGTATTGCTGGTGTTGAGTTAAAGTTGTATATGTTCATACTAAAATTGGTCAACAGATCCCGTGCCTTTGTCAAGCGCTTGAGGCGATTCTGAAGTTGGGTTCTCTTGCTTTTTGTTAGCGCGTCTTCTTGAAGCAGGAACTCAGTTTTCTCCTTGTCCTGAAGCATAAGTAGCATCTCCCTATGCAGCTGGCGGGCAGACTGCTGCAGCACTTGGTAGCGGATCACCAGGGGGATCTGGTCAGCCAGGCGCTGGCCAGCAATCTGTGGTTTTGGGAGGACGACAGGGTGTTACACAGATCCTATCTTTTTTAGATATCATAGATAATGTCACAAAAATGATGTATAACCCCCCCCCCCCCCCCCATCATTTAATAGTTTCTTGTAGTTTTTTACTTCATAAGAACTTAGATGTGTCTTTATGTTGAACAGTAGACAAAGTTATATGTTATGCTGAAGCCCTTACAATAAAATCACTGTGTCTGTAATTTTCTTAAAAGAAAAGAGAGTGTGCATGCAAAAGGTGGTGGTTGAATTTAAATTGATGCTTTTTATCGAATTATCGACGGCAACTTACAGCAAAAAGTAGAGGAGAGTGGGGTAAGATGAGCCATTTTTCATATTTCGGATCACTACTTCAAAGCAATCATAGTTTTGTCTCTAACTAGTGAATCTGCAGATATTTCAAGATGTTGTGCATCCCTGCAGACCAACAGAATGAGTGTAATTATAACTGTCTTGATAATATAGCATGCCAAAAAGAGTGGTCTCTGATGGTCAACTTACCCCGTGTATGGGGGTAAGTTGACCATAGGAGCAGGGTAAGTTAAGCTGTGTCCTCAACTTACTCCAGAACTACTATGATGACTTTATTAATCCTCTAAGCTAAAATGGTGGAGTTTTATGCTAGGTTATGACCTCATGTTGTGTCTCATAGATACCACAATTGATGTATAAAACAAATTTAAAATGATCATTTTTGGTCTGAACACAATTCTTATACAACTTATGACACACTAAATTCACTTTCAAGAGTGAAAAATGTTTTTTTTTGTAAATAAATGTCTAACCCCTTCACCCATGTACTTCTAACCTTCACAGACTCCATGAATTGATGCACATATCCTAAATATTTGGTCACATGATCAATTTCTTTTACCATTTCCAAGCAACAGGGGGTGGCTCAACTTACCCTTTGGCTCAGCCTACCCAACCCTCCCTATGTGTCAATAAAAAAAGTACAGGGTATTGCACCATGTTTTGTCTTCGGTTTACTTCACATTTTGTGTATGTCTGCAACACAACAGTCCTGCTAATTCAGCTACAAACAGTTCCCATTCCCGTTGAACAAAATATTAATAAAAAACAGCCAAAGTAAGAATCTGATGATTATGAGACATTAATGTTTTTTATATATATATTAGATCTCCCAAGGGACTTGGAGATCCAAATTCAACAGTAAAAAACTGAATTCAGACTATTTTTTTTGTGTGATACTTGTGTCCTATTTAATTTACTGAAACAATGCACTATGGCTACCGCTGTTTCAAATTTGTTAATCAGGTGGGCCACAACTAGTGTTGAAGTTCCTTTTCTTTCCTTTCAAGTTCAGTTTTCATCAATGTAGTGATTTAACATGTTAGCTATGCTGACAGGAGAGAGAAGTGGTGAGCTGACTCTTGCAGCTATGAAGAGCTGTTTGATGGCCAAAGGAGCTGGTTCTTGCAAAGCTACATGATCTGGACCACAAATAGAGCCTAACTTGCCATCACTAGGGACATCCATGCCAAGGCTGACTGCGTGAGAAAAGAAGGATCCAAACTCTGCACTTAATGTGGTAAGATGGATTGCAGACAACTTGAGCAAGATCATACAGCCTTTAAAGATTTAAAGTAATTAGTGGATCTTCATATAAAATGTGTTAGGGTTAAATCTCTGATGTAATTGTTTACATTAAACTTGGATAGGGACCTTTTTAGTTGCAGCAGGAGAGAGGCCATACCATCTGACTTTCAACTGGTTTTAATATTGGCCTCAATGTCCCAATTGTTAGACAGCTTACTCCGCTGATTGGCAACCCAATATAAGAATAAGAAGAACTTTAACAATTTTGGTCATGATCCTAGTTTTGGGATAGATAGATCTAGATATTACCTTGATATATGGACTGTTTTCAGTAAAGTGACTTTCCTTATTGTAGAAGATCTGGTTGTTTAGTAAAATTATAACTTTGGTATTAAAGTGACAAAAAGCATAAAGAACCAAAAGAAACTGTGACGTGATATATTCATGCTGTCATGCATCCGATGGGTGAAAAAAAACCTAGGCCAGCCACACCGTGTGTGCACGTGTTGATGGCTGCAACATGTTCTGTCTATCTAGTTGGCACCTCTTCTATGTAGACTTTATTGTAATACACATTATGTAAAGTGTACTAACTTGATAGTATGATTGAAAGTGTTTGATTATCTCCTTCAGGGTGTCCCCTGTCTCAGTTGTGCTGGTTGTCCTTGTTCCCCAGGAGAAAACTCTGCTGCCCTGTTCTTCCTCCCTCTTTCTCTTCCCGAGCGTCTCGCTGTATGTGGTGTCCTGAGTGTAAACCATTGACTCCATCTCAAATTGGGTCCTCAGCATGGCCTCTGCTGCAGCCTCCTTGTCCTTGCTAATGGATTCAATCTTTATCTGAGGGGCAAACAAAGAGTTACTATGGTCCGCCACTATGGTTAGTACTATGGTACTATGGTTTTGTCAGTCATACATACACAGAACAGAGTACTAACTGATTTCATGCAGGTGTTATGTTAGACTTTGTTCATGGTTCAGTTCTTGGTGACTTTAGTATACATATCTGTCATGACACCAAACCCATGGCAAAAGATTTCTTGATATTTCTTTTCCTTGGGGGGTGGGCAGTACACAGCCCTTGCTCAACTGTCTGAAAGTCATTGCTGAGACTCAGCTTCCCAAATCTCAATGAGAATGAAACTGAGATCATTGTGTTGGACACCTGAAACAACTGGACAGTGGCACTCTTGCCTATAGTATTTCTTCTGTGAAAGGCCTTGGTTTTTCTTTAGATAGTGCTTATAAATTTGACAGGTGGATCTCTTCTGGCGTCTTCATCTAAGGCTTAGCCCCCCCTCTTAAGTTTTAAAGAGCGAACTCTAATCTTTCATAAGATCTCATCTTGACTACTATAATTCTTTGTGTGTAGGCTTTGATCAGTCATCTATTCAGTGCCTGCAGCTTATTAAAAATGCTGCTGCTCACCTCCAGACTGTAAAGAAAAAGGAGAGAGCACATTACATCTGCACTGTTCTCTCCTCACTGGCTTCTCATCCATCAAAGGACTGATTTTCAAATTTGTTGTTTACCTTTAAGGCCCTGAATGGATGAGCACCACCATAGTTTGCTGAGCTTTTCCATGTTTATACTCCAGTCAGAGCACTGAGGTTAACCAATCAGCTGCTCCTGGATGTGTCTAAAACAAGCCCCGAAACCAGGGGTGACTGAGCCTTTGCAGACACTGTCCAAAACCTGTAAAACATCATGCCACTGTTGTATGTTTTTATTCACTATTGAAGACCTAACCTTCCCTTTAAGATGAGAATGTTATCCTGACAGATAAGACTAATTTGATTGTCTTAAAATGTACTGCATAAATGACAGTTGACTAGACTTGACAGTAAGTAGCGATAAAAACAACCTTAGCTGTATTGAGGAGATTGGGTAATCCCACAAGACTATTCTGTGCCACCCTGTGCAGCTCGCTCTTCACGATTTCTTAAAAAGAAGAAAGACATTACAAACCAGTCAGAGTCTTGAAAGAACAGGATCGTACAGAACAGATATTGACCCAGCCTATAACCACTTGAGCATCATGATTATACATACCTGACACTTCTTGGAGTTTCTGCACTGCTGGCTCTTCCAGCTGTTTGATCTGCTCCTTCACCATGTCCTCAAAGGTCTTATAGTTGATGAAACCTGGAAGTTCTCTTCCACGGTACTTTGATTCATAGTGAAGGCTCTCTTTTGCAATATTTGAGTTGACTGCAAAAGGAATTAATTTGGCAAAACATAAGACAAGTGTTGGTTACTAGTAGTCATGGCAGCAGGAGCAAAACACTAATTTGGTTCGGTCATAAAAAAGTCTTTCTACTTTTTCCAGCTAGAAGCAGTAAATTTGATCGATCTATGATAAAAAGGCCAAGCCATTCCACTCATTAGTTTACTTTGCATGAAGGCTACAAAATCTACTTGTTGATCAACTTACAAGTAACTCCAGAGCGGTCAATTACGTCTTTCCATGCTGCAAACTCTTTTCTGAGGGTGAAAAAAATGTTGACCTCAGATCGACCTCTGCCTTCATTCCCCTCAGTGAAACTGATAGCTTCCTGTGTAAATGTAGTAACTTTCTAAAATAAAAGAAAAAAGAGAGAAATGATTTTTAAAGAGGCTTAATTTATCCTGGCTAAACTTGAGGTTTGGAGATGCAGTGATTTGTACATGTCAAAAGTGAACTCACATCAATAAGGAAGCTCAGTCTTTCATTGATGTCAGTCGGGGGTCCGTCACCATATCTGTCCAGCTCTGCCTGAGTCATCTTTAGTTTATTCTCAATCTGCCTTTCCAGGTTTGGCAGAGATCTCTACAAACCACACAAGAGTAAAACCCGTTAATATCTAAATTGAACATCTCAAGCACCCCTTTCTGTAGAGAAAAATAAGTGTGTGTGAGGTTAACCTGGATATGGTAAACCAGCTCAAGGGAGAGTTTTTCTGCCAGTCTGGGGACTGTGGCGTAGCCTTCATCATAGAGAACCCTAGAGAGAAAAAACAAGTAAATGCTTAAACATGCCTCACACCCTATTAATAAAAAATAAAAAAAATAAATTAAAAAAAAACTTTTTATGCACCATCAAAGAATGAACTCACTGGAAATAGGAATGTTCCTGGAAAAAATCTCTCTCTTTTTCTATTGCTTCAGCAAGACACACTTTGTCTGTGATCTCCCTCTGACCCCTGCACCTGACGACCATGTAACCCTTCTTGAGTGGGATCACATCATTATGGACAATGTCCACCACTGTCTGCTCTGTTCCTTTGTCCATCAGATCAGGCTTGGTTAAGATACCTGAGTGAGAAAAAGGCAAACAGACCATGAACAAATGAAATGGCAAGTAACTAGAACATGGCTGTTTTCCTGCATCAACTTTGTTCATAGATGCATTCATACATTAATTCATTCATTCATTTTACCCAGAGTCCTTTCTCCTTCAGGGTCCACCTCTTGAGCCATTTTCAGAGCCTCAGTTGTGGCTATGTCCACGTTGCAAGGAACAACAACCAAACTGATGGTTTCTTGTTTTTTGATAAACTTTTGGATCAGCTTCTTGACCTGGAAATATCAAAGAACAGTCAAGTTGAAAAGTGTATGGTTACCAAAAGTTATAAATACTTATATGTAGTGTCTACTGATCCGGCATAACATTAAGACCATCTGCCTAATGTTGAGTTGGTCCCCCTCTTCCTGCCAAATCAGCCCTGATCTGTCAAGGTGTGGACTCCACTAGATCCCTGAAGGAGTACTGTAGCAGGGGCAATTCTAGGATCAGAGCTTTGGGGGTGCTTGATCATCCAGAGTGCTAGCCGGCCAGACAAGAAGTTTTAGCTCTGAATATATAAATGTAATTTTTGGGAACAATAATTCCTACATTTCTGAAAGAAAAGCATAACACGTTTTTGGTTGAGGCCAGCAAACTATTTCAATTATAGCTTTGGTTGGTTTATTTACTTGTTTAAACTCGCCTCTCTAATGTAGCTCTGATACACCGCTCTCTGTCTCTCAGTGCAACCTACAGCAGGTCTGCAGGACAATCTGCCATTTTCAGTATTTCTGACTGGCTGAATCGTAATATCACTCTTTTGGTACAAGGATTATAGCACAGAAATATATTTAAGAGAAATATGAAAAATATATTGAATAACACAAGCTCGTCACAAGTTTAAAGAGAAACACTCATGCAAAGTGATTCACGTATAATTTCGTTTTCCCATTTCTCCCATTTCCTCTATGTGACAGGAGTCTGCTTCACATTTTTTAAAAGTCTACCAGTTTATTTGCCTGCAGACTGGTGAGATGAGATCTGATCTAAAGCTCTTACTATAGTCATGTTTGGAGACACATTATAACGCATAGTATGAACACTCTTTGTGAGAGCTGCCTCCTATTAATGCGATTACCCGAGGGGTGTGTTACACATTAGTGATTGTAGAGTGTGTTTTGAGCAGTGGTCAAGCTCACCTGGTCTCCAATGTTCCCTGGTTGTCCCTTTACAGCCACTCTGGCAATGCCAGGCAGATCAATGAGTGTCAGGTCTGGAACATCAGGAGAGGCGATTTCCACACTGATTAGCCCTTCACTGATTCCTACTCCTTTCCCGGCAACTTTGTTTTGAGCTGAAGAAACAGGACAGCATATCTTGTGACTAACAAGTCAGAAAGAAAATGTGATCACTGAGAAGTAAAAGGTTTTGTATGAATGTATGTATGTGTATCTATTGTACCTTCTCTAATCTTTTCCTCCACACTTGTTGGGTCTTCTATCTTTTCCTTGAATTGCTGGTAGCTGATTTCTCCATGCCACTTTTCTCCTTCTTTTTTCTTCCTCATCTTCAGCTCAAGAGGACATCTTGTTACAATGCCTGAATTACCACAAAAGGAAAGAATAAATAAGCTGAAGAAAAATCAAGGTGAAGTGCAGTTACTACAACTAAACAAAGGATAACTTAAATTGAAAAATACTGCTGCACACAAAAATCTGATTTCAGAAATGGCAGAAAGTAAAAAAAAAACTCTCCTGTATGTTTTTTGGGAATTAACCCAGTTAAATTAATGTGTTTTTTTTTTCATTTGACAGGCAAAAGAACATACAATGAGAAATAAGGGTTTTTTCCTCTTTCAAAAACAACAACCACTTCTTCCCTCCCTGTCCTACAAAACTTTTGATACAGAACAGTAATAACACACATCCCCCCTTCTTACTGTAAAAAGACAAGTGAATATAAAACACAGACAATTAGAAGATGATATAAATAAATACATACATAAAAGACAATAAAACAAAACTAAGAGGAAGCATTTTAAATAGATTTAGTTGAGACAAAGAGGAAAAGACATCTAGTCAAGAGTGTATTTAATTTTCTGCATGTCTAAGTAGACTACATGATTTAAAAACCTTTTCTGTGAATTCATGGTCATGAGACTGGAGTGTCTCTGTCTGCAGTCTTAGCTCCACTCCTGGAGGTCTGAGTGTGCCTTGGACACACATGCAGCTGTGCCAACATGAGAACAAACACGGTACAGACCTATTGTTCTTACATGCTGTAAATCATAATGACCTTTGTTCACTTTTCGACTTGTATCAGTTGACTAAGGTGCAGTCCTTGTGAGAACGCATGGTCGTCTGAAGTCTGTAGTATCTCGTCACAGATGTAGAAAGAGTACATGAAAATTGCTGGTAGGATACATTTGAACGACTAAGGCATTTTCGTCAGAAGAGTTGGCAATGAGATAATTACCGCTCCCCCTGGGCAGAGCCACTCCTGATAGCGCCTCCAGCACAGAGCTCTTCCCTGAGCTTTGGTCCCCAATCACGGCGATAGCAGGCAGCGCAAAGTCCCTCTCGACACCCACAGAGCGAAGAGAGTCGACCAGGTCGATGCAGGGACGCACCTTCTCCTCATACTGCTGGTTGAGGGAGTTCATACTTCAGCTTTCTTGTGATCGATTGATTTTTCTGACAGGGAGAATCGTTGTAAAAACTTATCTCCAACGAAACCACTTCAGTCTGTGGCTGCTCTGTGCCAGCAGTGTGAATACACACTTGACATCTGCTACCATAAAAACAAGAAGTTTCGTTTCGCTTTCGTCTTTCTCCTCCCTGTTGGGCTTTTCCAATAGCATGTTCTCGGCTTTCCCGACAAAGCGGAAAAAACAGGGCGGATACACTCGGCAACCAGGATGTTTTTTTTTTTTTTTTTTAGATATATATTAGTGTGTCTGTCATAACTGTGATATTAATAATATAAATTCTTTATTAACTTCTACCTACGCAGTTCTCTTTCTGGTCGACATAACACACTTCATTTCTACAAGTAGTAAAGAAAAGTCCTATTTCATTTTTTGAACAAACTTTTAATTAAACTGCAATGTCAAAAGCTGTAACCTAGAAACAACCAATCATCTTGGTATGCATAACAAAAGAGCTGTAGCTCTCTTAAAGGATTTGCTGCTTTTTCAATCATAATACAGTTGTAACAGTATAAAGTAGCATTGGATTTTAAGTGATGATAATTGAGTCAGTTATTTGGTGAGATTGCCTTTAGCTTTGTTTAAAAGTGTCTTGAAAGTTTTGAAACTTTCAGCAGTACCCCCCTCATTGGTCTGCTGCCTTGATGTATTACTGGCATAACCCTGGGATGAAACTCCAAATGCATCAACATAAAAGACCCTCAAAGATCAATCTGAGAGAAATTTAGATATTGTAAGAGAAATTTTATTGTTAATTGGAAAGTTAGGTTTTCGTGTGTTTCATAGCACAGCTATGCTCATATAAGATCGTATTTGGTGAAGATGTCTGTCCGTACAAAGTAAGTGTTATCAGACCTGACATTTCACCTCCACTTACCCTTCCCTCGAAACATTTCTACAGACCTTTGTACAAGCTATGAGGACATTATTCACAAGAAACAGTTTAAATTACTTGATGTAAATTGGGAAATGACTTGCTACAGAGAGTTTCCATGCTGCAATCACTTGATTGCCTTTTATATTGTGATGCTCTGTTGTTGTGCATAAACAGTTGCCCCCATTTTTGGTTAAGACTCACTTGTTTGTTTCAATTAGACCACCCTTATTTGCTTTTTTTTAAAGTGTATGCTCAATTGGTACTGCCCTCATGAGGAACTGTAACTCAGACTGCGTACACTTTGTATTGCTGTTTCTCCTCTCTTTGCAAAGACTGGGTTTGAATAAATATACACAATGCCGACTGTTTGACTTGAAGTCCTTTATTTATCCTTGAAACAGAAATTTCCCAAACAATATACAATGAGAAAGTCTCTGGTAGGGAACTGAGTGAGCTCAAAGTAGGTGTTTTACTGCTTTAAAGGGTCCCTTGGGGTTAGTAAACTACACATGAACAGATGGCAAAAAATACACTGTTTTGGGACAAGAGTAAGCTACAAATACGCACAAGATTCTCTGGGAACCTAATGGTCTCTTCAGTGTACCTTGGCTCGGTAGCATCTCTGACTGTTTTATGATTACCATGTCAGGAGCTCAAAGATCATAGTTTTGTATTTATTTATTGAGACTATAGAAAAAGTGATCCAAACAGGCAGGCTGGAAACACTGAAGGGCAAATTAGTGCATCTTTATTAGCATGAACAACTTATCATGGATGCCAAACTATTATACATGGATGTTTAATCTGCTTTACACCCATGCAAGCTACATGCTAAGGAGTTTCAGAAACAGGGCTGCGCATGTATTACCAATGTAGATAAACCGCATCTCAGTGTTATCCTTTGGACGTTATACATGAATTGTACATTTTTTGTGTGTAAAATAAACCCCAGATTGTTTTTAAAGATTAAAAAAAGCACTGTATTAGTTATTGCACACAAGTCCACTCTTCACTTTTTTGTATCACTGTGGAGCTGATGTGCTTTTTTGCTGGGCTTAAACAGTATAAATAGAAACTGGACATGCTTCAGAGAGGTAAAGTGTATGTTAACAATTTCCTTGTAATTTATGTACATCTTAGAAAACCGTCACAGTAATTCGCGACAGGAACTGCCACTTGTAAACAACAAGGAGAATAACCTCCCTCCATACATGAGTCAGATAAAATGACAGCAGACACAGAAACATGCTCCAGTGTTTGAATTCTTCCACTATTGAAAGAGAATCTTGCAGTATATGGTTATTGCTTTATATTTCTAGAATTCTGGCACAAAAAAGTCTGAAAACGGGTGAAGTGTGTGCTCTGACAGATGTGATTCAACATGTTTCCCCTAGTAATTTTCTGGTGCAACTTCTGGATGAGAAATTACCAATCATCAAATTATAGTTCTTAATAGGTTAAAAAAAAAATCACAACACTTAACAACACTAATACCAAGAATCTTTCAATGATGAGTAAGGGCAGTGAAAGTTTTGTAAACTTTGAGAGATAAAATGCATTTGTTGAACAAGTTTCACAGAGAAAACACATTCACAACATCATGCACGTAGCCATCACCATTTTAGAAACTTGAGATTTATACAAACTTAAGCACTTTTTCCTTTCACAACAGTGTAAACCATTTAAAAAAGATACTCTGTGGTAACAGTGACTGTCTATTACTAAGAGAAAAAAAGAGAGAGCTTTGATTTTGTAAATAAGAGGAAGTACGACGTTTAGCAACCAACACTGAAGACAGAGGAGGAGTTATGGACTATATTTAATTTTGTACAATACCAAACAGATAACCTGTATTCACCACACCTGTATCTACAGTGGGTGTCCTCTGACACCTCTATTTTCCTTTTTTTTTTTTTTTTTTGCACAGACAAGTTGAAGACAAACTGAACGGTTCAAAATCTTTCATCCCCCTTACACCCCCTGATTGCCTTGGTTTAACGTGCAGGGGTGCCACCACTGAAACAGAAAGGCACAGCTACATTTGATTGGAGTAGGAGGTGGGCTCTCCCACCTGGCTGTAATCAGACACCTGGCCTAAGTTGCCTTGGGAGTTGTAGCTTCCTGACTGGTCAAAGCTCCCCTGGTTGTACGGTTGCTGGTTAAATGTGCCCGTCTGTTTCTCAGCCGACCCACTGGCAAATTTTGAACCTCCCTTGTGCCAGACAGTCTCTTTGAAGACAAACCAGATATTCCCAGCCCAAAGGACAAAGTTGAGAAACCCAAAAGCCTGGAGAGAAAGAGAATGAGACAAAGTGATTCTAGTCAGTGATAAACACTCATAACATCACCTTTTTACTCTGATTTTCTTTTAATTTATATGGGTGCTTTTGACATTTTCAACTACGTAAGCAGATTTCCCTTGCAAACATTTACTGGGATGAATTAAGTCCTTATTTAGAACATGTTCAAAGAAACAAACAGTGGTCATACAACTGCTGACGGACATCAAACTTAATGAAAAGCTGAAAACTGGAACACAATTTATTGACTCCTACCCCTCCTCCATAAATAAGTAATAGTAAGTAAGAAATACTTAAAAATGAACCAGCTTTGTATTTGAATATTTTGTATACATCACATCAGATACAAAAAAAAACAATTGTGGACTCAACACTGACCCCTGAGGGATACCAACAGACATATCTAAACACGCTGAAGAATAATCTCTTAATTTCACAAGCTGCTTCCTGGTACTAAACTAAGTCCTTACCTGGATATATGCTCTATCTCACTTTACCACTGAAGCCATAAAACACATGAATATTTATTTCTGTTAGCTTGACGATTATTCATTACACGCTACTTCAAGACACCTTACTTTACCCAGTTAAAATACATATTTTAAAGCTGCTGTGTATGCATGTTCTTAGTGTTTGGGGTCCCACATCCTGTAAACCTACCACTGAGGTGTTGAGTCCAGACCAGCGTGGCCCATGCACAGAGCCACATTTGTTTGTCTGGAGCTTGCAGGCAGAGATGAGGAGCTGCACCTCATCAGGGTCAGTTGCCAACTTCACCTCAGACAGAGCCTTGGCCCAAGCAGAGGAACCAACCAGCCACATGAAGGAGAACACCACTGTCACCACAAAGTCCTTAAAGCATGAATAAAGAGACAAGGGTTTTAAGAGTAAGATGAATGATATGGCTTGCTTTGTTCATCATTGTTTTGTATGACTGTCTTCAGGTAGAGGGTATACAGGAAGTTTTAAAGGTAGGATCATTAAATGTGATATTGACAAAAAAGCCATCTGTACTCACAATAAGGGGCCCCCTGTTGTTTTCATGGTATTTGTTCCGAAAGAAGATGTACACAACGGTGGCCATGAGGGAATACAGGAAGGCAAAGACTGCAATGGTGACAAAGAACTCTGCAGAAGACGAATAGTCGCCGGTGAGGAACACACGATCCCTCCTCATGGCCTCACATGCCGGAGCCTCAAATGACACCTGATACAACCTGATACACATAGAGGGAGGTAGAGGGTTCAAATTCCACTTAATACAAGAAATGCACTTTTTTACTGGTGTTTGCTTAACCCAACATCATTAGTCTTTGCTGTAATTTTTCAGTATTATATGGCAAAACGCTGAATAAATCCACCATTAGTTACTGTACTTTGTGAAGCATAATGGGTACAATTATGAAGCAATGTGTAATTTACAGTAAAAGGCCATCATTTTTGAAATAGCAGTAATATACTATATACACTTTGCTGTACTTTGGCACAGCTGGGTTACTCATCAAATTTTACCTGACTTTAACTCTGAACTTAGATGTCTTCCCTCTAATGCTTGCTGGTATAATCCTTTCGGCACTCTTGTCTCCTACATCAAATCATACTTGAAATCAAACAAGATTGATTTCATCCTCTTGAAGTGTTATTCTGGAAGATGATATTAGTATTATTATCATTTTTTAAGAGCATGCTGATGGATGGATCCGTTGTAATTCAGTCAAGTCACACTTGAACATTTAAATTTATTTGTTATACAGTTGAGGAAATTTGAAGACAGATTTGAAAGTATTAATGTCAAAATGAAACATTTTTGCTACCCTTTATACATGGTCTAAACTGTATTATTATAATGTGTTCCAAGGCTTTGATAACATTTTCTGTTCAGTATGATTTTCAAATGCAGGAACCCTACTGGTTGCAGTGAACGTTTGTACTCCTTTGAAGAACTAAGTTGTACTATACTGCTGTATTTGTCCTTCAAAGAAAAACAGCATACTCCTCATGTGCAAAGTTTGAAAACATATTTCTATAATATTGAACACTGACAGAGGACTTGAGAGCATGCATTCCCACAAGTGTGGCTATCATCATAATGCACATTTATATAAACAAAGGTTCATGTCCCCTGTGGTCAAACTAAGGCTAAAATAAGTTCACCCACCTGAAGGGATAAGAAAAGTCAATGGCAATGCTGAGGTTGCTGCTGGCCTTCTCCATGCAGTCTACACTGACACGTAGCTGTCCAGAATAGCCCCCACAAGTTGCAAATGCAAAAATGGCAAAAAGCTGCATAGAGAAAGAAAAAAAAAATTTTGGCAATAAATTTGACCCATTTCTAACATAATCACTGACATCTGTTGGTGACTGCTTGGTGAGACAACAGCAAGAAAATTAGTCAGTAAGTAAAGTAGTAGTCAGATGAAATGATAAAATGCAGAAAATGAAACATGACAAACAGACAAACAGAAAGACACACACACACACACACACACACACACACACACACACACACACACACACACACACACACACACACACACACACACACACACACACACACACACACACTATCTTTAATATGCTCCCTGTCTTTTAGCCTACTTTTTCCATATAAAGCTTGTATTGCCTTGAGAGTTCTCATGAGCATGATCACCATAATCTGAGCTGACGCCTCGTTAGCATGAGCACCCCCCCCACACACACACACACAAACAAACACACACAGCACAAGCATCTAAATGTGCAGCTTGCCAGCAGATTTTGCTTAAATGCCTTTCAGCCTCAGGAGGGCGCTATTTACCATGTATATCTGGATATTCAGCTGAGCTAAATGTCATGCTCACGGAGATGCTCATCACATCCCTTGGTGACACCCCCTGCAGAAAATACAAACTATGAATCATAGTGAGGTGCAAACAAGCCAAATGTAGAACAAAGAGTGTGTGTTTGTGGATTTGACTGGTATCATCTTTCTGCAGTTTCTAGAAGAAAAAGATAACATTACAGGATAGTCAGATAGATAATTTGCTGTAACTACAGCAATGACAAGGAAAGCTGTCCTAACTTACAAAGCACAATGGTTTTTTATACTGTGCTAAATAAAGTTTCTAACAGCTGTGACATGCCCACTATGACATGCTCACTTTTTCTGGCCTCAGGGTAAGTGAAGACACGGAGAAAATGGATTATCTATTTCTGGTCACAGGAATTTATGGAGAGAAACCAAGGCTTCATCAAGTTGTCCTCTGTTGCATTTGACAGTGGCCAAAAATATCAGATGTAGTTAGAGTCTCTTGGTCCATTTATGGTGAATAAGCAGACAGCTCTGACATCCACCTGTTTCTTTAATCCTGCTTTTGACAAATCAACAGGACAGGCTGTGGCATACACTTTGTGGAGTTTACACTGACTCACTGTCCATTTTCAAATCCCGTCTGAAGACATATTATTTTAGACAGGCCTACTTCTTCTTCTTCTTCTTCTTCTTCTTCTTCTTATTATTATTATTATTATTATCATTATTATATTTTATATTGTTGTTGTTGTTGTTATTATTATTATTATCATTATTATTGTTGTTGTTGTTGTTGTTGTTATTTAATGAGTGTGATAGCCACAGCAACAGAGGAGTAACAAACCTCATCTTCATCATACCTAATTAGCTTCCAAAGGAATCCTGTTCATTTTTATTGGCAGTCAACCCAAACAGCAACATCATGTTAAAATATGACACAAATGCAGAATACAAAAAGCTGTAGCTGTTCAAAAGCTGAGGGGTTTCCATGAACACCTGTGTTAAGATATCAACTTTTACAACAGATAAACAATAATCAGTTTTGTTCTGTCAGGTTTCTCGTCCGTTATCATGGTGACTAAGGGCTCTGCATATGTAGCAGGGTAAGCCAGGGTCAGCCCACCTTAGGTCAGCCTGAGCATGTGTGAAGTGTACCTGGTGGAGCTCTTTCACCCACCTTCTTTAAAGATCAGCTGAACTCTCAGTCTGTAAAGAGGCTTTCCTCTGTGTCCTGTGTGATGAGTGACTGCTGGTATTAACTTCGATGGCTTGTTATGCTTTATCCTCACGTGTTTGACTTTTGTGGTTTGTTTAATGGATTTGTATGAACTGTTTTTTTGCAAGTTTTGACCCCGATTGCCAATGGCACTCCCTAAAGGATTTTTGTTGCCTTTAAAAACAAGGTGAATATCTGTATCTGCTGCAAGTAAAGACTGATATAAGTCCTCTGTGACTGTCCAGGCTGATGTATATTAAACCCCCCATTTGATACCTGAACAGTATTGATTCTCTTGTTCCTGAGCAGTGCTAGCTTTTGGTTTTCCTTGTTTTTGTTCAGCTTTTTTTCTCAATTATTAAGACTAAGGGTGAGATAAATGTAAAACAAGGTTTATGCCTTATTTTTAAAGCCTGACCTTACTGTTGTTGCTTCTTTGAGCCTGGAGCTTAGTCCAAACCCATCTAAGCCAGCTTTATTTTGAAAAGTATTTATTAGCGATCGTATGTACCATGCTGTATTAGTACTATGGAGTTAATTTTTTGGTTGTTTTTGAGTATTTGTGTGAGAATGCTCTGCCCCCTCAGTTATTTTTATATAAGCAAGAGAGGATCACACAAGGCCTCTCCCAGCTTGGTGAGTTGCTGTGCAGTACCAATGACACACGGATGTGGTTCACTGCAGACTTTGGCACATCAGCTTGTCTTAGAAACGGCCTGCTGTGGTTGTCTCTGCTGCTCTTTGGACTGACTTATCCCCTCGGCATCTACATTAACCCCACCTTTCACTGGTGTACTGCCCCTTGTCTCTGCGTCATGTTAATGTTTTGAGGACTTGCACAGCCTACGCACTAAACAAATGCTGGGGGTGTGAGGCGGCCATCAAGAAGTTGCATATTTGTAGCTTTGATTGATTGATTGAAGTTTATTTTGAACATATAAAAAAGAAATAACAATAAAAAAGTAAAGAATACAACAACAAATGACAAAAAGTTGTTCGAGTTCAAAAAGGAGTGGGAAGAAGTCGAGACTTATCTAGTCCCACCCATTATCTACACTAATGGTTTAAATATATATCATTTATATCATTATATAATAATATTAATCATCATAGTAATAATAGCAATAAAAAATAAAAAATCACCACAGTAAAAATAACAAACAACAACAACAAAACAATGATGATAATGTTTACTATGAATGTACATTCCTGTATCCTGTAAAAACATATTCTTTATATTTTGTTCTAACCTGTTTTATGTTTGGACATTGTTTTAACTCCTCACCCATACCATTCCAAAGTCTAACCCCACAGAATGAAACGCAAAATTGTTTTCTGTTCGTACGGATTTTATTAATTTTGAAGTTAACAGTCAAGGATATCTCTGGCTTTACATAATTAACCCTGCAGCAGCATGACAGTGTTTAAATATAGCACTAAAAAAGGTATGGATGAAAAACACAGCATCCAACTGTGGAAAATATCAGTCAGAGAAGATAACTAATCGTCAGCCACTCTGTCATTTGATATTGCTATACAGGTATTTTATGGGCAACAGTTTTGTATCTCTATCCAGTATCCCAAGATCAAATTTTAAATGTTGAACATGCGAGTTGTTATTTTTTTGTCTTGTTTTTTTTATTTTTATATATTTTTACTCACTTTTTAAGATATACAGTCCCTGATTTATCTTGTGTAAAAGCTGGTAAGGGTCATACATTGGTCTGCCATAAAACACAAGGAAGAAAAAGATTGTACTGAGATCTGTTCGACAAGCCAGATGTTGTCACCATATTCTGAGTGAAATTTAGTTTAGCCTTATCGCAAATCTTATTTTGCAAAGTTTCCTTGAAACTCAGTGGAGAGATCTTGTTTTCTCTCACCTCACTGTTTGGGTCTTCACAGTGGGCAAGAAGAAAAGGAGAACAAATTAAGAAGTCAAGAAAATCCAAGAGCTATTGACTTACAGTCAAAGTTTTATATATGTATTGAATAGATCTACGACACCTTTCAGGAGCTAGAAACAAAGCAGACAGACAGCTCTTCCAATAAGAGCTGAGTAAGCACACATTATCAGTTGATCTATGTCACCTTGTTGCAGAGCCTGCAGAAAGTACCAATCTAGCTATCTCAACTCTTTAAGCTCACAGTAAGAAGCAAGACGTCCTTCAATCAAAACTTTATTTCCTTAAATGGGTAAATGAATCTCTATGTTGTTACACTAAAGCACTACAGCACGAGTCCAACCCTAACGAACACAACTAAAAAAATCTTCACAAGTAAAAAGTCTGGTACTCTTACTGATTGTCTTTGTAAATGCTTATTGTTGAACTGCAAACGTGCGTAACCACACCATGCCAGGTGATGCTTTGCAAGGCTAATCTGGGTCACTAAGGGTTCAGCTAAAGCTGCGTAATGTCAGCCCAGATCAAAGCCAAACTAGAACTCATATTTCCAGTGGCTTTCTGCAGCTTTGGGCCTCAGGTGAAGGCTGAATGCTGCCTGCCTGGCTATTGTGGTGCACAGATGGCACCTCTGCAGGGATCAAGGGCTTTCACTGCAGTTAATTTTGTTTCATTTTGGTTGGTTTTGTTACAGGAAAGCGTGCAAACAAACAGAAGAAAATGTGCTCAAACATCTGCAAACACAGTAAACATATGCAGCTCAATCATGTGTAGGCAAAAGCATCGATAAAAACTGGGCATGTAGACTGTGGCATGTGCTTATCTGAAAAAAAAAACAAATGGCAGAAGTGACCAGAAGAGGGAGAGAGAGGAAATACTCCCTCCTAATTATCACAAACACCAGCAGATAAACATCTCCCCCTCGCTCTCTCTCACTCTCTGTGTGTCTGTATACTCGCTCTCCCCCTCTTCCGCAGCTGCCTCCTCTCCCTGTGATTTTCGGCTCGGGTTTAGCCCCTCTCATTTCTGGCAGGGGCCTTTGAACAGGAGAGCGTGGCATTGTGGAAGGAGGGTGGGTGCTTAAGCCCCGCGCCCCCGTGTGTTTATCTGCCTCTCCCAGCTGGGCTCCTCAGGGAACAAGAGATAGAGAGGGACAGACAGAAAAAAAGGGAGAGAGAAAGCAACGGAGAGAGAGGAAGAAAGAGAAGCCAGGGTAGAGGAACGAAATCCATCTGCAGTGCAAACAAAGCTCTGAAACATTTCCGTTTGCCCTCATCTCCCCTGACCCACATGGCTTTGGGAAGACCACTTTTCCAAATCAATGTTAGGTGTATTTGAACTTTAGTTTAGGACTTCTGTTAACAGCACCTAGTATTATCTCTCGACCTTAAAGAGTAGGTAGCAGGGTTTCAGGAGACTTAAATGTACCTAAAGCAAGTCTAGAAGACCTAAATGAAGACATGAATGAACACAGTGAAAAAGCGGAGGCTGGTTGGGGATTATGAGACTGAGCCAAAGGCTTCAGGCTTAACCACCAGCAATCAAACCTACCATCAAATACATACAGCCTCCACAGCGAAAACTGAAAAAAAAATAAACAAGAAAGAGAGAAATAAAACCAGACAGAGGCACTAAAAGTAACAGAGAATACTTCAAGATGGCTAGCTTGCTAAATAAGTCAAATAAGAGGCATTTCAAAGGCAGCAGGAGGAGTGCTCAAACAAGAGAACGTGATAAGAGCGGCAAAGGAAGAAACAATGCCAGCGCAGAGTGGGGAGGTAAGGATCACATTTAGAGGCTGACAGGCTGAAAGGTGCATCCACTTGTGGGCTGCACTAGTCATTTTTCAACCCCCTCACAGACGCCACACGCATGCACCAACACCGTAGACCACCTGCTCCATTCAAGTCGATAGGCATCGTTGTGTCAAGTGGCTGCCTCGGGAGAAGAAAAACGCCTCAAATGTTCAGCCTTTTTCTCTGCCTGACTAGTAGGAAAAAAAAAACTAGGACACTCTTTATGAAGACAGAGAAAAGAGAGAGATGAAACTGAGTGAAAGAGAGACTGAGACAGAGATGGGGGAGGCTGTCGCTTACCAATTGTTTCTTGCTACTATCATTTAAACCGAACCAATCTAAGGAGTACACAAAACTGTGGTTGAGTGTATTTTAAGAAGAGAGCGAAGCAACCCTTAAAAAGTTGATGACCCTTTTCAGTTGGTGCTTTCTATTAAGATTAGACCTTTTTACAAATAATGAAAAAACAGCACATTTGTGCAGCTGAAACATATTCAGAAATGCAGATTTTGTTGCTTGGAGTTACCTTGAAGCACCTCAAAGTTTTTTTGTCAACCATGATTGACAGTTCTGTTGACAAATGTGACTCCTGGGACATTGGGTGCACTTGAATTACAGAAACGAGGGGAAATGACAAAAGAATGATCAACACAAGCAAAAATAAATAAATAAATCAACCTGCCATGCTCTGAGTCACTTAAAGGGATATTCCAGCATAAAATTAATTTAGGGACAAACACACCATAACACCGAGTTAGACACCCTGTCGAGAGATGAATATTGCAGACTGCTTGCTTCTCTAGTTAAACCAACTTTAGTAACGACCGCAGGATAGCAATACACAGCAGTCCGAGGAGCCATAAACAAAGCTCAACCACAAATAATGCTCAGAACAGCACTTAACTTCATCAACAGTACATATAGGGTCCCAGCCATAGCACTAGCCACCAAATATCTTTTTAGCTTTGCCTAATTTCTTTAACAAAGAGACTAAACACAACACAAATGTTCTTCCTTGAGCTGCATCACCCTGCAGCAGTCCGGAATGGACTGGCCCAAGGTCTCACTACAAACAAGCGGCTGCTGGAGGAGAGTGGGTGAGTTGTGTTTGGTCTGTTTGTTAAAGAAATTAGGCAAAGTTAAAAAGATATTTGGTGGCTAGTGCTATGGCTGGGACCCTATATGTACCGTTGATGAAGTTAGGTGCTGTTCTGAGCATTATTTTTGGCTATAGAATGGCGTTGTGGTTGAGCTTTGTTTATGGCTCCTCAGACCGCTGTGTATTGCTATCCTGTGGTCGTTACTAAAGTTGGTATAACTAGAGAAGCAAGCGGTCTGCAATATTCATCTCTCAACAGGGTGTCTAACTCGGTGTTATGGTGTGATTGTCCCTAAATTATTTTATGCTGGAATATCCCTTTAAGTGGGTCTCATGGCTGGGGGAGTAGCTAATTCCTAATTCAAAGTTATCACCAGTGTAAGATGTAAGCATCAGTCAGACAGTGATTGTTGGCTTCACTTTTGAAAAGGTAGAGATGTCTTGTCCATTTTTGGACTGTCATGCAGAGATGTGTCAGCAAGAAAAACACATGGACCTAATTTTTTCAAAGTCAATAATATACTTGATAAAAACCTCAGCTGTTAACTCGGATTTATTGCTCTGCAGAACTTTGCTATTTTCAAAATCACAGTTATCATTATTCCTTTGGGGATCTTAACTGGCCTAATGCATAGTTCATGTAATATACAATTAGCCTGTGTAATTCTAATCTTGTGTCTCTTGCCCTCTTATCTGCCCAGGCACTGACCCTTAGTGTATATCTACATATGTGCATTTGCCATGTGCATTCAGGCCTGTGCATTCATACAGCATTTCTCTTCATTCATATGCTCCTGTTTGTATGTGCATGGCTGCATGCGTGCCTCAGAGCATGTAACTTCCGTGTGTGTGTGTGTGTTTGTGTGTGTGTGTTTATCAGAGTGTTTAAGGACTTTGATGTGAGAATGTAATGTGTATGTATGTGAGCACAGAGTAAAAATATCTCACCCGCTTCACTCAGGCAGAAGCATTAGCCACAGTGTGCACACACAGAGAGAGACAAACACATAGTCTTCTTTGCTTTCACTGCTGAGGTCTATAACTGAGCAAATTTGAGCAGAATTTCACCACAGAGAAAACATCAGGTGAAATCAGAAAAGAGAGCAGAGTGGGGTGGCAGACAGGTGAACTTTTAAGACTTATGTCAGACAAAAGATTGATCAGACTGAGGGTTTTTTTTTTTGTAACTTCATGGTGTTCCTCTTTCTCTTTTTTTCTGTACTTACTACAAATATCATATTTATATGTCATGTGATTGTCAATTGTGCTCGGGTTGTTTCTTATACACGTTCTCTATGGAAGCAGGTAAATGCGTTTTCATGTGGTATGGTATCATATTGTATTGTATTCCATTTTATCTTAATGTATTCTATCAAATCTTCAGATTGTAATTCACTGTGTCATAGCCTAACATAACACATTGTATCTGTACATCACATGTACTGTATCTCTGCAGTTTTACTCATAACTAGCAGTTTGTTAAAGCTAAAATAAGGAGTTTACTTGATCACAAAACCAACTGAGTGATTTAATTTAATATTTTTGCAGAAAACACTCATTTAAAAGGCAAAAGAAAGCTGGTTTGTGGAATGATTTCTGACTTTACACATTGTCTTCAGGTAGTGCATCAATAAAAAGTTTCACTTATCAAACTCGAAGGCCGTGATCAAACTGAACTTGTCTGGCTGCTAAATACACGTCTTCATCCGCTGCATAGGTTACACAAACACGTGATAACAGTGCCATGTCTCGTGAATGCTGTCTGATCTTTGCTTCAGCAGCGACACCACAGAACAAAATCAGCTCATTTAGTGGTGGCTAATCCCTTCCTGCGCAGGGAGCTCGTTGTGCCCTGCATACACATGATTCTTCTCTCCCACTATCTTCCAGCTTTCTCTCTCTGTCTCTCTGTAAGCTTCAACAAACACAAGCAGGCAGAGAAACTCCATTTATTTTTAAACCACTGTCCTTTCTTTGTGCCCTCCTTCTTCCAAAGGGTTCTTGGGGCCACTGTGTTATGTGACTCAGCTGGAACCAGGTCCCTGCACCCCGTGGTTAAAATGATCTGCACTTTTTGAGATGGGAGCATCCGATTTAAATGTCATATGATCCTCTAGTATAATCTGCTCGGGACTTAAAGACCCACTCTGATGAAAATCATGTTTGTCTTGTTGTCTACATGTTCATTGTGTATGCCATTTTTCTGATGTTACAGGACACATCACGAGAAAAGTAAGTGCGGAACTGCATTTCTGAGTATTTCTGCATTCAAATCGCTGTGAATCTCTAGCAGACCCAAACGGCAAACTCAGACAGAGTGAGATTTCCTATGTCACAACTGCAAGCTCCGCCCCCGGAGCACCACTATGCAGGCCAGATTCTGAGAAGTAGAGAGGACAACCGCGCAACAAGTGTGTGCATTAGTGAATTGCAATGCTCTGAAGGAAGCTAATTATGATATTAACTTTCATCATGCCCCCAACGACATTAGTGTCTCAGAGATAAATAGCTCCTACGTTACCTGCTACTTCTACTACACTGGCAATGTTGGGCTGCAATGTAGCGTGAAGAGGGTTGTGCAGAGCAGTGCTGCCCCCCCCCCCATTGCGAATGAGCTACAGGAGCTCTGCAGAAGAAAAGCCCTTGAAAATGACACAGGTTATGTGATTTTAGCTAAAAACGTCATAATCATAATTTAAAAACCACTGAGAACAATTTAGGTAGTAAGAAAATGACCTGAGTGGGACTTTAAATGACCAGTGAAAGCATGCAATCCAACACAAAAACCATGACACAGAAAGAGGTCCTCAGTCAGGTGACAGGCAAAGGAAGGACAGCAATCACAACCTTGCTGGGATAATACAACACTTTCACTTTATCAAAACTATTTGTTCTCACTTTTTCTCAATTACATGAAAAAAAGAGCTTAATTGGAGCTGTCAACATTTAAATTTTTCAATCATGTTTAATCACAAAAAGGTTAATTGCAATCAATTGCATTTCTGTATGCATGTTTAAAATTCAAGTTTCAAAACAAAGTCCATATTGAGTCCTTGTTAGAATATAAAGCAGTTTTTATCAGTGCCATGATTTAGAAATCACATCAATGCAGTGAAATGTACTCTATGAATTAGACTTTTATATTTAGTATACAAATAAATGCTGCACTACTTCACGAGTATGGTCTGAAACCTTTAGTCAAAAGGTGAAAAGATAACATTATCACTGACGTTATAACATTATCACTGATATGATTTTTGCACTCCAAAGTACTTCTCTTCTGGTCTTCTGGTGAAGTGGTTGCCCACTGACATCAGTTTGATTTGCTGTGCCTGTATGCTTGGCTCAGCCATGGTAGCTCAAACTATATTGATCTGGTTTGGCACACTTGTGTGTATCACCTTTGACTGGTTAACTGAGCCATCTGGGAGATCTTGGTTAGTAAAATTCACTATTCGAAAGCACAGAGGAACCCACATGTTTTACAGCAATAGCAGGAGAATTCAGCTGTGGCTTAACTACAGTGTGCCAAAATGTTAATAAATCCACACACATGAATTTCAGACCTTGAACATATCCTGATCAACATGTTAATGCTGAAAGCCCTAATTTAGTCCAACAATTTGACCAGGCATGGCATTTAAGTTTCTTTTTTTCCTTCTAGCTTCCCTTCTTGGTGTATAGTTATATAAGTAGTCTGAAAGTGTTTTCATGACATTTCCATTTCTTTATGCTCTTTTCTTTGTGCATACTGTCTCCACTCTGGTGCTCTTTAGTGCACTATGTTTATGTCTTCTTAAGGTCGACATGTTCACCTACAGGAGACGACAGGCTAACCTTTCCCTTCCTGAGTCACAGATGGCAGACCATCGTCACTTGGTTCAGAGGGAGACAGAGGTTCAGCTCTGACCTGACGGGCCAGCTGCCACCTTGTCTTAAAATCATCTCACCTCATTCAGACCTGGCTCAGTTATAGACGACTCTCTTGGTCACACACAAGAAGCAGTAAAACCAACGCTAAGCCATTAACGTTGGTTGACGGTAAAGCAAAAATATGCTGATGTACAAACAGCTGATAAATTCTGCAAAAGCAGTTTTTAGAAATGGCTGTGGGCAACAAGAAATTGTTTTTTTTTAGATTAAAACTTTGACTTATTGTATTTTATGTTGTAAAATTCCTGAAAATATACCCAATCCTGTTTATCTCTGTTCACTCCACTGTTTTGCTTGTGTGTGTGTGTGTGTATGCGTGTCCATGTATGTGTGTGCTTGAGCTCATGAACAAATGTGTATCTTGAACATCATGCAGCACTTTGTTAATACCTGCATATCACAACAACATTTGATGTAATGGTGACAGGTCAATGAAGATATGATACTAACACTACCTTCGATAATTGTTGAATATATTTTTGCCTCCTATAAACTCACTGAGCTGAAATTTATCATTTTTTTAACAAATATTTTTGTTAAAGCTTGAAAACCAAAATTTACTCTGATGCTCTTATATGACCCCCACAAACCAGAGTCCAGCAGTGAAAAGACAGAATAACCTCTTTACTTGAACATTAATAGCCATGTGGTAGGTGTTCAATCAGCGATACATGGCCACCCAGTTAAGGCTCACTTGGATCATACCAAAGAAATGATTTTTTAAAAGACGTGAGTAACAGCAGAATTGATACAATGCATGTTACATTAGTCTATTACACAACCGACCTTCAGTATCTGTTTTTCTGATTCACATGCAGAAATTGGGCTGCTCTTCGTCTCAGTCATAATATGTGAAGTGTTCACTGAGCTCAATCAAAACAACAAGATTCTGTGACATCAGCCACATTTTTCTAACTCAGCTACACACATTTATGATTGATGTCATTGAAATTAAATAAGTGACTGTTGTGCAGCTGGAGTCCTCGAGTTAAATGGCTTGGATAAATTTCAGTGTGAGTTCTGGCTTCAAGATGTTACAGATATTTTTGACACTGATGGAACCAAAATTGTCTCTGGAACAGAGATTTTCAAAAGGCATCATCTTGGTGTTTCCATCAACATACCATCACTGCTGAAGGTACCTTCATGAGCAGCTGTGTAACGTCTTTAGTTCAGCTGTCCTAACTGCTGCCACAGTCTGCAAACAGTAGCAGATGCTAAATTGCCACACACAAATGTTCACCAGATTCGCTTTTGTGGTGGGTGACTTTCAAAGTGTAATTAGTAAATCTGCCTCAGTCTCTCAAAATAACATGTAAATCTGTAGCCATCATTTGCACATGTAAAAGCCTTTTATGGGCTTATTAAATCAAAACAAACAAACAAACAGAAAACACCCAAAAATTGAAAACCACAGACTGTAGAAAATGAGCATGGCCCTTGCAACATGACCGATCAGGTACTCAACTGCAAATGAGGTCTCATGTTTGGCTTGTGGTAGTCTAGGGCAAGAAGATTGCACAGCTTATATGGTTGAGGGGGTGGTAGGGTTAAGTGACAACTAATAGTTAATTTATTGAGGTTATTCACCCATGTATTCCTCACACAGTGAGATTCTACATGTGATGTCTGGAGAAACAAACAATTCAACTCTAAGCTAAATTAGCTCTTAAATTCTTAGTAACTATTAAGGAAATGTTGATATGCCTCATGAATAGAGAGGTATTAAGACCAAAAGCATTTCACCATCATTTTGTAAACATGCTAAATTCTGCTGTTAGCTCTGGCATTTTAATATGAGGGAGGTCAACAGAGGTCGTCTCTCTTTTTGGATCTGGCCCAAAACAATCATGTATGTTACCTCGGTCAAAACTAACACGCCAGAAAAGTATGGCCTAATAGTGCCTGCTTAGCAGGGTAAATTTTGCATAGTTTTCACGCTAACAAGTGTTGTTGTTTTCTTGATGCTATAGCTGTTAAATAAGCAGAATTGCAGCGTCTTTTACAACAACTCCAAATGCAGCTCATTTCTTGCCTCTCCATGAAAACCCCCAGCTGTCCTGTCCTGTAACTTGAAAAAGTAACTTTTTAATCAATACTTAAATTAGATCCATGGAATTACTAAAGTCGCTATGTTAAAACATGTCTTTTGTGGCACTTGTTTATCTTACAAACAAACAAACCATCAAGTATACACAGAACTCTGCAAACCAGACTGGCATACAGTGAATCACTTAAGATGACATCATATCAAAGAGGGTTTGCCCTGGCTTTGGACCAGAGGAGCACCACTACTTTAAGATACACTAATGATGGACTCATCCTTTGTGACTCACCAGCTTGAGTTTGGCTTGGGTACAGAAAGCTGTGGAGTTGATACAGTACTAGAAAAACTGCCCCGTGCCTGTAGAAACCACCGCAGTGTCGGTGCACCAGCGCATAGAAAAATACATCATGTATATCATTTGCATCATGTGCTCAATCAACTGTACAATTTTGATTCTCTCTCTCTCTCTCTCTCTCTCTCTCTCTCACACACACACACACACACGGAGTGAAGACTTTGGGCATATCTCAAAGGACAGCTTCTGCATGAATTGGTCCATGGTGGAGAGGAGGGGACCTTACAGCTGTTTGGAGCGGAATATGCCAGCCCCTGACAGTGTGCCAAACGGACCAAGAGCACACACACACACACACACACACACACACACACACACACACACACACACACACACACACACACACACACACACACACACACACACACACACACACACAGAGAGAGCTGTAAAACCATCGTCCTGAATCTCCTGCAGACATTGCTGATTATCAAAATGCTATTTTCTTTGTGCAGAGCCAGTACTGAGTGAAGATTCAGGAAACCAACCAGTCTGTGGCAGCCATCTTCACCAAAGTTATCACATCCTTTAAACTACCTTCTCTTTGTCCATGACCACTCAGCCACACAGTCAAGAGTTCATTATGATGAGCTCTGCAAATGCCAACTACTTCCTTCTCTACAACCTTAAAGGACTAAGGGGATGTACAGGTCATTCCCAAGTCAGGCTAACTCATTCCTGGATGTATTTCATATTGATTTTCTTGGTTGATAGTGGAATCAAATACCAGTGTTTGGAACAATGCATGATGGTCATTATCAAAAAATGTGTTTGATATTGTTCAACACAGTTAAAGATATTAGTCTATTTCTAAGACCTAAAATCAAAGATGAAAGTAGTAATAAACTCTTCATCCTTTTGGTGTTAAGTTGACTAATTCTCACAGAATCATCATACATTTCTTTGATGCCACTGGAATCTGTTCCTCAACTCTAACAAAACTGGCTGTCCTGTGCAGATTTTGTGTTTTGTTATATGGGGTTAGCATCTCCCATTCAACAATCACCTTTATGGTTGATTGCAATTTACACTCCCACATCGTTAGTGATTACATTAATGTTTGCCCTCAAAACTCATGCACCACTACAGGTTGGTTTGCATATTTACCCAACACTCATAACAGTAACTTCTCCGAGCAGGCTCATCTCCTGTCCTGACTGCCATTAATAAGTGTGCTAAGGCAGCTGCAGGATCAAACCATTTCATGCAGATACAAGGGGGTGGTCGGTCAATATGGATGTTTACTTTGTGGTCAATTGGGATTTTTAACAAGTAAAAACAAAGAAATCAATAATTGTATCATTATATTTGAAATAAATATATTTACTCGATAATGGTTTAATAATGTTAGTTTTTACCTAATTTTGGGGGCCCCTATCAGTCAAGGGCCCTTGGAATTGTCCTAACTTTTCTCCCCTATATGGCGCCCCTGTCCAAAGGGATCTACAGATTACCTCAAGTCTACTTGCGCTCAAGCTTGTGATCTATCTTACAATGTCAGAGCAGGGTCTGAATCCCTTTCCATTTTCGGGTAATTAAGCTCAGCATAAATACTATCAGCGATAGGAATTAATGATTTTTTATTTATCCAGATCATTTAGCTCTGCACAGCAAGAGCCTGTTTCTTTCTTGTAGCTACCAAACAGCTCTTCATAGTACCAGAAGAGCCACACAAGAGCCAGCTATGAGAGCAAGTAAGGTAATAGTGCCACACAAGCGTGTGGATCAGTCTCTTGCATTTAGAGTAGGGCTTGTTTGATATCAAGCTTTTACTTGAGCAGCAAAATAACATCAACTACTTCACAAATTAGAAGGTAGATTTCTGTGTTTTGGAACAGGGAGCAGATTAAATGAAAAAGTCGATATGACCATAAGAAGAGAGGAGAACAAGGTGGAAAAACATCTGTTTCACACATGTCACACAGATGTTCTGCTTCATTTTACCAGGCCCAATGAAGTCACATTCCATGTTGCTATCTTCAATCAGAAAAACTTGAGCTGGATGAGGAAATATTGTGTTGTGTAAATCTGTCCACTGGTTGCATCTGGATCAACTCACTTTTTTTTAATTATCAAAACTCTTCTCAATATACAAACATGGGGCAAGAAGGCTGTTTGCTGTGAAGTTTGGGTCCACTTGTCGAGTGATAAAACGCCCAGGTCTAGTGATAATAACAGGAACACCGCTTCGTTTTTTGTGACTAAATCAGGTGAGGATATTTTTTGAAAATAGTAATTTTTTCTGTGTTTTGTCCTGAACTTGAGGTAACTGAGCATGAAGGTTTTTGAAAGTGACTTCCAAGGTGGAAGTCATTTTGTATTTTTATAAATACAAAAGTATCTATACGTGTGTGTTTGTAGCCTTTGACTGTGCCTTCTCACTGGGGAGTCATGGCTTCGGAGAGGATTGGTCCACAGCATTCACTGCTGGTGCTACAGAATAAATCAGAAAACCTTGGTCATTATGTAAATGTTTTTGCATTTTTAAGGACCCACTGGCCTTAAGAAGTTGGAAATTTTCTCTTTTTTTCCGCCATGGGCATAGAAAAAGGTCACTTTTATAACAGTACCATGAAGATGTGCTGGTGATGCCCCCCCAGGTTTGTGTGTGCATAGAAAGAGGTTGTGAAGTTTAGGTCTAATGAGAATAACAGAGACATCCTCCAGTTTGTTATGACAGAATCGGCTGCTAAATCACTGACTGTAAGCAAACAGCAAAGTTGTATTATCTGTTAGAAGGGGGTTGTAAAGTTAACTGTGGACAATACTATCTACTATGTGGACACTTTGGGTGATTACTGGATGGTGTGCAATCATGCTCATGCAATAACTAATGTTGCCCTCCACCATTCTAACATGAACACACACGAACATACACAGAGCAACGATAACACACATGAAAGGAGCTTTTACAGAGTGCTATCTTACTCATACAGATGGTGCTTTGGATCATCTGCCTGCTCTTTGGCCCACAAATATCAACTTGAATCTGGTTACAGACAAACAGCTGAAAGGGACACTCACTAGGACTCACCCTACTAATAGACATCTGCCTTATTATCTCAGCTAAAATATCATGTGTCTGGGCAAAGTGAGATTTGCTTGTTAGAAAGGACAAATCATATAGGGGAGAGTGGGGTTAGTTGAGCCAAAGGGTAAGTTGAGCCACCCCCTGTTGCTTGGAAATGGTAAAAGAAATTGATCATGTGACCAAATATTTAGGAGATGAGCATCAATTCATAGAGTCTGTGAAGGTTAGAAGCACATGGGTGAAGGGGTTAGACATTTATTTCCAGAAAAACATCTTTCACTATTGAAAGTGAATTTAGTCTGTCATAAGTTTTATTAGAATTGTGTTCAAACCAAAAAAGATCATTTGAAATTTATTTTATTCATCAATTGTGGTATCTATGAGCTACAACAAGAGGTCAAAAACCTAGCATAAAAGTCCACCATTTTAGCTTAGAGCACTAATAAAGTCATAATAGTAGTTCTGGGGTAAGTTGAGCCAGTGGTTCAGTTCAGATTGTAGAAATGTGTTACTTTTTCTTTTCAAAAATACAGCTGTGAATGTTCTGAACCACTTAAAGACATTCGCATGTTCAAATGGCTTTTTACAAAACAGCTTCTTAGCAGTTATATGCAATAATAATAAAAATAATTATTGTACTAGTTGAATAGCATATAATAGATAAAAATACACATGAATATGAAGAAGTGACTGTTATTTAGGGAGAGAGAAGGTGAGGGAGGGCTGGGGTGGAGAGCGTGAATGAGTGTGGTCTAGACCTGCTGTTTTTCTTTGGAAAGCGTCTTGGGATGACGACTGTTGTGAATTGGCGCTATATAAATAAAATTTGATTGATTGATTGATGGGGGGGTAGTAGAGATACGGCTCAACTTACCCCACTCCTATGGTCAACTTACCCCATATACAGGGTAAATTGACCATAGGAGACCACTTTTTTGCCATGCTATATTATCAAGACAGCTATGTTTACACTTGTTCTGTTGGTTTGCAGGAATGCACAACATCTTGAAATACATGCAGATACACTAATTAGAGACAAAACTATGATTGCCTTGATGTAATGATCCAAAATATGAAAAATGGCTCATCCTACCCCACTCTCCCCTACAAACATGTTTTAATTTTTTTTTTTATGAAGCAGCAAATGCTCTGCTGCTGCAGGATTCGCTGCACATTTGATGGCATTTATAAAAGTGGGCTAGACACACACACACACACACACACACCCTATCTATTCAAGCTGAACACCCTTATGGCTACAGTATTTTCTCTAAACTCGCATCAAAGAAAATCACTTATCTTTCTTTGCCTTCAGGCTTCTCTGCACTGTACAATAAACAGGACAGACTTCAAACGGCGCCCAGTCATAGAGAGAGGAGGTGAAGCTTTGATTCAATCAGAGCTCGGAGAATGAGTCTTTACTGTTGGGTCCTGTTATAATATTTTACTAAATAGTCTTTTTTTAGCGCAGAACCCACATGGATGGCACAAATCATCCAAAATACACATCCATAAAAAGGCTACTCAGCACTCTCTCCTTAGGAGAAGTTCACATGGTGCCATGAATCATTGCACAGACTGGAGCCATTTCGTTATGGTGAAACGGATCAAAGCCCTAATGATTGCTGTCAAGATCCCTCAGTGATAGAATAGACACCCGCCAACAAACACACACACACACACACACACACACACACACACACACACACACACACACACACACACACACACACACACACACACACACACACAGCTTACAGATGCAGTTAACTTTAGCTGTGGCAGTGTGATGCGTGAATGTATCATGGCAGAATCAGATGCTCACTTAATGCTATATCACACAAACTTGCACACACGCTCATCTCATCCCACATTACAAAATTCACCAATTTTTCATTAATGTATGATGAAGTTATCAAATGCATTAACAATCAAATACAAACTCACCCATTCCAACACACGGATGAATCCCAGAGGTAATTTTAGCACTTGAAATGTCCCCGCAGATGCCAGCTGCGAAATGACACAGAGGGGGATAAAAGCGTTTCAATGCCAACAACCAATTAAGCAGACGCTGGCCAATTTAGCAGGTGAACACACATTTCTGAATCAAAATCATCTTCGCAGTCGCAGTTTCACTCACCTGATCAGCGGTGTCCATTTCTGCAGCACAGCAGATCACTTTCTCTCTCAGTTGGTCGACTAAATGTAAACAATCTCAAACCGCAAGCCAGGACCCGATTGATGTGTCTCTAGTGCCGAACAGTCAAGAGCTCTCGGCTCTGCTTCCGACTGCGAACGGAAAGACCCGAGTCTCTCAGTTTTTTTTTTTTTTCTTTTTTCTTTCCAGTTTTTTTTCTGGTATCAAGGAAAAGTGTCATGGATACGGACTATTATTATTATTGTTATTATTATTATTGTTATTATCACTGGAGAGAACTTATGTGTTTTATCATAATCTTTTTGTCTTTCACTTTCTGTGGATTTATATTGCTATACTGCTATTTTGGCGCTAGTTTTAGCAATTTAAAACAAACAAACAAAAAATCAACTGTGTTTATTTTTGCTTTCATCAAGCCATCTTAAAAAATCCATCTTGAGCTATATCCTAAACTTCACTTTTTCAATCAAAGTTGTTTAAACATTTATTTCATAGCTTACAAAAACTGTATTTCTGTGTATTCCCAGACATTATAATGTAAAGTAAGACTCTTAGTCAACAATTTTTGATAGTTGTTTGCTATGGCACTCAATCCATTATAAATTATCACTTTTTTTGGGAGGCTAAATCCTTTTTTTCCCTTTTGTAAGAAACTATAATGGGTTTTCTTGAATAAATATGTTATAATTATCTTATTTCAAATTTAATCTAATTTCATTCCTATGCTTTGGCTATATACATATTTTATCATAACTCAAGACTCAAGGCTCAAGACTCACCTTTTTAACCAGGCTTTTCATTAACTGCCTTTTTATATTTCTATTATTGCAAATGTTCATTTTAATCAAAGTTGTTAATGTTTCTTTTGCGTCACTTTATAATTTATTGTTCTTATTCTTTTATCTTAATTCCCATCATAGAGGTTTTTACTCCTTTTACCCCGTTTACATGATATAGAGCTCTTACTTATCTCTTCATTTAAAATTATTTTCTTGTTTTAGTCCATCAGGTGTTACTCTTTCTTTTTACCATTTTTATTTTTATCTCCAGTGTTTCCCAGAGGTAGCTCTTTCCTCCCGTAATGTCTTGGTGTCATGCTTTGTCTCCTTAAGAATATCTCTTAAATTGCGCGCGCGCGTGTGTGTGTGTGTGTGTAGGTGAGTGAGGATGGGTGTGTGTCTGTGTGTGTGTGGGTTGATGGGTGGTTGTGTGGGTGGGTGGGAGGGTTGGGTTTTATTGTTGTTTAAATTGTTGTTTTTAGCCTCTGTGAGGCACTTTGAACTAAATCTTTTTGTCTGAAAAGCGCCATACAAATAAAGTTGAATTTCAATAACTCCTTACAAGATATATTTTAAAATGGCCAACAAAATGATCTCTTTTGCTCAATCAAAACTCAGACGTAGAAACAGACGGCACACCTTCAAGCTCTAAAACCTCAGAGAACTTACTCAGGGCTGTCCCAAATGACAATATTTACCTCGATGGAAACACGACTGACTTTGTGTAGACTTCTATGATGCAGTCTGTCACCACCAGAAAGCAAGACAGGCTTCATCCATGCACGCTCCCACGACGGACACACACGCACGCACGCACGCACACACACACACACACACACACACACACACACACACACACACACACACACACACACACACACACACACACACACACACACGTACCCATAGGTGACTTCATCTCATGATGCCTGACTACCCAAATACGGTTTTTATCCAGGTCTACTGTAAGAGCTACAGGTAATTTGCCATAGAATAAAATTTCTCCAGGCAGGGGGGGCACTCCAAAGATGATACAGAGAGGAGGGCTTCCCTGAGTCTGCCTTGCCAATGACAGTCCCTCTAACACCAAGTCCAAACTGCTCTGACAGCAGGGCTAATTTTACAACATCTCTCTCGCTGTTTCATCTCTGCACTTCATTTCCTCCTCCTCTCCACACACACACACACACACACACACACACACACACACACACACACACACACACACACACACACACACACACACACACACACACACACCCTGCCGTAAGGGCTCTGTTCATGCGATTATAGCTTTGTTGGATCTGATTGGCTTTCAGGAAATAGATGAACCAAGCAAGAGGAACAGAGTCTCTTATGTATTATGAGTTTGAAAAAGACTTAGATGATTGTCTGAGGCACATTTATCTGGGGGTTATTCTATCTTTTTTTTATCTGTTTTTATATGTAATTTTATGTTTTATGTAAAATGTTGTGTCTTTATTTCTGATACTTTTATTTATTACCCAGTACAGCACTTTGGTCCTCTGTGGATGTTTTAAAGTGCTCAACAAATACAGTTGGATTGGATTTAATGGCTTTCCTGGCGGGTTGCAGTTAAACTGGGATGCATTCTTAAAGATCATATACAGACACTGATGTAAAATAAAATGTGAGTAAAAGATTTTATGTGATGAAATAAAATTTTAAACCCTTGTAATTGTAATTTTAATGTCTTTGTTAAGAATTGCTTGAAGTGCCCCTCACAACAGACTTTCCAATCAACATATCAGTTAATCAGCATGTCTAGACATCAACAGACAACATCCTGCAGGATGCTTCAGGTGTCACCACCGCCCCAGGGGGTGAAGTAACAGTCCCCACAGACAACAAAAGGTGCCAACACCTAAGCCCCATTCCTTGCCCTCTGGGAGGCGGTCCTAAAAGTATAAATATTCTGTATTCCCCTAGATTCGGGGTCTTTTCTGATCTACCCGCTCGGATCCAGATCGACCTTTTCTTTGCAAAGAAAATAAAACCTTGTCGGCCGGCAGAAGTCTCTATTTCATTATTCACCAGCAGCAACGGAAGAGAAAAACTTCCACGACAACCCTGCAATGTGCAACTCAAACTGATGATAGTTTAGGTTTTACCAAACCTTTGCAATTTCTCTTAATTATTGCACTCCAAACGTCACCTTCAGTAAAATAGGAAAAAAACTCATCCTGAAATTATTGAAGAGAAATTTGCAGTGTCGTATTTACAATTTAACATTGCAACTAGTAACACTAATATGGGTAGCTAGCCTGGTTTCCACTATAAAACTGGTTCATTCTCACATTTTATTTTGGTGCATATGTAAGTGATGAAACAGCCTCATTTCATTGATTGAGGGAAGTAACAGAGAATGACTCGGATCGATCGATAGTTGAACCTCTGATTGAGGAGGAACAATGCGTTTTTTGTCCCAGTTGCGGAACTACAGATCAACTCTTTACCCTCGCTCGGGTTCTTGAGGGGAGATGGGAGTTTGCCTGAGCAGTCTACATGTGTTTTGTGGACTTGGAGAAGGCCTATGACCGTGTCCCTTGGGGAATCCTGTGGGGGGTTAGCCGGTTGTAAGCCAGACTCATTTCCAGTGAGAGTTGGACTCCGCCAGGGCTGCCCTTTGTCACTGGTTCGGTTCAAAACCTTTATGGACAGAATTTCTAGGCACAGCCGGGGGTTGGAGGGTGTCCGGTTTGGCAGGCAAGGGAACCTCGTCGCTGCTGTTTGCGGATGATGTGGTTCTTCTAGTTTTGTCGAGCAGTGACTTTCAGCTCTTGCTGGGGTGGTTCCCGGCCAAGTGTGAAGTGGCTGGGATGTGAATCAGCACCTCCAAGTCCAAGGCCATGGTCCTCAGTCGGAAAAAGGTAGATTTCTTTCTCCGGGTTGGAGGGGAGGTCCTGCCTCAGTCTACCGGTCAGTCTACGGTGGTCTTTACACGAGTACAAATTTGTAAGACACCGGTAAATAAACTATCGATCTGGTGATATTGACACACAGAGACGTGTATTTGTCCATGACTCCGCATCTTTTTTGAAAAAGGGTCTGCAGGTGGATATCTGGGTATTCGTCTTCATGCCGCAGTTGGTGTAAATAGATAAGTCCGGAAAAGACGGTGACCTCAAAGCACCCCTCCTCCTCCCCGCCCCCCAACCCACGTTGCCACACACAGCATGTATGTATGTATGTATGCGCATTCTCTATTTTTGGTGCTTTGTGGCAATTTCACAGTGTCACCTTTAGGCCGGGCGTATGTACTACAGGATTTTGCGTGGATTTTGCATTGTCATGTAAATGCACTAAGCCTATGTACAATACAATGTGTAAACAGCGATACATGTTTTGGTGCCGACGCCAAGACGATACAAGGCCGTCCTCGTGTGAGGAGAGCCTACATGCCAACCCTCACCTATGGTCATGAACTTGGTGTAATGACCGAAAGAACGAGATTGGCCGAAATGGGTTTCCTCCGCAGGGTGGCCGGGCTCAGCCTTAGAGATAGGATAAGGAGCTCGGACACTTGGGAGGCACTCAGAGTAGAGCCACTGCTCCTCCACGTCGAGAGGAGTTAGCCGAAGTGGCTTGGGCATCTGGTTAGTATGCCTTCTGGACGCTTCCCGTTAGAGGTGTTCCATATATGTCCCACCAAGAGGAGACCTTGTGGCCGGCCCAGGACCATGTAGAGGGGTTATATCTTTCGCCTGGCCTGGGAGCACCTGGGAATCCCCCCAGAGAAGCTGCTGGAAGTGGCTGGGGTGGTTGGTACTGCCCCCGTGACCCAGACCCAGATGAGCAGAAGAAAACCAACAACAGAGAATAACCTGTCACACGTACTGATAGGTGTTATATACATTTCAAGGACCTGGAAAGCAGAGCCAGGGAGGAATCCACTGGGGTGCAGTAGCCGAAGGTCAGTATGGATGCTTTGGCATGTGTGTTTATGTAACTGATGTGAGACAGGTGGTGTATATATGCTAATAGCACTTAAGTGTATGCAAAGAAAGATGGAAGACAGTAAGAACCTCAGAGCAGCATTTTATAAGCGGAAAGAAAAGAAGATGGTTTGACAGTGCTCGCCTATTGGAATGCTCTTTGGTGGGAAACACAGGCATTTACTTGCAAGTACCATCACAAAACCTTAAAACAGCATGATGCTGATGAACCTAGTTAACCTGTAAATGGAAAATAAGGAACGATAATAGACATGAACTGGAAATGCTAGGGACTCATTGGGGCCCAAGCTCATTCAAGTGGGAAAAGAGTGGAAAAATGCCCTGTGGTATAAGGGGTACAACTTGTTATTGCACACACTGATGATTAATTTTCCATTGACCTGCAAATCACATACAAACAAAACCGAGTGGATCAGCCGTAGTCTGTTGAACACTTTACTTGATAACATGCCTTAGTGTTCCAGTATACTTAGGGTAAGGGTTTATAAGGGATCTGGGCAAAGATAGGGCAAAAAAATAGGTGCGTGGGAAAAGAGGAAGATTGCAGAGCTACCTGTGGAGAAGGTGGATAATGGCAGGAGGCTCAGGAAGACAGATTGCAAGAAGAGGGGCAGAAGGAACAATTGCCATTCTTCTCCTCAGCTTAAGCCTCTTTCACACTGCAACACACAGAGGAATTATAGCATGGAGACTAGGTCAACCACTTACCCATTTCATCCAACAATGCAACACACTGCAACTCCACAGCAATTACCGCTCTGCTAAAACGGCTGCCAGAACACGTCCACATCTTTGTTGCTAATGCATTTTAATAATAATAATGATTGCTGTGCTGTGTAGTGGGGGTGAAGTGTTCAAAAACAGCCATGTTTTTGAAACACTGATGAAAAGTTTCTCTGTTGTTTGCATTAGAAGCATGAATCGTTAGAAGGATGTTGAAGGATCAAATATGAACAGACTTTGAAAGACAACAGGACAGAATAATACGTGTAAAAAAATTTAAAAAAAAGAGCCAATTCAGGCAAAAGCAACAAAATTCTCACATTTTTCACAAGATATTTAGCTGTGTCTGACTGTGCTTGGCTCATTCTCCACTGAAATATGTCAGAGTCGACTGATTTCGGATGGATTCATACATTTCACACTCACTCGTTAATTAAACCTATCCTCATATGCCTGTACCAACACAAAGCAATGAAACGTGATTAGATGTCAACACAAAAGACGGGCTTTGGAAATGTTTCTGGGTAAAATGGCATTAGCTGTGGTCTCATTCTGCACCAGTTAGACAGCGTACATAATCAGGATTAACTTTAGCATGATGGGGAGCTGCAGTGAGGGGGAGAGAAAGAGAGAGAGTGCTGGAAGAGAGGGTCATGGGAAAACAGAGTTCCCCATCACAGTAAATCATCCTGGTAACAGAATAGCAACACTGCAGGACTAATTGTGTCATAATGAATGTACAAGAAGTCATTTCATCTTCATATTAACTAGATCTCCTTTGGTTGTTTCAGAAATCAAAGATTAGCTCTAGTCTGGAGGTGTTCCTATAGAAATCCTGTCAAAACTGAATACCCAAATATTGTGTAATCTATGCAGAAAACCCTGAGTTATAAATAACTGAGTTATTTAACCTCACATGATAAGCAGTAAGCTTTAGAGCTGCTATTGTGCAGATGTACAAGAGTTTATTCCCATCAAAACTAAAACACTGGCCCCACTGGAGGACCCCAGTGATGATAGCTCAGTCAAATAGCTTTTTCATACAGGGAGGGTATCACAAGATATCAAATACAATACCCCTTAACCACGTCCATGGTATTTTGGCATTCCCTTCACATCACCTGTCATTGTGGATTTGTATGAATTGAAGTGTTTTATGATACAGACTTCTAAGTTCAAAAACAAGGCTGTTATTGAACGTTGGTTATAAGGACATTTCATTGAAACTCTTCTATCAGCATGATGTCTCTTTCTGAGCTAAAGTTGTGAAGACAGAAGGTTTTACTTCACTCACACTTCAGTATCTGCCGCAAAGTGAGAACATACCCTCGCTCACCAGGGTTTCAAGCATTTCCTGTAGCAGTATGCATCGTTCACAGTGTTACTAGGAAAGGGGAAAAAAACACAATACACTTTTTCACCCTTGTCTTGAGTCCATCAATGGTTAGAGAACTAATGTGAAGGACAATGAAGGAGAATGAACATGGTGATAACAGATTTACCCAATGTGTTGCTAGGCAACTAATCCATCAGGCATGGAGTAACAGGGCATGTATGTTGCGACGACAGCCAATTATCGGCAGGCTATTCCACAACGAATGCTACACGCTCTTTGGCCTTTTGAAACAACACATAGAGAAATGAGGTCGTACAATGTTTACTTGTAAGCGATTTGTATGTCATGTGTGGTGAGTGTGACTCTTATTTGTTCAGATATTTTACCAACATACTCAGTCCAAAACACAACCCAGAACAAGAATATACTATATATTCTGTCAGCTGCTTGCTGAGAGCTAACAGAAATGTAACACTAGAAAAACACTCAGAGAGCGCAGACCTCTGCCAAGCAGCTCATGTCCCCCCTTAAACAAGAAATGCCCTAACCGGGATTCAAACCCAGGACCTTCTGGTTGTGAGGCGACAGTGCTAACCACTATACCACTGTTCCACCTATCTACACCACTGTGCCGCCCATTGGTTATCTTTCAGCATTGAAAATTCCAACGACAGCCTTATTTTTGTGTGTTCTGGATGACAGTATCCAGAATTTTGTCCGGATCACCACCAAAATTTAATCCTCCTGGAGCTGAGACGCACCTCTGGTTAAAATTTCAGGTCAATCCGTCTGTTACTTTCTCTGTAAAGTTGCTAACAGACAAACAAACAAACCAACGCTACCGAAAACATAACCTCCTTGGTGGAGGTAAAAATGTGACCATCATCAGTTGCTCTTAATATTGTCATTGGAAACTGTATGTGATCAGAAGAAGTTAAATGAATGCTTTCTTCCTCTATTTGGATGCAAGTCTAATCCATCTGACACAACAGCAGCATTTTGGTTTGCAGAGCTTTTCTTTTTTGATGGTCTATAGACAGCAGCCTCTAGTGTTTGGTTTCTAGCTCCCTCTGTAGTCTTTTCAGTGGTATCACTTTACATACCACAAGGCATCGATTTAATGGCAACACCACTTTGGAAAAAAGAGTCTGTTGTTCATATTGTATGTTAAAATCCCCCTTGAACCACTTACAATGTTCATATTGGACTTGTATCAGTTCTGTAATACCAATTTTCTCTTATGATTACACTCAATAGAACAATTTTATTTGAATTTTGTGAATGATTTCATGTCTATCTTTGTATTATTTGATGTCAGACAGTTAGAGATACAGGTCAGTGTTGCGTTAAATGTTGCTATGGCTACTATTTGTTTACATTTGTTTATCTTAATGCTTCACATTGGGCGTCTGGTCTCACCCTGTTAGGACTGTACTTTACATTACCACAGCTAAATGTACATTATCCTTTACTCACCAACCTGAGAAGCCACATACACTCAATAGTTTACAAATCCTATCTAAGATGTGACATTATCAGACACACTCAGCAAGAGCTCAAGGAGCTGTGCATCAATTTTTCCAAAAACAATAACAAAAAACACAAAACAGAAGCCCTGGTGCTGGGGATTTAAGGTGTCTTCAATATGGAGGTAAAAACACTTCAAGAATAGTGGCCTTGGTGAGGCAGCTGCAGGAAATAAAGGGTGGTTGTCTTGAGCGATGCTCCAAATTGGAAGCCCAGAAAGAGACCATTTAGGTGTTAAAGGAGGTGGAGAACCTCAGAAAAGAAATGAACCACCAAATTCTGAGGGCTGGCAGCCTGCAGAGGGAGCTGGAAAAAGTTAAGCAGCAGTTTGCCGAGACAGTCAGCCAAGACAGTGCTGAGTCTGACTGCTGAGAAATCAACCCTGGAGCAGGAGGTGAAAGTCCTGCAGCAGGAGGCCTCCAAAGATAAGAATAAACAAAGATTTGGATGAATAAAGTCAGAGTAAATTTGGAATTTGGAAGAGCTTAACAAAACCTTCAAGGTCTTTGCTTTTAAAAAAGGGCCAGCAGCTAGATTTCATCAAAAGTAACTTCTCATATGTTCGATAGATAATGGCTTGGAAGAATCAGAGTCACAAAGCAGTTGCCTTGAGCTGTCCTCAAAATTTAAAGTCATGGAGGAGACCATCAAGATGTTGCAGAAAGAGGTGGAGGATCTCAAAAAGAACCTAAGTATCAAAGTAAAGCCCTCTGACAAAGGACAACAGTGAGGTGACCATACGAATGACAGTCTATTTGTGGTCAGGCAGAAGAGACATCCAGGCCTCCCCCTGCCCATCCCAAGATTCTCCCGACCTCCAAACTCAGGCTGTTAACAGGCTTAACAGTACATTGATGAAAGATGTTAAGTCTTTATAAACATCATGTTTGGCATGAACTGGTTTTCTCCTGTACACAAAAAAAATGGTAGGAAGTTTTAGTAAAAAATTGAAGGTAAAAACTTAACAAAGTCTTAACATTTTTTGTATAGTTTGTATAGTATAGGATTTAATGTTGCTGCTTGTATAAGGAATTCTGGGATTTAATATTTTCAGTGTGGACAAGACCCCTTAGCTTTGAGTCAGAATCTTGTCTCATTTTACTGCACAGGTATACTTTACAGATATGAAGACACTGATTCTTACTTTTGATCTTAGGAAGATTTTATTGATATAAAAATGATTTGTGCAGTTACAAATATTAGAGCCCCTGATTCCATGGCTGCCATGGCAACAGTATTTGCATCAACCTGCTTGTGAGTCAATTTAACATCAAACTAAACATTTTATTTTAGGATAAAGTCTTAATATTATCCTGCTTTACTATTATACCACTTTACTTTCATAAATCGGGTTAAACTTTAGAATGCGGAGTCAAGTTAAAACACTTGTCTTTTTCCATTTGCATTCTAAATAGATGGAGACAATAACCACAAAACTTTTTTTGTCTGCATTCACACTACCAGTCCCATCACACTGTGCACTGTGTTGTGTTTGCTTTATGATAGTTTAATGAAATCTAAGTTTTTTTTTCACTCTGCTCCTTCTGTTTTTTTAACATCCTCTACTTGATTCAGGGTTGGCCCTAAACCACTAATCTAAAGCTGTGTGCTCCTTAAATTGAGGGTCATATTCAAAATATCATCCAAGTTCTGGGTGAAAACTAATGTTTTGCAACAGTGTCCAGATGAAGAGATTGAACTTAAGACTTCATAAATGTGCTGCATTCCTCTTAAGGAAATTATTTAATATGGTGTGTATGATCTGGTTGTCTGCTGTGTTGCTCTTGCAACTCAGAATCAATTAGGGTTGATTCATGGTTATGGCCAATCAGAAGTATTCAACACAGCTCGATGATCTTTAAGAAAGCTGGGTAAATAAATATCACTTTTTCACTTGAAGATATTACACAATAAGATCTATATTTAATGCAGCACTTCCTAATCATGTACAGCACTTAATAAACAAATTAAGTGATAATATACAAAGGCTTCTTTGGCCTTTTTTTGCTGTGTGATAACAACTGTTAACACCATTAAAGTGTAGTTGTGCTTTGACCCTAGTCAGAGAGGACTGCTAATGTTTGTTTTTAAAGCCACTGGCTGACACTGTGTTATCTTTGCTTGAAGCTTTAAACCCTTCAAAAATATTTTGGCACAACTAGAAAGTAAGCCTCACAGCTTGATAATCCGCCCGTCACTATGCCAAAGTCTAATACGTGGTGGCATGTGATCTTTGTAAGCTGTCACCCAGGGTGACATCACTGATTGGGATGTGACCAAATAAGTATCATCCTTTTTCAGGGTTGTGCAACAGTAGTTTTCATCCATCGTGAATCAGAGTGGACTTCTGAATTCTTTAACCTGTGGAGGACTAGGAAGTACTATAATGTCACTTTTGTCCTTTTCATAGATTTTATGCAACTTTTGCCAGTTCTCACCACAGGGGTTGAGCGGACTGGCATTCCCTGTAGGTAACACACTATGTATTGACAAGAACCTTATACAGTCCCACTCCCAAAATAAAAAAATCAAATTAAATCAATCTTTACCTTCAAAGTAGGGTAACAAAAATCCAGATCAGCATAAAGGTGCAGATCCTCTAAACTTGCTGAAGTTGAAACCTTTTACTGCTCCATATCATTATCATTCTGCAAAGTTTTCATTGCCAGGCCCCACAGAGTTACACTGGAGATAAACTGGCCTTCACTAGACCTGTAGGACCCACTATTAGCTCTATTAGCAGAACTAAGTGTACTGCAGTGATTGTCTGAGGGGGGTAGATATGGTCTCCCCACCACACTTCTGCCCATCTCCCCTGACATATTCCCGTTCTCCATATAAGGACCGTACACCACCTCCTGTGGTAGATGAGGTTTTGCCAGCTTCATGTGGTCTGTGTCAGTCAGAGCTGCACTCCTCTCCTGTTGGTGGGTGGAGGAGAGGAGGTGGTGGGGTACCAGTGAACGAAGCTCAGGAAGCGGTGTAGGGGTAGAAGATGGGCTGATGTGCATGCTGGGGGACGGAGTCTCCATATGTGGCGCTGGCTGTAATGGTGATGGAGTGCTTACTGAGGGTTTCTGTAACCCTGAATGGGGCGTCAGGCTGGGGAAATGCTCCTCGCCAGTTGTCGCAGGAGGTTTACTTTGGCTGGCAGGGACTGGTGTTGCTCCATTGGAGCTTTGAGGTGGGTCAGGGTTGTTGGTGTCCGGGCTGTCAGTTGGGGCTCCTTTACAGTGAGAGGTGCTGTGTCTCCTCAACATGGCAGAGCGGGTGAAGCTCTTTCCACAGGCGCTACAGACGTATGGTTTCTCACCTGTGTGTGAACGGATGTGACGCTGCAGGTCCCCTGAACCAATGAAGCACTTTCCTGCGTACATTAAAGTAGAATTAAAATATGAGAAATTGACTACGGTCTACATAAAACTCTGAGTACATTCTAGTGTCATTATTTCTCTATTGTATTACATGAGGGAAAAAGATACAAAACACAGCATCTACAAATGTGTCACAGAACTATAGAATAATGTACACATGTAAAGGGTGAAATATGCATATTGTATGCAAAGTACCTCCCTTTGTAATGGCAACAGCAGCATGTAATAAGATGGAGTTTTATTTGAAAGCAGAGCCTGAAAAATTTGTATTCATATTATCCACTTGTGTTTTTGTTAAACATGCACCGATAGATGATTATTTTACTAACTTCCTCAAACCTTGTAAATTCCTTTATTTATAAAAGCAAAATACTGTTGTGCACTTTATTTTGGAAAGAGGCTCAAAAAAGGTCTGCAGTGTGACCTGTTGTGCAAGTATTGTTAATTTTTAAAATGTGGAAAATAAAAGACTAAAGGAACTGATACAATTTAGTAGTTTGGACAGCAATATTCTAAACTTTTCATTTGTATTTGAGAGAACTACCTCATGCGCAGTTAAAACAAGCACAAAAAAGTTTGTATTGTTTTTCCAAGTATTGTTCAATGTTTTTCATTAAAATAAGATTGGAGCATCAAAGGTGTGTGTTGTCAGTTATAAAAATAAAATCGGTATCGGTACCGGTATAAAACCGGTTATAAAAATAAAATCGGTATAAAAATAAAATTGGTTTCGGCAGGTCAAGCTTTTTTAAAGATCGGTGATCGATCAGAATATTGTGATGGGTGCACCCCAAGTTTTTATGCTCATTTTAGCAGGCAAAATGGTGCTTTAACACTCAGAGGTGCCAAAGAAACTTCGCAGGGGTGAGTTTCTTGAAAAAGTTAAATTCTTTTTGGCCTTGCAACAGAGCTATTCTATTTCTAAAAGCAACACCAAAGTGGAGAGTAACCTTACAGTCCACACTTTTTATACAGTTTCTGCATGTAAAGCCTAAGGAAAATACCTGACCAGTGATGCCAACCCTAAAAAAAGGCTTCAACATCTGCAAATACATTGTAATCAATGCTAATATTCAAATATATTACTACAACAACACTACGACTACTTCTGACTCAGAGTTTCCCTTACCGCAGGTGGCACAGCTGTGTGGTTTTTCCCCAGCATGGCGGGCTTTGTGCTTCAGAAGCTTTCGGTGTGTGTTGAAGGATTTTCCACACTGGTCACATGTGAACGTCTTGTCTGTGGCATGAGTCCTCTTGTGCTCTTTGAGATTACTCAAGTTGTTAAAACCTAACAAACAGAGAGGTGATTGAAAATGGACTTACTATAGACAAAAATGCTCTGATTTTCCTTCTAGGTCTGTGGACTGAACTCACACTCCTGTTACTATCAGTAAAAATCTGGCTTCAAAATAAGACCACTTAACGAGAATTTAATTTGAATAAATCTGGAGCATCTAACACAATTGCTGTGTCAGGGGAGTTATTTACCTCGACCACATATATCACACAGATGTGGCTTTTCTCCTGTGTGGACCACTTTGTGACGATGGACATCCCCTGATGCTGTAAAACTGAAAAACATACATTAAATTTAATTCATGGGAACTTCCAGGGACTGGTGGGGCTGTTTGATTAAGAGAAAACATCATGTGACAATAACGAAAAAGAAGGTTGCTGTCTCACTTGGCACCAGAGCCGACCCAAGGCATAAGCAAACTAAGCGCCTGCTTAGGGCCCCACAGCGAGTAGGGGGCCCCCAAGAGCAATTAAAAAAAAAAATAAATTAATGTTTCTTATTTTTTGCAACTATCAAATATATTATTATTATTATTATTATTATTATTATTATTATTATTATTATTATTATCATTATTATTATTACTATTATTATTATTGTAAAAATAAAATAAAGTAAAAACATTTTAGTGCTGCTGCTGATGTAGGCCTATGATTCTTACTGTTGATATGTCAAAGCTCTGCTACCGTTATGTGCCTCCTGCTGTGCAATGTACACTGAGCATCCTGAATGTGTTACATTTTGAGTCATTCATTGGTATTATTTGTATAGTTGCATTGGTATTATTTGTGTTCTTACCTAGGCCACCCCTTTAAATGTAAAGACATGTCAGGCACATTAAATTTATACTGTAGTAGGTGTGTGAATGATCAACAATCAATATTATTGGCAGAAATAGAGGGCCCCAAAATCAAATTTTGCTTAGGGCCCCATTGAGGCTTGGGCTGGCTCTGCTTTGCACATAAAAAGGTATACTAATGAAAGACTGACATATGGATGGTACCTTACCTTTTGCCACATAACTCACAGATGTATGGTTTCTCTCCAGAGTGCCGCCTCAAATGTGTCTGTAAGTTTCCAGCCTATAAAAAAACAGATGTGTGATTTTGATTTCTACATTCAAATTGTGTAATCATCTTTGACAAACTATAGCAAAACAGAAAAATAAATTAAATGATACCTGTGAAAAGTTTCTCCCACAAACATTACACTGAAAGGGCTTCTCACCTACAACAACAACAACAACAACAACAAAGGTTTGCATCTAAAAATAGAGTTAAAAGTTCCAACAATTACATGCAAAATTATGAAGCTATGAACAATTACCTGTATGAGAGCGCTTGTGAAGCTCCAGGTTGCTTGGATGTTTGAATATCTTCCCACAAACCTCACAACAGTACTGCTTGTGTCCTGTCTGCTGGGGTGGGTCCAGCACAGTCTCCATATTTTGTTCCTCCTGGTTCACAGGTGGAGTAGTAGGAAGTTGTGCATCTGTGGCTGTCTCTGTAACCTCCTCTCGGGCTTCATTATGATCCTCTACAGGAGCTTGTGGAGTTTCAGCCTGTACCTCAGATTCTTCTTGTTGACTCTCCTTGGGGCAGCTGAGGACCGGTTCACTGACTGATTCTGCAAACATCTCTTCCAGAGCCTTCTGGGAACGGAGGTAGTTGTATTTCTTCAGGTAAACAGCCTTCTTTGGACGCACCGGCTTGTTGAGCAGGGAGTCTGCAGAGTTGGAGCTGGGGCTGTTTAAATTATCTGAGGGTGTCAGAGAGGAGGTCGGGGTCTTCTCAACAGTTACAGCTGTGCAGGGAGGATTGGGTTGGATGGAGTTTCCTGAGCATATGGGAGTGTGGCTAACACTAGGCTGACACTGCTGCTCCTCTACTTGCACCAAAGGGCCTGGACCTTGATGTGAGGCAGCCATATTAGTTTGCATGGCACTTTGTTTGAAGTACTGCTTACTGTAGAAGTTACGAAGCTTATATCCATGGACAAGCTGTTTTTCCACAGGTGCCTGAGTGTTGCTGGGTGTGTCACAGTTTGGGCTGCTGTTCGACACAGGAACAGGCATCCTTTTGGTGTGGTCCATGTCACTGCCAAAACCAGCCCTCTGGGTATCAGAGGGACAGTGGAGATCAACATCGTGAGGAAGACTGCTCCCCAGGAGGCAGTCATGCTCAGAGCCCAGCATGCCTGGTAAAGAAAATGAGGATATTTCCACTGGAGGAGGACAAGGCTTGAGGAAAGCATTACACATGTTCTGCACATTTGGAACCTGCAAACACTGGGCGATGTCAAGTAGTGCTTGAACGTTATCTTGGTTGATGTCAAGATGGGAGGTGTACATGTAGTCCAGTATTTGCCCAATGCCTCCTACATCCTGGATAACCAAGTTGAACACCTCGTTCTTCTGACTGGGTGAGTTTTGGAATAAAGACCTAGAAAGATCACAGAAGAGTGTTTCACATGGAGTCTTTCTAAATCAGCCAAGTTGGAATATGAAGCTGGTGATGGGGATGCTATTATGCCATTGATTAAAAACATGTAAAACATGGAGGCACCTGAAGTAGGAGCTGAAAGCAGCCAGGACATTTTTGTGAGCTTTGAAGCAGACACCTTTGACCACCAGCATGCAGTCACACAGCAGCCCCTGGATCCTTTGCTCCTGGAGCTGCTGCAGGAGGTAGGAGCTGTGGCTGGACAGTGGGTCCATGGTCACTCAGTTCCCAGCTTTTCCAGTAAAACACAAGTAAAAGGGACACATGTCAACAACAACACAACAACATATCTCTAAATGAGAAGGCATGAATGTTGTTGGTGGTCTTTAAAGTGCTAGTAAATGAACAATGGTTTACTTTCAGGAGGTAATATTCATGTAAATGATTCGTCAACCGCGCAGAATCAAGTGGGTCTCTACAACAAGACCACCCATGCAAAAATTGGTCATCAACCGCTCACAAGCTAACAACAAAGCTAAGCTTCACAAACCATGACGGTGGGTGGTGCAAAGAAATGCAGCGATAAACATATTGAGGACGTAATATTCAACCAGAAACAGAGGCATAAATACTGTTATTTCGGGAAAGGTTCACAAATAATTCTCAACCAAACTTACAACTGAGGATTCCTCCTTTTATTTGGATGATAGGTCACTTTTTGCTTCTTTTTCTGTGAGGTTTAACCGGCGGTTAGAAAACAACGAATCAACACATATCTGCCACCTGCTGGTGAGGAGGGTAAAAAAAAAACATAACGTAAGGTTTCCTACATCTTCCAACAGTATTCATACTACTACTACAACTACTACTACTACTACTTCTAATAATAATAATAATGATAATAGTAATAATAATAACAACAACAACAACAACAATAATAATAATAATAATAATAATAATTATAATTATTATTATTATTATTATTATATATTAATATTAATAATAATAATAATAATAATAATAATAATAATAATAATAATAATAATTATTATTATTATTATTATTATTATTATTATTATTATTATTATTATTGTTACAATCGAACACATTAAACACTAAATATGACACAATTATGTACATGGTTATATTAGACACTTAACTTATACATAAGACTGTTTTAGGCAGTAGTGCAGTGGTAGGGAGTACATAGAAATGTGGAGTGATTGAAAAATGTATAAATATGTCATTATATTACAGGTGAGTCATTTAGATGAGGTTGAAACACATTGTTTTAAATACACTTTTTATGTTGAATATCAAACATTCATTCATGGAGTGCAGAGGTACATTTCAGATGGAGGGATGATATATTCAGTTAGAAATTGTGGGGGGGTGTAAATTATAGAACAATCAAGGTAAATCAAAGTAAATCAAAGTCAATATTGAGAGTGTGTTTGAGGAATAAAGAGGGGGAATCGTTTTCACCTGTGACTGAACCAGGAGATGGCAGTAATGCAACAGAGGAAGCAAACTACTGTAAAATAAACGAAGAAGAAGAAGAAGTCGGAACTTTAGTTGTGTTTTCCACACGGAAGACTTTTAATGTAGCATTCAAACGTTGGTATAGTCGCGTTTGTAAACTTCATCCACATGTACACTCTGCTGGGGGAAACTTGTATTTAATTTAAAGCAAAACAGGTTTGAATGACTCGACTCCATGGATTTATGGTCGTCGTCAAATCTCCTGTATCACCTTTTTGTTTAAAACAGCTCGGTATTTGACATATCTGTTACAATTTAGCTCGTACTCGTGCTGTGGACGGTTAGTTGGTGCTTTTCGCATATTTGTGTATTGGCAGGAGCAGTCAATTCAAGTTACACATTCGGCTAAACGGACGTGTTAACTATCAGAAAAAAACAAAACAGAATTGTTGTTAAAATGGTGTTTTTCACTTGCAATGGCTGTGGCGAATCCCTGAAAAAAGCTCAGGTTGAGAAACACGTGAATATGTGCCGGGGGTGCCAGGTCCTGTCCTGCATCGATTGTGGAAAAGACTTCTGGTAATTTGCATTTCTTTTTTTAAATTCTGATGGCTGATTTTAAATACTTAATGTAAGTTTCGTTGCCCATGAGTAAAAAGGTGCTCCTGAATATTTTCCACAGGGGGGACGACTACAAGAACCATATCAAATGTATCAGCGAGGACCAGAAGTACGGAGGTAAAGGTTTCGAGGCAAAGGCAAACAAAGGAGATGTAAAACAGCAGCAATGGCTCCAGGTAAAGAACAGTGATGGGCACGGCAGTTCTTTTAGATGTACCGAATCACTAGAATCAGTTAACTAAAAAGATTCGTTCACCGAATCATGTAGCGCTCGGCGGGAGAAGCCTGCAACTCTGAACTCCTGAACTGATACACAGCTGAACGGTTCAGGATTCAGGTCATTTCATACCTTCTGGGACCGGGAGATGAGAATGTTTGGCTGTGTTGCTTTGGCAAACAAGTTTGTACAAATGAACTTGTTTATAGGTCATGATGTTTTAAGTGTACTGCCCTATGGTATGCTATTTATCAGGTCTGCTCTGTAAATTTGGCTCAGTGAGAGATTCGTTCACTGAATGTTTAGAAGAATTCACACTAAACATGCACCGTTCCCTCGCAAAGCGCTGAAATGATAGGATGCTGTGGGTTTAATGCACTACTTATTATATGCTGTGTCCTATTGTATGGAAGATGTGGTGGTGGCAATTTAGCAGTAAAAAAAAGTTGTTTGTCCGACAAAAATGATTCCAGAGATTTTAGTTCTATGCGTGATTTGTTCATCAAGTGATTCGGTGCATGTGGCTGTGTCCGAAATGAATCCCTCAATCCCTAACCCCTAACCCCCATATGGGGTTTTACTATATAGTTGACTATGTAGTAGTTCGGACACTACAAAGCAAGACGCAATGCATGGCGTGATGCCCACCACTGGTGAGTGACCATCAGATGGTCACTACATTTTGCAATGCTTTATGGGAAATTTTGAGTCACCTATATTGGGCACTGGAATTGATCACTCAGGTTTCGGACACCCCTCAAAATGGCGCTAACCCCCATATAGTCGCCTATATAGGGGTTAGGGATCCATTTCGGACACAGCCTGTGTTTCCTTGTTCGCCGGCTGCTGGTCTGGCAGTGCTGTTTCTCACTTCAGCTCAACTGATGAATCTCTCAAAGAAGTGGTACGGTTCAGTACGTTCACTTAAAAGATTTGGTTCTTTTGAATGAATTGTTCGCAAACAACACAACACTACTAAAGAAACTGCCCTTATGTTGACTTCCTTCCTTCGTCTGTGAAGTTTAGCATTCACTGTCTGCTCTTCTCTTGCAGAGAGTACATGAAGCCATGAACAAACCTGGGGTAGGTGCAAAGCTGAAAGATGTGCTCAGACAAGTCAGCGCATATGACAACGTCCCAAGGAAGAAAGCAAAGTTTCAGGTGCTAAACAAGTGTGCTAATTCATTCATTCTGCTCAAGGGTGGCTGTTTCATCCCAGTGAAATTTAGTTCTGGACCTGCATGCTTCAACTTACCACTTTTCATGCGTGTCTTTTTTTCGTCAGAACTGGATGAGGAACAGTCTCAAAATAGCAAATACCAGCCTGCACGAGGAAGTGTGGGACATCCTCGCAGAGGCTGACAAAGTAAGTAACTCTGCTTTAAGATTCTTTTACTATTGTTTGTGTTTGTATGTCACAGACTGATAACTTTGAGCCCAAGTGGACGAAATCTAGTGTCAGTTAACTCAGTTTGAAATTAAAAATTGCAATTATTTACCACTTTCACAGGCATGCAGTGGCTCTGAAGTACATTAAATAATGCTGCAAATATGTGACTGGATTGCTTAATCAACACTATTTGAAGGCTTTGTGATATAGCTGTAATTTTGCCATTTTTTGAAGTACAAATATTATCACTCATATTTTGACCAGGAGAATGGGACATGACCTGGATGCTGGTCATAGTTACAGAGACATAATTTTTATATAATTCAGCTGTACTTCCGTTACAAAACTGATAATCCTGCACACACCATTTTTTTTTTCAATAAATAAAGAGAACTAATTTTTCACATTTTCAATATCCCAACTGATTTCTTTCCCTTCCATGATCTGACAGCCTCCAGCAGCCCCACAAGAGACCAAAGAGGCCAAGCCAGCTGTGACTGAAGTTGAAGCAGATCTAAATGGAAATGAAATGCAGAATGGCAATCCAGACTTAAAAAAGAAACTTAATAAACGGGAGCGTAAAGAGGCTCGTCAGCAGAAAAATGGGAAAGCAGCAAAAGCTGCTGAAAAGCCAGCTGCACAGCCTGAACAAGAGCAGGCAGGAAAACTGAAAAAGAAGGACAGAAAGAGAAAGCGCACCAATGAGGAGAACAATGAAGAACAAAACGGGCATGATGCTCAGAGTACAACATCAAGCAAGAAATTAAAGACAGGTAGATGATTTTCTTTTGATATATTTTCACTGTGTGTATTTGTGATTTTACATGTATACTGCAAAGGCTTAGTTTGACCGTAAGAATATGACACAGCCTGAAGTTTTCTTTGGGCCACTCAGAAATGTAAATTTGTATTTATTTATAAGGTGGAACCAACCTTTGTCGTGCTCTGACACTCATATAGCTGTTTTTTTGACTTCTGAAAGACTCTTTATGTTTGGTCAGATTTGCACTTTAAAAAAATCTTGAATGTGACCTTTTATTACTTTCACAATTATGTATACTGGTGATAAGCTTAATTATTCATCCCTTTATTTCTTTTTTAAGTCCACCAGGCAGAAGAGGAGGATGACATTGAAGCATCGGAGGAAGCTGATAATCAAGATGTTTCCAGAGGTATGTTAGTTTACTCTATAACTTTACTAGAGAGCTTTTCAGAAAATGAATTAAGATTTAAGAGTAAAACCACCAGGGGTCAGTGTGGCCTCAAATTAATACCTTCTGTACACCAACACACTAACGGTGAAAATGTCTGTTGTTGATTTGCAGGAAAATTTAACTGGAAAGGAAATATCAAAGCAGTGCTGAGAGACTCACCTGACCAGGAACTGGCAATAAAGAAACTTAGGAAAAAGGTGAGTCGGGACTTGTTTCTTATGTGGAGTAATTGAATGAGGTCTGTAATGTGATTGAAACACCTTGCATGTTTTTCTTACTCTTCTCTGACAGTATATTTTAATAGAAGTTGTCTTTAGATGAGATGTTAATTGTGTGTTCCTCTGCTGCAGGTTGTAGCTGCTTACTACGGTTTTACCGGTGAACAGAATTATAAAACCGAAGAAGAGGTGCTGGCACTTTTCAACAAGAAGATCAACAAAAATCCCAAATTTAGAGTTCTGAAAGACAGAGTGAAGCTTGTACAGTAGTTTTTTTCCCCATCCATCCAGCATGAAATGTGTCACTCTTAGACTTTTAAAATTCCAAAGCCATTGTTGTTCGCCTTCTTCCTCTTGACATTCTTATGCAAATGATTTAATCTCAAAGATTAAATAATTTTATGACTTATTTACGTGTCCTGTTTTGTTCAGTGCCTCAAGTAGCCCCAGGACAATTTCAGTATTTACCTCCAAACATGCCAGTGTTGTTTAATGTATAAGATGACACACTGTGATGGACTGCTGCTCTTTTCCACATTCCAAACCCACAGTAAGGCTGGGAAATGGCACCTTATCTGTGGGATTGGATGTTGGAGTGGGGGAAGGGAAACGGGAGAGGTGCACCTGAGGTGAATTTGACTCTCACACGGGACGAAGCTAATGCACATTCCTCGGCACCCTGAACGGGGTTCACTTGGCCAGGGACACAGAAGCTCCATAGAAGCAAGATGCTTGGTGTCAGCCTCAGGTGAAGTTTTAATGCTGTCTGATTTTCCACTGCTAGAATGAGCAGCCTCTTTACCCTGTGTACACACACACACATACACACACACACACGCACACACGCGCACACACACACACACACACACACACACACACACACACACACACACACACAGCTACAGGAGGAAGTCTGCTCAGCTTTATGAAGCTCTGCTAATCCCAGCAGGTTTAACACAGATGCTCATTCATCCCACTGCTTACCTGTAATTGTATATTGCATACCCAGGTATTAGTCAAGCTGTTACTCAAGTTTGGCAGTATTAAACTTGTGTTTTCTAGTCCTCAGTGAGACTCAGTGTTGTCTAATGCTGTTGTCTAATCCAGACCCGACAGGAAACATGGAAAAGAAACAAAGACCATCTTTATTGTTGCAAAACAAATCTGGGTGACCAGATCGATATTTGATTTCTGCAATAGGATATTTGAGGGGTGGCTGTGCGGCCATGGGTTTCTACAGGAAAACTTAATACTGGGATCAATCACGTTTTCCTCTACATATGAAGCTGTTTAGCTTAGATTGGTTGGGGCTCTAAGGGACTTCACAATAAAGTCATGGCATAAAAGTATTTCTCTTTAGACACAAAACTTTACCTTCATAATTTTTTGGAGTTCTTGCAGAACTGGACCATATCAGAATTGGGTGCACCAAATAAAGTGGTGACTAAATTGATCATTTCGACCAGTTCCACATAACCACCAGCTAATTACACAATATCCCACTTACTGCCTGGCGAACAAATAAATATACAAAGAAGATGACATTAAGAATTTATCTAAAGATAATTTTATTGATTTAAAATCAACTTCTACAGCTAAAAACTGCCTCAGTTTTGATGACAGGTCGTGCTTCCTAGCTGTGGTCTGATTGCTGTCTTAGGGCTTGAATTAAAATGCAACCCAAGGTTTTTCATCAATAGTAAATTTTCAGGATAATCAATCATTACTGTTGAAAATAACACTAAGCTTATTTTCAGTCACAGTTAAACACAAACATTGTGGCTCTGTTACAAACAGACAGCAACCACTAGTCTTGAGAAATGAAGCTGATGCGCCAAAAACTGCAGTTCCTTGAGTGTCCACTTGAGGCTGGCTCCAAAGCACCAGGGACCAAATATTAAGCTTCTGTTTAAAGCATTTATTTTAGTTACTGTCTCCGTGGACACCTTAAAGCACTTCATAAGCCAAAGCTCTCCTCCACCTTTGCTATGCGGCAAAGTTGTCATTGAGGTAAAATGTGTTTCTTTATTTTAAATGACATATTGTCAGAATCAGAATACTTTCGGTCATTACACTTGCTCTTGAAAATACAAATGTTAATGAAGGGAATAGTAGTAGTTATGAAATGGGGGGGGGCAATTACTTTTTGCACAAAAGTACAAAAAATTAGAAATAAAGCTATTTACAGAGCGCAAAGTGACTGTTGACATAAGTTTTCTACAAGCTCAGCAAGTATGTCATGAATAAATAAATACCAGTTTTCAGCATTGCACTGTTGGATTATGAAACACCTCAAAACAAAGTGAGGGGTTTTGGACTTCGAATTTGTCCCAGTTAGTTTGAAAAGGGACGCAATCCTAGGTACTAAAAAAAGGGAAGTGTTTGGTTTTTTATAGCTCTTTTAGAAGGTAAGAGAATGAACAGAATGAAGTAGGATAGATAGAAGAGAAAGTTAAGGTTTAATCTATCATATATTTTAATCAATCATATATTTTAATCTTTAGAATACTACTACTACTACTTCTAATAATAATGATAATAACAATAATAATAATAATAATTATTATTATTATTATAAAGTCAAGATTTATTTACAAAAAGATCATAATGATCAATTGTTAGGTTAGACAGCATAGGCACAGAATAAATTGAGATGAGAAAGGAGAAAGTTAAGGTTAAATCAGTCATTTATTTTAATCCTAAACTTTAATTGATCATATATTTTAATCCATGATTTATTTTAATTTTAAAAATATATGAGTAACATAATAATAATAATAATAATAATAATAATAATATAGTACACATTTATTTACACATAGACCATAATGATCAATTGTTGTTTTAAGACAACATGGGCACAGAATACAGTGAGATAGAGAAACGATAGAGTTAAGTTTAAATCGAACCGTCGCTTCACCTCGGGGTCTCGTCACAACCTGTCAGAAGTCTTTATCTCATAACTATCAGTCTACTATGTATGATTCCTTATTCAGAAACATTAAAGCGTCTTTGTTTGTAACCTGTCTGGTAGCATCGCTCTGGTAACTGTCGCCTTTAAATGCGTCATAAAATCGCGACTGGTGTGTGTAGTCAGGAAGTGCCTTTAAACCACTAGTTAGCCTTTGGTAGCTTGAACAAGTCAAAGTCAGGTGGCATCAACATAATGCTTAACGACAATGAGCTCGCAACGCTGCGAAATAGATTCAAAAGAGATGCGGAGTTTCTGATGCAAACGACGACAGCGGGTGACGAGGATGAAAAGAGTAAGCTCATGGTTAGCGTGTGTAAAGTTAAACTGCTTTCATACAGGGCTCTCAAAATGGAAACAAACCATTTAACATAAATTAAAACAGGCTGACAAAACGTCCGGTTTTCCCAAGACATGTCCTGTTTTTACGTCCTGGTCACCCTAATTCAAATGTGTTCTGTAACTTGACCACGTCATCGTATATTTTTGCTGGTTTAAGCAAATAATTATGCCAATGAAGTGTTTTAATTTCAGGATTGTTTTATATTTGTCAAATTTTCAGATTTTGTTGTGCTGTCTTGTGTAGATAAACGCTTGGTCTTATCGTTCAAATACAGATAAACCGGTCATGAAGTGATGTGCACTGTCTAAGAGATGTTAGCAGCTTGCACAGTGGACAATTGTACAACTTGGAGGCCTACACTGGCAGAAAACCAGCAATTCTTGATTGTTTTGACTGTGAGCAAATGCTGTGTCAGCTCAGCAACACAATACAGGGAAACTTTACTCCTCCAATGTCCCCAAACCAAGGGTCATCTCTCTGCTGGAGTAAGCTGAGAAGTGCTGAAGAAAAACAGCATTTATCAAGGAGTCACCCCTTTTTTCATTAAACTGCATTTAGTCCAGTTTACCTGGTGTGTTATATCTTGTATCCAAATTAGACTGCTTGGCATTACTTTGACTGTAGATGTAGGTCAAATACTTGTATGGGGCATAAAGTTCAATGTGAACTCTTCACTGAGTTCAATGGCCTGGACCAGCGTACTTCAGCAGCCAACAACAGACTTTAATACATTTAATCAACCATTAAATTATACAGATTAATTGCTCTCTAAGAAGAAAGATTATCTAGAGAAAGCTATCAGTTTCTTCTCAAAAGCTCCTTGAACTTGGAAGGTGGGATTTAGCACATTCTGTCAAGGCGAGATCAAATCTCATATCTGGCAATACTTTTTTTTTTTTTTTAAAGAAATATGACCCTCAAAGTTCCCCTCATGCCCCCCCCAATCTACATGCAATGTGTTTGCTGCTTTGAGGTCTTATCTTCTTTATGAAAAAGAAATAAAGTTGAACTTTATAAGAATTTAAATAAAGAGTTAATGTATCTTGCTATGCATCAATGAGTTAAAACCTCTCCCTAAATATCTTATGTTCTCTCTGAATTCAGTCTGTTCTTTACATACACACTCACACTATTTTCTTTTTCTTTTTCCCATTCCCTTACAGGTCAGGAGGAAAAAGATGCCAAACCTCTCCCCCGCATTAACAGACACTCTATTTTCTGGATTTTGGCATCCATAGGTGTGACCTACTATGTGGATTTTTTCCACAACATCATGGAGAACGATGATATTAAAAGGTGATTAAGACATTGGGAACACTTTAAACTTTCTTTGATGGCCTTCGTCATTCAGTCAGTTTTCTGTACATCAGAACCAGTGAAAATTTCATTGAGGTACGCTTTGTACATCGCCAATTACAAATATGGGAAATAGAGCTGAGATAAAACATCTTATGTTGAAAAAGGTTATTTCTTTAGATGAAAAACTATCATCATTTTAAATTTGATACCAGTTTCACATCTTAGACAAGTATAGAAGGGATACCTACCACTGTGTAGTATCACCTTATCTCTTAAAAACGGTATGTAAATATTTTGGGGTGGTTAGACTAGTTTCTGGAGTTTTGTAAGTGAAATGTTCTCTCATCTCAGCTGTTCAACAGTTTGGGGTCTCAGACAGACAGGCCAGTTTGGTTACCTTACTCCTCTACTTGAAGTCATGTTGTTGAAATACGTGTAGAATGTAGTTTGGAGAGTTTTTCACCCTGCCTGAGTCCATCTCAACTGAGCTGGGTCAATGATAGTAACTTGCAACTTACTTTCTGGGTCATGTTTATACATCTCTGCATTGTACAGTCTCAACCAGGCAAAAAAAACCCTCTTTTGAATATATATAACTAATTTATGACGCCCCTCACCCCACCCAGCTGGATGCCTTGCTTTCTGGGCATAATTGCTGTGGAGTTCTATCATACTTGTTTTACCCCCAAAAGTTTATACTTGACCTCAGTTTTGTTTACCTTTTGAAGAGGTTCCTCACAGAACTCTTCACCTCTGAAGAGGTCTCTGAGGTCTAATCTTACACGATCACATGTTTTACAAGCTCCTGGCATTAGTGCGCTCTTTTTCTTGTGCTATTAACTGGCGCTTTGAAAACAACTTTCAGGTGGGCTACAGTCACCATGTGGTGGTTTTACTGATAAAACAGTTATTAGAGGTGGTATTTAACTCACGCAGGGATTTCCACAATAGGGTCATGTCTGTTTTTAGTACAGTACCATCAGAGAGCCCAAAAATCACAGCCTTATAGTGAAGGTTTAGCCTTTTGCAAATCAACCTTTTATTTTGGGAATGTTCCTCCTTGTACTTTTTAGCATTAGACAGATTTTTCTTTGTTTATTTTTTGAATGCATTGTTCAAGTCGGATTATAAATGAGCATACATTTAAAAAAAAAAAAAAACATTTTTCAGTTTCATCTTTTGCCATTTTTGTCTCTCAATAAAATTCACAGTTTAAATGTTTTGCAAACTATCAAAATGTGTTTCATCAATATTCAACGAAGCTTCCCAACTTATTTGGGAGCGAGTTTAAAGGAAGGCTAAGAAAAGAATAAAATGCTTTTTATTGTCAAGATACAATTGTACAACTAAATTGTAGAGCTTCTTCCATTTTCAGTGCACGCATGAACAGAATAAGTGTAAAAATCTGAACATGTAAATACAAAAAGTACGGGAATAAGTCTTCAAAATCTTAAAATGTAATTGCAAAAATAATTACAAATATAAAGATAAGAATGGAAAGTTGCCTTATATACAAATATGAATGTGAGGTTAAAACAGGATAGATGCCAGGAATATAAACAGGAGGTGTACTAAAGTATTGCACCAGTTGTTGTACTGTATGCAGAATGAAGAAATGATCTTGCACTGGGTTTTAGATGTATTGCACATGACGTTATATTTATGGGGCAACAGCTTTTCTTGGGTAGAAAAAGTAGGCAACACATCAGAATTAGATATCTACTCATAACTTACGTTTTTTATTATCCATTGATACGGCATCAGTTTTACAATCTTTATTTACCTCAACAGATAGTATGCGTAGGTATTTGTTCTTAGTGGTAATTGTAAACCTCTGTAATACACACTGCGTTTGTTTGTATAAAAAGTACTAAAGACAAAACAAATGAATTAGATTTCAGCTTAGGAGAGAGGGGTTGCTCATGGAGACATGAAAAATGGAAAGCCATATCTTTGGTTTCTGACTCCATGCTGAGGCTGTTCATTGTGTTTGTTTTGTTTTTTGTTTGAATTGCATCAGCAACTCTTACATTTGCACTACCTTTATGGCAAGTTTCTTCTCTTTGACTTATTCTTCCAGTTGGTGGTTCAATGTGGGTCTAGTTCTCCTCGGGGTCTGCCTGTCCCTGGCCATGTTTTGCATTGTGTACCTTGAGTGGTTTAAAGGCATCCAGCATTATGACCAAGAGTACCCTGCCATTCCTCCCATCACCACTGCAGCCTTTATTGCAGCATCGTGCAGGTAAAAATGAAACATTAATATGAAACAAGTGGGGAAAAAAATAGTTAGAACCCTGAGAACTCCTGACACATTTGGCTGTGACTCAGGGGTAGAGTTGGTTGTCTTCTGAATTGGAAGGTTGGTGGTTTGATCTCAATTGCTAAAGTCAACAGACAGAGTTCAGAAAGACAAAAAGGAGCTATACTGGAAGTACAAGCTCATTTTCCATATGGTATGGCTACTTTTCAATTTGATGGCTGTTTTCTTTTTGATCACTTAGTGGCTATACTTTATGACACTTGGAGAAGTAGGTCTGAACTGAGTTTCACTGTCAGCACTAGTGCTTTCATCATGTATCTGATGTCTCAAGTGATAGCTGTAACATTAATTGATGGGCCACTTAACTTTCTTTATCCCGTGATTAACTAATTCACCCTTTTTAAATAATGAACCTTCTCCTCTGACATTAGACATTACTTTGGGTTGTGCATATTTCATGTTTGGAATCTTATTAAGGTGTTTGTTTTTCCTTGCAGTTTCAACATGGCACTGTGGCCAGTGTGGTCCTTTTTCACTCCACTCATCCTCTTCACACAGTTCATGGGTGTGGTCATGTTCATCTCCATGCTTGGATGAATTGTTAGGTGAGGATGCTTCGCTGTAATTCCACCGACGTACAGTCATACATATAGTCATACATACAGTTTAATGTAACTTATGGAAAAATTAACTCAGACATTTTAACTTCCAAGTGATCTTTGGGATCATGTTGATTAAGTTCGGCTTAGTTTGTGTAGATATGCACAAAAATCCCAAATACTAATGGTTGAAAAGATTTGATGATATTCATTTGGCTGCCATTTTTCTCTGACATCACGCTCAAGGTAGGAAGCCCAAACACTGTTATGGCATTGGACTGTTTAGTTTTTGTATTGTTTCTTTATGTTTCTGAATGTTAAAATTCAAGAAGAACAAAGGCATGTGGTTTAAAGCAAACATCCTATTGAAGTAAAAGATCAACTATAATGGAAAAAAAAAACATTATTTTGTGATACAGCAACTACATGTTCTCTTTCCAACTGCACAATGGTCAGTCATTAAGGTCTGCAAAATACAACTTAGTGTTGTGTCGTTCATGAACAATTTGTTCAAAGGAAGCAAATCTTTTAAGTAAACTTACTGAACCAAATCACTTCCTCAAGTGATTCGTTCGTTTCTCATTTCAGTTGAGCTGAAGTGAGAAACAGCATTGCCAGGCGAGCAGCTGGCGAACGAAGGACTGCATGCATCAACACCTGAATCACTTGGTGAACGAATCACATATCGAAATAACTCTCTGGAGTTATTTCGGTTGAAAAAAAATCCTTTTTTTCTACTGCTAAATTGCCACCACAACAATTTGCATACAATAGGACAAAGCATGTAACAAGTAGTGTATAAAACCCGCAGCATCCTATCATTGCAGCTGTTTGTGAGGGAATGGTGCATGTTCAGTTTGAATTCTTCTAAACGTTCAGTGAACAAATCACTCACTGAGCCCAATTTACAGAGCAGACCTGACAAATAGCATACTATAGGACAGTACACTTAAAACATCATGACTTATAAACAAGTTTATTTTTACAAACCTGTTTGCTAAAGCAACACAGCCAAACACTCTCGTCTCCCAGTCCCATAAGCTATGAATTGAACTGAATCCTGAATCGTTCAGCTGTGGAGGTCGGAGTCACAGGCTATTCCTGCCAAGCACTGAATGATCCTGTGATTTGGTGAACGAATCTTTTGAACGAATCTTTTTAGTTAACTGATTTTAGTGATTCAGTACATCTAAAACAACTGCTGTGCCCTTCACTAATACAACTAAACTGAAAAATGAGCTATTCAAACACCACTGCTAACCTGCCTTTTACTGTATAAAAAAGTGGGCCTCTATATTAACTGGAGTTTACAGAGGAATAAACAGACCAGCAGATCTCAAGTAACATTTCTATGCAAGAAAAGCCTTGTATGAGAGTTTGGTTGTCTAATTTTTCTGTGAATTCTTACCTTATCAAAACACAGTGTTGGCAGTTGGAGGGAAGGATGTAGCTGAAATAATCAACTCTACAACCTTTATTGTTCCTGCCAGATAATCTGAGCATATGTTGCTTCAAAGGAAGATGCAATAAAAGCATATCAGTTTGCAAATGTCACTGATTTATAGACCCAATTAGCTGATCTGTGGGCTGCAAGCAGAAAAATGCGTATATGCTGCTTCCCTAAACAGTTCGAAATCAGACAGCATTGAAAAGTGCTGAAAATTTTCCCACTTAAGTGTGCGCTCACACTGAAAATAGTGCTTTGGTTTAAGTTTAAAACTTGCTGATTTAGGTAGAGCTGACTCTGAACACTGTCATAGTCAACATGTGTGCCAATGCATGTTGGTTTTCTGATTCAATACAAAGGATTGACCCATGACATACTTCTCTCCATACTTACATCAGCAATACTGAGCCCCTCTCTGTGTCCTGTCTTATATCCGCCTCTGCTGAGATTTATCTGGATGTGCTGACCGCCTTCTGTCAATCTTAAATGTTTAAATTTGATTTGTAACTATCTAATCTTCCTTGTGGCTCATGCTCTTCGTCTCCTCTTTGTCTCTCACACCTTTTACAGATTGTGTGTCGCAGACCTACACCTGCAGTATATTGATCAGAGCCGTTTGCTGAAACAACACAGCGGTGATTAAAGCTTTTGTCAGGGGGAGCAGCATCACTGGTTCGCCCGGATGTCGGTATTTTAGACCTCGACCATCTCAGTTATATAACTTATCTTTGTACTTTTTTTTTCAAGAAACACAGACAGCAGTGTCAAGGAGTATGACACACAGAGCTGAAGGTTAGCAAACACAACTTGAGTTATTTGTGTGATGGGTTAATGTTTTAATATTTGCCCTCAAGTTGCAGCTGGCATGTTTTTTTTTTTTTTTTTTTTTTGGCAGGAAAAGAGCTGCCTGTAACAGCAACTTCATAACAGACTTTACTAATACCGTAGACACTGGTTTTGTTCCGTTTTGGCAGTTTGGACTTGAAGCACACTGAAAATCTTAAACCTGAGTTCAAGCTGTTACTTGTATTTTACTACCATTTATATTTTCATCAGTGCTTTTCTTACAGTGAAATATGAGAATGTGAAAACAGCCTACTTACTTTCAGAAAAAGAAGAGTAGTGGAGACCGGGGCTTGTTGTCACACTTTTTACACTCTTATATATTTCTTGCAATTAATACATCATATATAAACAAAATGTGTACCAGATGAAAGACCAAAGTTCAAAGGTTCAAAGGTTTATTTATTTATACCTTACGGTAAATTTTGTTTGCAGGCAGGAACCCAGCTGTCCAGATAAGACACACATAAAAACAACAATACAACAATCAAGTACAAAAAATGCCAGTCGTTAAGAGCCATGAAATCACATAAAATCTCTCCAGATCCGAACATTTTAATATCTTGTGTCAGTGCAGAGTTATAAGCAATCAAATAGAGAGTGTGAACATGTGACATGTTGCCCCATGTTGTCTCACTACATGGGGTAAGATGTCACAGTGGATTTTGCAGCTAATGAAACAAGGACAAAATTATTGTTCTCATTTTTTTTACATGAAAGGCACAGCCACAGAAAATGTTTATCATTGAGTTAGAAAAAGTCATTGAACAAACGTTACATTAAATATTATGCAACATGCACTGGAGAGAGCTGTCTGACTCTCTATTTCGGCTGGGGTGAATGTTTTCAGTACCGAGCCAATGTATGGTAGTTGACATTAAAGTCCTTTATTGTACTCTAGATGAATTTATTAGCTAGGGTCACCTGCCTGACTGCTCTCAGCATCACGTCAGGCACTGCACTGCCATGTTCTGTTTTTCTTTTGTAATTTCTGACCATGTCTTTTTCTCCTCTCTTTTATACCACTCTCTTCTCTGTAAGTCAAAATTTCAGTATGACAACTGCTGATGAGCAGACTCTCTGTTAACTTTAATCCCTTTTAAACATGTGACAACTAACCCCAAAATGACTGAGACATGTTGCCCCAAACTACCATGTTTGCTAATATTAGCTCGAGCTTAGGGTTAGCTTAAAACAGAACAATGACTGAGGTTTGACAGGATGCCTTAATCTCTCCTCTAACAAGTCCACATGTTTCACTGCTGGGATTTTTATCTGGAAGCAGCTTATCATAAAATATATAAAGTTAAATTTTTTTACTTTGAGTTGTGCGAAATGGTTTATTGGAGCTCATCTCAGCTCTCTGGTGGCAAAGATAATTGCAGTGTGACAACTTACCTGTGTGACAACAAGCCCCAGTTTCCCCTATTTGTAAATTGTTACATCATTTAAATTCATGTTAATAAAACCAAAAACAGATTTTAAATTATTTTATTTTTCTTAACAAGAAGTGTGTTAGGAAGAACATTACGGCTTCTGCCATATTCTGTGAAATATTTTTTTGTCAAATAAATTTTTTAAACTGATTTCTTCACTTTCTGAACTGTGGTTCTTGCTTAAATAGAGCACAACCTCAAACAAATCATGAACAAACTCATGAATGAGTTTGAAAAATGACAAATGTAAAGTTGGACTTGAGCGTGTCATGAATTCTCTGAAAACTGAGACCTCAAAAATATAAAAAACATATCTGCAACCAAAATGAAACCTTGAAATATAGTCTTTGTATATTATGAAAAAGCCCATCTTTCAATTGGACACAAAATATGAATAGCTTATTCATAGTTACCAGGTAGAAGTGACCTTTAAGAGTTCATATGCTATTGATCTATTACTAATGATTGTGCATTTAAAAGAATAATTCAAGTGAAGGCCTCTGTTACAACTTTTGTTCAATCTTAAAAGTTCTAAAATAAATATTTTATCAAACTGGTAAAAAAAAAGAGACGCCCCCATTTAAAGTGCAAATGAACTTGTTCGAGCTTTGTTGTATCTTTTGTTGAATAAGATGACACTAGAAGTCTTTTTGCTGAGAATCAAACTGCAATTGATCTGCCATCAGAGTCAGACAGGTTGTTTGTTTTCTTTCTGTGGTGCAGACAACAGAGAGCTGATTGAACCACTTTAAGATTTAATCAAAAATGTTCAGATCAATCACCCATTATAGTTCCCTGATAACCCACGAGTCTGACTCCTTACCTTTATCACACAGATTCTCGGTGATCGAGAAATCGATACTCAGCCGATGGTTTCCTGCTGTGCTGTTATTTGATCATCTAGTCTGTCCGCGTGACGCAGCTTCCCGGAATCAGTGTCTTGGGGGGGTAACGTGAAGCTTCACCCCCCAACACACTGATAATGGTTTATGATTTGTCCTTCAAAAAATCGCACACGCAGACCATTGCGCACGAAGGCGTCTCCAACTGCGCTTTTTTGTGCACGAAGACTGTGAACCTGATATTACATCGAGATATTGTCATTACTTTTGAGTATTTGAAGAAGATAAAACCGAATATAAATGAGGGAAAGTCTCTTTTTTTTAAACTTTTTGTCATTCGTTTGGTCATATCTGGTCAATTTACATTCCCAAAAAGTAATATGAAAAATCGGTCAGTTGGCAGCTGCTTTTCACTTCACCGATCATTAATGTTTTTCAACTAACGATGCTGATGATGCTCCAGCTGATATAAACATAAACATAAATCATAACCGATAGACTGACTAACAAAACTCTTAAAATAGTAAGTGAGCTGTGCTATTTTATCATCTTAATCAAAGCTGTTTCACTTTTAAATGAGGCAGGATTTCGACTAGTTTCCAAAATTAAAGGGAGATGGGTCAGCCATTCTCACCCCCTGGTAAACTCCCACAGCCCTTATCACCCTCTAATCTTTGTGAGTGTACTTCCATTGTTTTGCTGATTGTGCGCATCCGCCAAACCTTTATATGTCAAACCAGAGCTTACATGATGATATCCATGCAGCTCTCTGCGCCGATGGTCTCAGAGTTTTCCCTCTTGGCATCCACTCACAAAAAAGCTATTGTGTTTTAGACCACAAAAATCTGATCATCCGAAGTTTTTTTTTCTTTTCAAAGTAAAATTTGTTACCGCCTGTGGACACAAAGATCCCCAGAGGTTGCACCGGACAGGTCATCTGCATCCATCCTTTAAAATCGCAGGGTTGTGAACAACCGCCTAGTTTTTCATGACATCCAAGCCTGCATGCGTAACACTCGATAACCACACTGAGAGGATTTCAGAGGACTTGGAAAGACAACCTGGCAGCAGCTCTGAAGAGGTTGGGATTTTTTTTCTTTTATATGGATAATTCTGTGCTCTCTTTGCGTCTTTAGGGTGCTGAATGGTTGGCACAGCAGGCCCGGTGATTTCTTTGAAATATATGTGAGTCTCAAGCGGACTGGGGCCTGGGATCACCCAAGACTGAAACAATATCTCCCATTTTTAGTGACTCAGCGAGAGGGTTACCCGACCAGATATTTCACTTTCAGGGTTACCAGATGAGAATGGCATCTATCAAGTCCATCCTAAGCGAAACTGGACATTGACACTCCGCGTGGCCACTGAGCCGGACCTTGAAGATTGAATGAGCATGTTTGGCACGGTACCTCCTCGCCTGAATCCCCACCTTGTAGCCACAGGTTACGCACCTGGCCTCCCTCAAATGCACTTATAGCGCGCGGCTTTGACTTTCTTCTCCTCTCGGCACTGCTGATTTTCCAACATTTCTCTCACCATGGTGGAGCACAACGGCCTGGACATTATGTGCCTGAACAAATACTGTAACAGTTCATCCTCATCGTCCAGCTCCGAGCAAGACAAGAAGATTTTTTCCAAGTTGAGACTCAGTTTATCAGAGGATTACCCGAGGAAAAACGCAGAGATCCTCAGCGGCCAGTACGGCACCAATGTGCTGCTGATCGGGGCGGCGTTGATGCTCGCTATTGCGCACCATGGCCCATCTGTCAAAGAGGAGCACCTGTTGTCCTTCGTTGCCTGCCTGATGATGCTCCAGCTGATCTGGATGATGTGGTACATCCTGGTGCGGGACAGACAGAAGAACACGCGGACTGACAAAGATGTTCACGCAACTACGTGCTGGATTAGAGGTAAATCTAAGGATTACGCACAAATTTTAAAGTTGAAATTCAATGTTTCTCTTTTCTCATTCTTGGAGATTACAAAAGCAGAGATTTTTTTCCTGCATGTCTTTACCACAGAAACAATTTTGATAAAACCTTAAGTGTGTAGGCTGTTAAAAGTAAGGAAATCTGAAATCTAGCTTGTTTTCATATACAGTCAAATAAATTCACACGTTTTCTTGAATACGTGGCAACTACAACTTTATCTTTATTTTTTTCCTCTTTACAGGTGGTTTGACTCTTCTCGCTCTCCTCTCCCTCATCATGGACGCTTTCCGAATCGGGTATTATGTTGGCTATCAGTCTTGTGTGTCGGCTGTTCTCGGGGTATATCCTGTCATTCATGCGACTCACACCATAGCGCAGGTAAGTTTACAACCCTACTTTAATTTCAATAAAGTGATAATCTTTCAGCTGCTTTAGACACCGTGTCTTTTTTCCAGGCAGGTCTTTGAATAATGTGCTCTTTGTTGCTGAGGCAAGTACAGAGTTGCTGCAACAATATAATCCTGTCATTGTCCATGATTTTCAAGTGCAACTGCATACATCCAGGGAAGACTGGTTTATCAAAAGAAAAAGTTCCATTCAGCTTTTACTTATGAGGAATAGTTTGCCTGAGTTACTTGATCATTTTTATCTATTTCTGTTTAGGTGCATTTTCTCTGGTTCCACATCAAGGATGTCATCAAGAGCTTTGAAACATTTGAGAGGTAATTTTACGCCAACAGTTAAATGTTACGACCCCCATAAATCAACAAACAAAACATGAAATAGCTGTCATAAATACTCTTCAAGCAGACACATTAAAAACTACTAAGTGAGTGATCTTCAACCTTGTTTTTGATTGTTTGACTTCTCAGATTTGGTGTAATCCATGCTGTGTTTACCAACCTCCTCCTATGGTGCAACGGTGTGATGTCAGAGGCTGAACACTTCTTGAACAACCACAAGAGAAGGCTCTCTGCCCTGGGCTACGGAAACCTCAGCATAGGTAAGGGCCAAGGGGTCGATTGCTGGCTTGTACCTGGAGGAAAAGTACAATAGTCCACTTGAGAGCTCACTTCAATGGATGAAAGAAAAAGGGAGGAGAGGAGGGTCTGTGAGGGGGAGAAAGGTTAGCCCAGCAGCCCAGTGGGTCTTGTTTGTGTCGAACGTCCCTCTATTAGGTTTCAGGAGACAAACAGTGGTGCTAGCACTGAGGCCCCCCTCCTCAGCCTTTTCCCCACACTTAAAGCCTCCACCACCCTCCTTGGCCACCCCCTGCTTGACCTCAGACGGCTTTGTCCTCAGGCCGCTTATTCCCAAGGGTGCTGCAATTACAGTAACTGATACATCTAAGCCCAGGGTTGGGGGGTTCAGCTGCTCCTCCTCATATCCGGCTGACTATGAGGCTGGCTGCACCCTGACTGTTGTTCCCTTTTTAATTAAAGGGTGCAGTAACATGGTGGTGGCCTCTGGTGGGTGAGGGGCGGGGGGGAGATGAGAGGGGGCACACGGCAGGTTTTGTTATGATGGTCACCAGATGGCAACAGCGGTAACTTTCAGCTGTAGAGAAGAATTACAAGAATTCAGATCGAAAGCTATGCTTTAAATGTTGTAAAAGTCACCATACTACAGTTAATCAAAAAACAAAAAGCTATGGTCGCGTATGTTTTAAAATGAATCGAAATTACAACAACGTTCTTATATTTATGTGCCAAAACTTGTCTGCAGCCCTAAGGCAATTAAGATGCAGCTCAAGCCCTAGGTCCTTCTTTTTACTGTTTGCGAGGGACAAAAACGTGTGCCAAATGTGCAAAGGGCCCCCACTCTATTAAAAAAAAAAGGAAAACAAATAAACAGAAAACAACAAATAACATGAGGGTAATAGAAAGGGATGCATTATATGAACGTTTTGGAGCCAAGACTACTTTCTTAAAAATAACCAGATTTTGATGGCCAATACTAATAAGATGCACATCTGAAAGTCAAAAAACAAAACATTCATGTTCATAACTTACTTAACTGATCAGCTCCTCATTTATCAGATGCACCTCTGGTGTGTTAAAATGTCTTGGTTAGGTTAGGGTTATCTTGCAGCTTTTTAAAATTTGTTTGCACCTGCAAAAAAATTATACACAGGGTATGAAAGCACAGAGGAAATGTGCTACAGGATGTGGAAAACTGGGATGCACAAAGATATACACAGATTGGTCATAACATTTATGACCACTTGTGCAAACTTGTAATCCAATACAACAGCTTGACCATAAACTCAACATTCATGAAGCCTTTGCAGTTTTATTTTTCCAGTCATGTTAGAAAGTCTCAGGAACCTTGCAGTGAGAAGGCTTGTTGCAGAAGATGAATGCTCAAAATTTGATTTAAAGAGTTTGAAAGTTTGAGTATGACCTGAATTTACTGCATTACCAACACTAACAAACTCCGCTTCGGTCAGCGGTGCTCCAAAAAAAAGTCAAAAACAAGTGTTTGTTGTGCACTCAGTGAGGTCAAGGGAAGATTACACTTTTTACCTTTTCTTGAGAATGAAGTTCAGAAATTATACTTCTTCTAAAATGTATTTCCTAATACATATATTTCATTCTTGTTTCTATTTTAGAAATCATGCATTTTGTTTCTCACATGTTCTGGCAGCACATTTATTTATCCTGTAAAGGACGGATGTGTAATGATGAACACTGTCTCAAAAGAAAAATAAGTAACTCATCATTCTGTCATGTTTCTAATTCAGTTCTGTGTGTTTGTTTGTTTTTCAGTTCACTCAGATCCTCACTGTAACTGCACCACCAGCACTTGCTCCATGTTCTCCAGCAGCCTTTACTTCCTCTATCCTTTCAACATTGAATATCATATCTTCGTTTCCGCCATGCTCTTTGTTATGTGGAAGAACATCGGACGGACTATTGACCTCTCTGTAAACCAGAAAAGGCTGGCCACCAAAACCCAGAACCTGACTGTAGGCCCCATTCTGGGTCTACTAGCGCTGGCAAGCACTATCGGGATCCTGGTAGTCTACATCACTCATGTAGAGGAGTCCCTTCAAACACGTCAGTCAGCTATTTCCATGTTCTACATTTACGGCATTGTCATGCTGGTGTTCATGAGTTCTGCTGGTGCCTCAGGTCTGCTCATCTACCGGGCAGACCACGTGCCACTGGACACCAACAAGAACCCTTCCAGACAGCTGGACACAGAGCTTCTCTTTGGGTCCTCTATTGGCTCCTGGCTCATGTCTTGGTGCAGCATAGTAGCTGTGTTGGGCTCCAACAGCAATCCACCATATCGCTGGACCAATCTAGTCTATTCTCTGCTCATTGTGCTGGAGAAGTATGTCCAGAACCTCTTCATCGTTGAGTCTCTGTATCGTCAGCAAGAGGACAGGGAGAGGGACAACCCTGAGCTACCGGCTGCTCCAGAAATCTTTTCGGTGACGTCCTCTTTGGCGCCGCCTTACAACGGCATCATCAACCGTGCCTATGAGACCCCTGACAGGCCCTGTGTTACGATTGAAAATGAGCAGGAGGAGATAGGACAGGTGTACAGGTGTCCGAGAAAACCCTCTGAAGTGCCGCTGACTGTTGGGAACAAAGAGGTGGAGCCCCGAAACATAAAGAGGCAAATCCTGAAGAACATTGCAGTATTCCTGCTGATGTGCAACATTTCGGTAAGCGATTGTTCTGCTCCTGGTTTAATTCAATGAGGTTAAGTAGGTATAATGTACAGGTAATTGCAACCAATAAGCTGTTTTTCTCTTCAAAGGCAGGGCTTCTATTAAAATCAACTATTTGGGCCGTGAAGGCATTTAATCAAAACCAAAAACAGGTTTATAAAGAAGTACATAGCTGTGATCCAGAAATTGCCTTCATTTTTGCCTTCATTAAATTTGCTGTAATAAATAATGTAATGTAATATAAAAAAAGAGATTTATTTAAGTAATGTGAAAAGAATGCAAAAAAAAAAAAAAAGCCACAACGGAAGTTAATGACGCAAAGTGGAAAGGTTATTGTTTAATTTCGCTTTGTAAACTTTTCAATGTGTCATTTGGTTTGGCCTTGTAGCCACCAAGTCGATATGAAGTTGATCTGAAGGATGCCGGTGTAGTGTTAGCTTCAGTTCACCTTCATATCGACTCAGGCGCTACATGGCCTAACCAAATGACACATTGAAAAGCACACAAAGCGAAATTAAACAATTACCTTTCCACTTTTTTTGCTCATCTTTTCGCTGTCGTCTTCTGTGCCTAGATCGTAAAACACCGGTGCATCATCATTATTGGTCCCCGGCAGCTCACTTCCATTGCGGCTTTTTCAAATTTGCATCCTTTTATTTTCGCAGTATTATTTTTTTTTTCCATCGCTACTTTTTTTTTTTTTTTTTTTTTTTTGCGTCATGAACTTGCGTTCTTTTTTTATTTGCAGCAGTGGTGGTTCCTGGCCACCGTACTTTTTAGGTGAAAACTCTGTTAAAAAAATAACACACTCCTAGAGCCAGGTTTTTCCTGTAGGGTGATTGTGAAAGTGAATGAATTTTAGATTTTCATTGATAAAGCTTCATCAACAGGACTTGAATGCAAAATAAATGAAGCAAAGAGGCAAATATTGGCTCCCATTTGCCACTTCAAAAATTGATAACTGGTTTATTATTTGTGTGTACCTTGTTGGCCTCCAAGTAGCTAAATACCACTGGATGCAGCTTTAATAATTCAGACCTTTGTCTTCCAGCTGTGGATCCTTCCTGCCTTTGGCTGCCGGCCACAGTATGACAACGGGTTGGAACAAGAGACATTCGGCTTCAACATATGGACCACAGTTCTCAATTTCGCCATTCCCTTGAACCTTTTCTACCGGATGCATTCGGTCGCCTCCCTCTTCGAGGTGTTCCGCCGAGTCTGACAGCATAACAGATGACTGACAATGCCTGATAACATTCACAGGAACACTTGTCACCACCGGCTCCCCAGAGTGTGTCTCACAGCACAGGTCAAGCGTTCCGGAGGCAGTCTGGGTCACACTTTGACAGACATGAAAGCAAGCCGTGGAGAAAACAAAATATAGATCCTTCAGTGCGGGAATAACAGGAAAACCAGCTTCTTAGCCGATATTCCTTGAAGAAATCCCTTGATGAGTGTGGACTCATGAATGAAAAGACTCTTTGGTTTTAACTATTTGAAAGAGCCCTTTATACTCTTTGTTTTACACACTTCTGTAGGTTTCTTTTTCTGGTGCATCATGTCACATCTACGGGCTGCATTTTATGTTAAAAAACAGTCATGTTGGTAACACTTTACAACAACCATAATTTATACATGGTAAATAGATAGTTTATTAATGTTTAATCATCATTTAAAAACAGCAAATAGACCAATCATAAATGGCAAATAGTTAGTTTATTAATGTAAGTTAATAGTTACTCAACCATTAAAAGCAATGAAATTATGATTATTAATGGACTATTTATTAAAGGTTTATATAGGGTTTAAATATTGGTTGTAAAACATCTAGGTTAAAATGTGTGTCAGTAGCACTTTGTCATTGCTAAATATTTTGTTTTTAAACCATCTATAACATTAATTAGATGGTTATTGTAAAGTTAGGGTTAGGGTTAGGTTTTTAAAATTGTAAAAATTTACAATTCATTGATGGTCTATATGCTGTTTATAAATGACAATTAAACATTAATAAACTATCTGCTTACCATTTATAAATGGTGTATTTACCATTCATAAGTTATGGTTATTGTAAAGTGTTACCGTCATGTTTCATATAAAATAACTAATAATGCATCAGAGATTACAGCTGAACAGACAGACCACTGGAATGCTGGTTAGTCTGAAATACCTGAAGAGTATAACAACTGTACTGTACTGTTTCACTGCTCTATCAGTGAACCCTTTTGCCCTTGTTTTACCTGCAGGTGGAGTTTTCAGCTTTATGTGGATGTGGTTCTCTTTCATTCCTGAACAGTTTAAGTATTTAAAGGGACTGAGGAAACAAAGAAATCAACAATCCTGGCACTACATTTAGAATAACGTTATGAGTTGGTATAAAGTTCTCAGACATGGCACCTGTCTGTGTCGGTTTTTAAAGGGTTCATCAGTGCCTTATGATACTCTGTTGATCTGTTCCATCAGGTTGCATGGTAAGTATTGCGTTACTGTAAAATTATAAACTAGACAGCACTATTTTGAATATGATGCAGTCCTGTGTTCTTTATTTTGAGAGGTATGAGGTGAGAAAGTTTGTTTCAGAATACATCTAGGATTATGAAACTATTCAGAAACATGAAGTATGCTTGTGGGAAAAAATATAACTGTGATCATGACTTCTCTTGCAGACTACAAATCTTGGTTAGGATTTGCAACAGCAACAAAAACATCCCAGTCTGTGAAATCCCCTTCATCCTCTCATGCTGAACACTTTTCCATCAAAACAATGTATCAGCTGATCCACCAAATTCTCAACCTGGTGCTACTCACTGTATATGTTCTCAATATGTGTTCTCATGATGTGCCAATTCATGGTAGAGTCCTCTTTGTTTAAGGTGCAAAATGCCATATCATAAAATTTTTGTAAATAGTGACAGAGTAATCAAAATCAGCCAGATACTGTGATACGATTTTGTGAAATTGCAATAAAGTGGTGCTCATTTAAAATGATGTGTACAACAGTGATGAAATGTGTATCTTTTTACAATAAAGAATACTTTTTCCACCCTGTCACATCTCTTTTTTATTACATCTCGTTATTATTATACAATACAATACATACCGATAATATCTTTGCATATACTTTCTTGCTCCTGCAGAAATTCTAAATGGGCATCAGTTGTTCTTTTTTACCACGGGGTGGCGCTACGGATTTATAATTTCAGTGGTTTGTTAAGGCAGCCCAGTTGCGCTTGTATTTGTGAAACTACAGCCTGGATTATTGTGACACCAAACTCTCGGGATATCCTGCTTCATCCAGGAATCGAAGTAAAACCATCCAGTCAAATGGAGTATACAGAATCTCAAATAAAATGTTTACGATTTAATACGGCATACTGCTACATCATGGGTTAATGAACATTTCTCCAGATTATTTCATGTTTTATATATCAGATTGTTATATATCATTTTCTGAAACCCTGATCAGTCAAACGGTCAGCATCTTATTCTCTCTTGTAGTCATGATTTTCTGTGCTCATGTTTCCTTGCTGACAGACTGCCTCTTGACATGACATCCTGAGATTATAGGTTAGTCCACAGAATTTGGCATCGGGCGTCGGGGGATTATTTTGACGTTGTGTCACAACGATTTGAGAGGCACACAGACACATCTAAAAATATCCGTGACGTTACAAAGCCGGAAAGGGCTCCGCTGCTGCAGCTGCACAGTCACACACACACACACACACACACACACACACACACACACACACACACACACACACACACACACACACACACACACACACACACACGGTGGCACAGAGGGCGCCTGGAGTTCCTGGTACATCGTGATAACTGCGCGCGTATGTGTATGGCACACGTGTTTGGAAATCTGTAAAAAGTGTTTTAGTTGTGACCTTCAGTTGTCAGCAGAGTGGAAGATGCACTGATCGTAAGAGATTCAATGACTTGGGGCGTGATGGATTAGATTATTCCTACTTTGTGGCAGAAATGCTGTCAAAGTGGTGTTGGTATCTCAAGTGCGGCTAGAAGTTTTGCTTTTACTTTTACGAAAATCTTACAAATAGTGATTCATGTTTTGAAGGTGCAAAAACACTGAATATTCATGCGTCAAAATACTCTTGTGAGACAGACAGACAGACAGACAGACAGAGGTATTGTCCTTCAGCTTGTTAGACTTTTCAGCACCATGGACAGCTCCGTTGGTGAGAATACTTCCTTGTGTAAGAGTCTAATATCTATTACAAGTACTGGTATGTAAACTATAAGTGTGCCAGATTGTGCATTTATCTGTTTAGACCACACACAAACAACTTCACACGTCCTTTTTCTTACCCAGATATCCTGTGTTTAAAAAATATACTCATGCGCAAAGGGCTCGATGTATGCCAACCGACCTTGTAATATTGGACCCTTGAAATAAATTAAAAAAGATGTTGAGGGGTTGCTCATCTCTTGTCTCCATCGCAGTGCACAGCTGTGCGTAATACCACGCTCAAAGAAGGCGTGATGAGGTCTGCCCCCAGCCCAGGCTGGATTAGAGTGTGTGAGGATAGACGGGACTCCCTCCTCATCCACATTGCGCAGGACATCGTGGACACAGTAGTATTCACAGAAGTAGCCGGGTCAGACTATCGGTCCGGCAAGGCTGCAACATGCGCTCACCGCTACTCGCTACGTTTCAGTCCCTCAGCGCACCTGGGACGTGGCTTGTATCAGTTTTAACGCACTCTCTCCTGTCACTCCGTCTGTTTTGCACTTTAGATCAGGCTGTCATTGGAGTGGGACAATGGGGACAACACGGTGAAAAGCTAAAAACTGCGCCCGTCCCCGCGCACCGAGAAATGTTCTGCGGTTTCACTTGAGGAGCAACATGGAGAACCCCGCCAAGTATCTGTCATCGGTGCAGGGGATTGACTCTGCGCCGGCACACCTCGGAGAGATAATGCGGAACAGCACCGAAACGGAGGCGAGAAATGACTGGAGAAAGGACATGGTTTTGCGTACTGTGACGGGCTGCCTGCTGTTCCTTCTCATCCTGTGGACTCTGTTAGGGAACATCCTGGTTTGCGCTGCGGTGCTGCGCTTTCGGCACCTGCGGACCAAAGTCACCAACATTTTCATCGTCTCCCTGGCTCTTTCGGACTTATTCGTGGCCCTTCTTGTAATGCCATGGAAAGCGGTGGCAGAGGTAGCAGGCTACTGGCCGTTCGGCACTTTTTGTAACGTTTGGGTCGCTTTTGACATCATGTGTTCCACCGCGTCTATCCTAAACCTCTGCATCATCAGCGTGGACAGATACTGGGCTATCTCAAGCCCCTTTCGTTACGAGAGGAAGATGACCCAGCGAGTTGCCTTTGTAATGATAAGCATCACTTGGACGCTCTCTGTGCTCATTTCATTCATACCGGTCCAGCTAAACTGGCACAAAGCCAGCGGTGACGACATGGCTGGGACGCACAACTCTTCCTCTTCGATTCGTCAATTGGAAGAAAACTGTGACTCCAGCCTGAGCAGAGAGTATGCGATCTCATCGTCATTGATAAGTTTCTATATCCCCGTGGCAATTATGATTGTGACCTATACCAGGATTTACCGGATTGCACAAATACAAATAAGAAGAATAGCCTCTCTGGAGAGAGCAGCGGAGCACGCGCAAAGTTGCAGGACTAACAGAATAGAGTGTCAACACCACAACACCTTGAAAACGTCGATAAAACGGGAAACCAAAGTGTTCAAAACCCTCTCAGTGATCATGGGTGTGTTTGTGTGTTGCTGGTTACCCTTTTTCGTTCTAAACTGCATGGTCCCGTTTTGTGAAAAACCCACTACAGACCGGGAAGCAGGTCTGCCGTGCGTCAGCGAGACCACTTTTGACGTTTTCGTGTGGTTTGGCTGGACGAACTCCTCCCTGAACCCCATCATTTACGCTTTTAACGCCGAGTTTAGGAAGGCCTTCGCGAGCCTCCTCGGCTGTCGCAATTTCTGCTCAAGTACGCCTGTGGAGACTGTCAACATCAGCAACGAGCTGGTCTCATACAACCAAGACACTCTCATCCACAAGGAAATCGCGAACGCCTACGTCAACATGATCCCCAACGTGGTTGAATGTATCGAGCACGAGGAGACTTTTGACAGGATTTCACAGTTTTCCCACAACATCGAGAATGCCACCGACTCCATTTGTGACTTAGAGGACTGCGAGGCAGACATAAGTCTTGACGGGATGTCACCGTTCACACCTAACGGATTACATTGACTCAAACTGAGTCTGTGCGTAATTGGATGTATTGATAATATCACCATCGCATAACTCATTCCGTTCCATAATAGTCTGACAAGCCCCTCTCCCATGGGTCAGGGTCTAATGAGGGATCTGGTGACATGCTCATGGACACTTAAGCAGAGCCCTGAAGCCACCCTGCTGCTGCTGCTTTGCGTCATAAATGACACGTGATGTTGTCCTGTGATGTTTAGGTGTTGATTTACTTGACAAGTGAAGTTTGTGTTCATTTGTTTAGTGTATTTGAAGCTGTTGTTCACTCAAATGCGTTATTCAGAGCGTCCATACCTCATGTGAATCCACTTTGAGTCAGGGGTAGGGGGGGATGTTTGTAAAGACATAATGGAAACTTTTGCTGCTTAAAAACCTCATGTGCATCCAGTGCCCACTGTCTATTGTGTATGAAAACTGAGGGCCGCCTTATAGACATTACAGTTCTATTGAAATGCAGTCATTCCAGCGCCTTACAGCTTATTCAGGCAGAAGTTATGAGACACATCAAGGAATGTTTTGTACAAAGTTTGAGTTAAATGATGCCAAATGCAGTGTTAAAAGTGTTTATCTGCTGCACTTATACCCTATTACTACCCAAGCACACATGCTCCATCAGATTCAGATGGGCTAGGGGCGTTGATGGAGCCACAAATGATCTTGCAAAATGAACTGCTTTTAATTCATAAAAGTGAGCTTGTTTACACTGACATCACCGATCCAGATTGAAGTTTGTTGAGAAAACAAAAATTTACAAAACTGTTGCTCTTCTCTCTCTCTCCCTCTTTCTTGCTTTCTCTTTGTAGTTATTTATCACTGAGGCCAAAATGACTGAATGGTTCTGCTTTGTCAGGTCATACTGATCAATTGATTGAAGAGAAAATCAAAACCAGTCACTTCTTTTAAAGATGTTGCCAGGAAAAATGAGGAACTAGTACATTAGTAAACCATCAGTCACTAAGTCCTTATCAAGTTCTATGGAAATGAGAATGCTTGGTTTTATGATGAAATATTGATTTGTTTATCAGGAAACAAAGAATGGGTGAGGAATAAACCAGGAACATCTCTCACATCAATAAACATTATCATAAGTGCTTTCCTAATAGTTCCTAGAGAACAGACCAGAGGATCCAGTATCAATGAAGCAGTAGGTATTGATTAGTTTATAGATGTCTGTAAAAGCCTTTATTCGGAATACTTTTTGCACAAGTCATTTACAAGTAACTCTGCAAATACCAGGCCTGCCTCGTAAGTATTCGTATTAGCCTGTATTATCATATTTTTCACCATAAACAGTGTTTTTATGAATAGTTTTTAAATATTCCAACACTTAACTTCAAAATATTTGGATTATTCACTCTTTAGTCAATAAAAATTGTGCACCACAATGTGTGGTGGCAGTAGCCATTACGGGAGCCAATACAAAAACTTACGAGGCAGGCCTTGTATTTGCAGATGGAAACATGTTTTTTTAAAACCATTATTATGATCATTGTTATTTTTTACATTCAATCTATCAGTAGTTCCTGCTTTTCGAAAGAAAAAAAATACATTTTTTTATTATAAAGTTCCAACAATAGAGCTAAAACTAAACTTTCCAAAAAAATCAAGAGCAAATGAGACATAATTTTACTTCATATGAAGGAGGAGAACATCACATTTATCCAGAATAAAAAGCGGACAAACTAGAATGTGAGTTAGTGCAAGTCCACTTTTTTTCCTGAACATTAAGTCAGTGGAAGGGAACACCGCGTGAAAACATGAAAAATTCATAGCTGTCTATTCTTTTTTCATGATAATTTATTAAAGGGACATTTGCCTAATGTGCATTAAGTGAAGAATGACTATCCAAATAGCTGCAAACAGATAATAAGCATGCAAGTTTCATGTCAGCCAACACCTGCAGAGAAATCATTTAGTGCACAAACTGACACACCTACTATCTCCACAGAGATATGACATTTGTGTTTTGCTAATTGTGCAATCAGAAATGCATCATACAGAAAACACCCAGAATTCAAACAACATGTATATAATTATGTTGTCTGCATATTCATTCTTTTTATTTGCATTACAGGGTATCAAGCTCCAAAAACAAAGGAATCCCTGAAGCAATGATTGAGCACTTATTTACCACCCTGTCCAATCCAGCACTCTACAAGCACTGGGGTCTACTTATCCACCTACTAATCCCTGTTATGTGAAAGCACAAAACAGCAACTCATATATGAGAATTTTTGTAACTACTTCTATTCATTTCAGAGCTGTTATAACTACTCTGTTATCACAAATATACTGATCATTAGGTTAGCTGCTACACTTTAAAATAACTGATTATGGCTCAGTATTTGTTACTTCCTCATGCTTTCCTTTGTCCTCTCCAGAAAACCTTGCAGAATCTATTACAAAGTGTGACCAAAATATAAGGGCCATCTCCAGTAACCAAAGATTTCAAGGAGTAAATCAATAACTCTGACACAGTAAGGCTGACATGCTTTGTTAGCTTGAAATATCGTTGATATAGAAAGCTCACACCTACCTACAAGCTACTGGGGCAACACATCTGTATGCTAATACATCACCTCTTCCACTCCTAGTTCTATCTTTGTACTGTACAGATGACCTGATCTGAATGTAAACTGATGTCCTTTAAAGTGTGAAGTGTCATCATTTGTCTAATAAAATGCTGTCACGCTAAGAAGAAGAGAGTGCTCTTTTACTTTCCTGAAGGTGACAGAAGAGTTTACGCTTTACCTCAAAAGGGATAAACATCTCAAGGTTGGAGGATTTCCACCTCCAGTTTCACTGTCATTTTGCCACACTCAGCAGGGACTTTACACTCATGCATATGCATGTATGACCTTCATGCTTTTGAGAGTCTTTAGAGGATGTCACATTTTGCCATTTGACCAGCCTGGCAGAAGTGAGAGACAGCATGGATTGGCAGTGAAACAGAGGGCAAGAGACAACTTGCAACAAAGGTTCACAGTCAAACTTTGGATACTGATGTAACATGTATCTTATGTTTCTGCTCCTGCAAGACTTTTTCCTCAGATGGACTCTCTTCCACAAGCTTACACAGATGATCCAGAGGCAGAGGTATGTAATTCAATAAAACATGCAAACACACCCCAGAAGCAGATTTGCTTTGCACACACTCACATCTATTCTTAGCCAAGTGCCCATACTTAAACATAACAATATCAATACTTTATAACCTTCTCTCTAGCAGAACGTAAGACCATTGAGAGGAAAATAAATAAATAAATAAATAAAATAAAATAAAATAAAATAATAATAATACATCAGATTTCATATTGAGCTTTTTCAGAGACCCTCAAAGCACTTTACATTGGATACAACGTTCATTCGCTCACACAATCACACCCTGGTGGTGGTAAACTACCTTCGTAGTCACAGCTGCCCAGGGACTCTAGCTGACTTGTACACAGGAGTTGATGAAAATGATTCGCAGAGGCTGGCTTTACGAACTTACCCTAAGGGTTAAGACTGGATGACGTAGTTTGGCTCTGTGCTTCGCAGGAGGAGGCACTAGAAGAGGAGGAGAGTAGAGGAGAGCATAGGGTCGGTCCACTGGTAGAATTACTTAAAATCATACAATTACTCACCTGACAGGAGTTAAAGGAGAAAATCTCGCAGCTCGCTGTGCACCAGGAAGGAGTATTAAGCTGCTGCTGACTGGGGCTTGATGGTCTGCAGCTGTGCCTGACAAGAGGAAATCAAGACATACAAGAACAAGATTAAGGTCATTAACATGTGGGATTAGAGCTATTATCTTGCAAGAACATAGTTTTAATGTCGTGAAAAAAAGTTACTGACAGGCTGTGGTAAACCTCTTGATGCCTAGGACGTTGTGCTTGATGTATTGGGTATCCAGTCATTGAGGAAATGTATACCAAAGTTTAACTTCACAAGTCTGTCCAAGTTCCTTATTTTAGCACAAGCAGCCGGCTGCTCTTCTGTCCTTCCCCTTCAAAACAACATAAAGGCTAACCCTTGACAAGATTTAAAGCTTCTTCCTCAAGATTTTACGACTTTATTACCATAAAAGTGTGACTTTATTGTTGTGTTTTTATGACTTAATTTCTGAAATCTCCTTTTTTTCTGGTTCAACATAGCTCCATTACTCTGCGGTAGTTCAAGTTATAATTGAAAAACCCAGCTGCTCAACACACAACAGGCGTATCGGCACAATGTATTACCATAAAGAAGGATGCAAAGAATAAACAAAATATTTTCATTCATTCCTCTGGTTCAGTTTTAGTGATGAAAATGAATTAGCTTACAAAATTCAATACAAGATCAGTGTGTTTTAAATTGAAGAAACCTATTGAAAGATGCGTGATTGACATTATTCAAATTGGATAATAATTTAATACACTGAAATAACACAAAATAACTGGTTATCTACTGTAGCTGGCTGATGTACGTCATGTAAGGTACCAACTGTAGTTCACTGTGGCCTTTCACGCTACCTGATCAGTGTCTTTATGTGACAATTTACTGTCGAACCCAGGAGTGAGCCCAGATGAGGTAAAAGGTTTGCAAGAGGTTCATTGGTATTGAGTTGAAGTTGGACGGTGAAACAGGCTCCAGTTGACTGAGTGGTAAATTTGACTTCAGCTGACTTGTACACAGGAGTTGATGAAACTGCTTCACAGAGGCTGGCTTTACAAACTTACCCTAAGGTTTAAGACTGGATGACGTAGTATGGCGCTGTGCTTCACAGGAGGAGGGACTAGAAGAGGAGAGGAGAGGAGAGCATAGGGTCGGTCCATTGGTAGAATTACTCAAGATCATACAATTACTCACCTGACAGGAGTTATAGTAGACAATCTCGCAGCTCGCTGTGCACCAGGGAGGAGTATTAAGCTACTGCTGATTGGGGCTTGACAGTCTGCAGCTGTGCCTGACGAGAGCTTAAGCCCAAAGAAACCACACCTCCAGCCTCTAAAACTGAAAGAGCAAAAAACACAACCTTACTTAAACTGATAACAACAAAACATCCACCAAAATACAAGACATAAACACAGAAATCCAAACCTCAATATCTACCCTCCTTATCACTATGACCAACCTGAGGTCCCTTTTTAAAAGGTTTGCACCACCAACTCCTCCGAAGAACACACATTAATTGAAACACCAGGATCAGTCATCCGTTTGTATCAAGCTCACAGCTTTAGTCTATTAATGACATGAAATTAAATTGAATCTTATGTGTGAATGAAACCTTTGGTTAATTATTAGAGAATTTGTTTTGAGAAAGGTTTGTTATAAATAATGAATGGAAAGTGCAATATTTTCCTGCAATTGGTAGGTATTGCCAGTTTGTTTAAAGACCTACTCTGATGAAAATCATGTTTTTCTTGTTGCCTACATGTTCATACGGCATTTGTATGATGCTAGAGGACATATCATTAGAAAACTATTCACAGAATTGCATTTCTGAGTATTTCTGCATTTAAATCGCTGTGAACCTCTGGCAGACCCAAAGGCAGGTAATTTTCTATGTCATAGATCCAAGCTCTGCCCCCGGCGCCCCGCTCTGCAGGTCAAACCCTGAGAAGCAGAGAGGACGGTTGTAGATCACGTGGGTGTGTGGTACGGATTGCAATGCTTGTGAGAAAGCTAATTATGATTTTAGCTTTCACCATGCCCCCAAAGACATTAGTGTCCAAGAGTTAAATAGCTCCTATGTTACCTGCCACTTCTGTTGCACCAGCAATGTTAGGCTGCAAGCTAACGTGAAGACGAGTGTGCAGAACAGTGCTGTCTCCATCCACAACTTAAAGTTGAATTGCTAATGAGCTACTGGAGCTCTGCTGAAGAAAATCCCCTGAAAATGACACAAGTAGTGGGTTTCTGCTGAAAAATTCACAATCATAATTTAAAGACCACTGAGAACACTTTAAATAGTTAAAAAAAAAGATTGGAGTGGAACTTTAAGAATGAACTTTTATGCATGCTGTTGGGCAAGTAAAGCCACATCTTGTTCATAGTTTTTTTTCCTTTGGTGCCCATGCTTCTATAAAAAGTTTGATACTAAATTATATTTGATTTCAGATCAACATACCAGGAACAGCTAAACAGTGCATTTTGTATAAGTGGGAACTACACAAAAGCCTACATATATTGCAGGGGTGAAAGTTTGCATATCACTGTGTACCGGCTGTAAACTGCTGTTTATGTCCTCCCGGTACGGCAAACCGCTGCGTACCGGCTTACTTTGTCCCCTGGTTATTAGCACTCCAGCTAATGCTGTGTAATGGAAAATTTTGTATTTGGTATTTGTAAAGCTTTTTCATGTCTTCTGTTCACCTAAAGCCTTTTTTTCATTACATGTAATATTCAACCATTCACACCACATTCATACACAGATAGCAGAGTCCACTACATAGAGCATCCATCAATATTCACAAATCTTATTCAGTGCTAGCACAACCAAAGGGTAGCTTTGGAGTTGAGTGTCCCGCCCAAGGAGGACTCTGGCATTAAATTGCCAACCCCCTGATGGAGAGACTACCCATTAAACCCCCTGAGCCACAGCTGCTCCCAGTGTGAAGTCTTGTTAGCATGATCTTTAACTTTTCCCTGTTTCAGCAAAGTTTGCCTGCTCCTATTTGATGACTCTACTTTGTGTATCTTTGTTACCTATCATTCAGCGGCTTTTTGAAGGCTGCCAAGTGGGAGATTGGATCTGGTCAGATGGACAGAGGTTGAGGCGAGGTTTATGTGTATTTATGTAATAGTCATTCCAGTGTCATAGGAAGTGAGGTGACTGCCGCCCGATCTTAAGAGAGAAGGTGTTCGTGTCCTCCTTTTGGAGGTGCTTAACCAAAAAACAGGGTGATCTGCTGATCCGATTTACCAATACAATATACTCATTCACAGCTCACTGAAATCACTAAAATTGACTTTTTGCTTGGTAAGCCAGCTTGTGACACTCAGCAAAGGAGTCTAATCTTCTGGTGCTGATTGAGTTCAGGGGGGCAAAGCATGTGGCACATACAGTATATGTAGGCTGTAGCTCTAACTGCAGGTTCAATTTCACTGGTCATGACCTTTTGCTGGTTGTCAGCCCTCACTGTCTCTCACCTTTCAAAAAGAGGAAAAAGACCCCTAAGAAACCAAAGGCAGGAGTCTAATTTTCAATGATTTATTTTACTTTATTTAATCTGCATCATTAGTCCTTCAAAAGAGGTAGTCTTACACAAAGAACAGTGGCTCTTAAAAACACACTGGCGCACATAATCAACATTTGAGAACAACTACAGCAAACATTAAAGTGCAAATGTATCTTCCATGATGTTCAAAACGTTAATCAAAGCTAATTCAGTTTCTCCCTCTTCACCTTAGTGTCTGCAGTTGGTGTATTTCTTATTTTCACAGGGCTTAAAATATGCTTGATATAGACATACTCAAGAAACTCTAGACCTGTGAGCTTAAAAACTGGAGTAAATATATTTAATCACATTTCACACCAGATCAAAGAGAGCAAAAAAAAACTCTTCCAAGAAATAATGCCCTAAAATATGTCTCTTCAGTTTGTCTCAGTCCTGCAACATTTTAGATGAAGTGTTTTGATTTCTAGTCATTGCAGTTGAGTGGGTAAAATGCAATAAAGA